AATCCCACTTCAAAAAAGGCAGCAGGCCCACCAAGCAGGCCAGTGACAGGCCCTGCAAAAAAACCCACCTTCACCACAAAATATGGCAGCTAGAGACAACAAGCAAACTAGAAGCCCCATGGAAAAATCCCACTTCAAGAAAAGCAACAGGCCCACCCAGCAGGCCAGTGACAGGCCCTGCAAAAAAAACCACCTTCACCACAAAATATGGCAGCTAGAGACAACAAGCAAACTAGAAGCCCAATGGAAAAAATCCAACATCAAGACAGGCCTGCTTGGTCGGCCTGCTGCTTTTCATGGAGTGGGATTTCTTCAGTAGAGCTTCCCATTTGCTTGTTGTCTCTAGCTGAGAATTTTTTTCGTGAAGGTGATTTGTTTCAGGGCCTGTCACTGGCCTGCTTGATCGCCACGCGCCAGAAAACTTCCATCTGAGTAAAAGAGGCTAAAGCGTCCAAACAATAACGCACAAATAATCCTCAAATGCAATGTTCTTTGCTTAAAATAAAAGTATGTGCTGCCCTATGCTAAATTGTCAAAAAATGGAAAAACATGAAAAAGCTTAAAAAATAAAAGAGATAAACAAAAATATTAAAAACAAATAAAAAATATTAAAACAAAACAAAAAGATAAAGCAGGAAAAAACACAGAAAAATAAAAAAAAAAGAGATAAAAACAAAAAGATTTTATCTTTTAATATCTTCTATATCTTTTGCTAGTAGATATGTGCAAGATACAAAAACTTATTATCTTTTACTTTCCTGACTAGCTACTCCTAAGTCTACTATATCTCTGGCGGACCATACCCAAACCTATCTGAGATAAACATGACTTAAACACCAGATAAACAGCCTTATAGCTACATACTAGCCAGTGGATCCATCCTACTTTTCCAAGCCGCCCTCTGGTGATCAACCTGTCAGACACGTCTGGGGATGCAAGGGACCCAGCCTCTGCTGCCCCGGCTGCGGCTGGGCGGTCCCTGTGGAGAAGCTTTTTGGACCCTGCAGCTCTTTCAGCAGCCAAGAAAGTGGATGAGACCAAGGTCCTTGTGCCTTTGCGTGCTTCTTCTCCTGAGGTGGTGGACCCTATGGACGAGATCCCCGGCCACGACGACATCGAGGCACACCGAACACTTTCCCAAGAACTCGCGGATGCCATGGACATTGACGACAACTGAGCCGCGCGTGAGCCGCACTCAGCTGATTTTGTTCTAGAAGCCTGAAATACAAACCCAATTGAGACATAGAGTTTGGCTAAAAAGAGCATTAGGTCTCCAGTGCCATCTTGCTTGCACATGTTGCTTGGAAGCGAATTGTATTGATCGTTTACGCAGCCATTTGCTTCAATCGCCTTGATCCTTTGTAGTTGATCTTGCAGCGAAAGCCTGCCTCGAAGAAGCCTGATCCGGTGCCATATGTCCGCCATGGCATGCGTATACTACCAAGAACAAAGGCCACAGGGCGCGCTGGGGGCGCTCCATTTTGACTTGGGAATCGTTGACTGGACAGCGCCTCTACAAGCAGCTCCACAAGGACAAGATCCTCGCAGACTGGGAGGGCAGAACTTGCCCTCGATGTGGCAATGGTGTAATGGGGCCCATGAAGTGTTACAAAGACAAGAAGATGTGGGCGTACCGGTGCAAGAAGCGTGCCTGTCACAAGCAACTTCAGCCTCACGACTACCACCCCATCTTCTTCATGTCTGCTGGCAATTCTTCAACTCCACTTCAGAAGGTGGCGGTCCTATTCTGCGCGATGGTGGGGGTCTCGAGCAATGCGGCGCACCTGCTCCTGGATATGGACCACAAGCCAGTGGAGCGCATCTACCACAACCTGGAGGTCGCTCGCTCGCAGTACGTCACCCAGAAAGTGAAGGACATTGTCTTCGGCGGGAAGTGGGAGGACGTGGAGGTGGACGAGGTCAACATTGGCAAGTTGTCCGATGAGAGTGTGGACGGCCATCCTCGCTTGTGCTCTTCAGGCTGAACCCCATCCTCACCAAAAAGAGATCTCCGAACCCAGGTCCCATCAGAAAGAGGGACTGGCAGCCGATTGCGAAGAAGCACACGGGCCGGAAAGTGATCCTCCACAGCGATGGGGCCAGAGCCTACAATCTCAAAGTTGCCGGAGGTGAGGCATGTGCACAAGAAGAAGCGGATCGTCATCAACGGCAAGGCAAGTGGCTCTGGCCTAAACTGCCTTAACTGCCTCTTAAGGGATCTATACTTGATTCTCTAAGTCCTGTCTGTCAGGCCGTCTGGGTGAAGCCCCACTACACCAAGAAATATGACGTCAAGTGTTGCCAGACGGGAAGAAGCTGCGTGCGAAGAGCGGCACCCAGATCATCGACCGGTTCTGGAACACCCTGCGCACACGAACAGAGTCCCGGTAGCCAGGTTCTCTTGCGAAAGCTGAGATCCGCTCAATTCGAATACTGGCATCGCCGCGCGAACATGTGGGAGGCCACCGGCCAGATGATCCGGGCACTGCACAAGCAGTGATTCAATGCAATACCGGATTTGCGCTCCAAGGAAAAAAGGCAAGTAAAAAACCTAAAAGCAGTCTTGGCCACAAACCTCCTACTGGCAAGGATTTTTTGGCTTTTTAGGGACAGTACAGCACTTTTTTTGGGTCTGCAAAAAAAGGAAACTTGTTGGGCGGACCAGTGTCAAACGGGTTGAGGACTGACCAATATCAAAAACAAAAACAGAGTCGGAACCTCTCCCTCTCTCTCGCTCTCTCCTCACACACTCTCCCACTCAACGGGTTGGGCGAGCCAGTAGCAAACGGGTGCTAGCCTTCAACAGGACCCTGCTGACTTGAGTTGGAAAAAAAGAAGGCCTGGTCCTCCTTGCCTTTGGACTCAGTCATGCTCACCTGGCAGCATGAGCAAGGTGTTGTTGGGGGCTGAAAAAAAACTGCAGCAGATGGGCCTCATTCTCTTCGCCATCATCCGCATAATTGAAACCACCTGACTCTCCAGCTCTCTCAAAAAATGGACACAAGACTCCTGCAGGAAGAATGTGGGCCTCCACATAGGGCGTATGATTTGCATTGCCTGCCGGGAGCAATGCAAGGTCATGGACTGCCAAAAAAGACACAAGAGTCTGCCTCCGACGTGCCAACGGGTTTGAAACCACCTGACTCTCCAGCTCTCTCAAAAAAATGACACAAGACTCCAGCAGGAAGAGTGCGGGCCTCCACATCGGGCGTATGATCTGCATGGCCTGCCGGGAGCGTAGCAAGGTCATGGACTGCAAAAAATGGCACAAGAGTCAGCCTCCGACATGCCAACGGGGGACAGTACAGCAGTCTTGAGGATGGGCAAGCAGAAAGTGCTGCACTGTCCCTAAAAAACCAAAAACGTGCTGTGGGCCCAAGACTGTTTTTGGAATGGTTTTTGATGTTTTTTAGGGACAATACAGCACTTTCAGCCTCCAAAGCCTGCATTTTAGGGAGTACACCACTTTCTGCATGCTGATGCTCAAAAGTGCTGTACTGTCCCTAAAAACAAAAAAGCAAAACAAGTGCTGTACTGTCCCTAAAAAACCCCAGAAGGAGGTTTGTGGGCCCAAGACTGTTTTTGGAATGGTTTTTATGTTTTTTAGGGACAGTACAGCACTTTCAGCCTCCAAAGCCTGGATTTTAGGGACAGTACAGCACTTTCTGCATGCTGCTTCCATAAGTTCCATCTGGTCCATGATAACTCTTTTTAACAAACCATCTGTAAGCATCTGCTTCAAGTTGCCCAACATCTGTCAATCAAGAATGTCGCAATCTTTTACTGATCTGCTCATCAAGAATGATGCGCGTTTTTGACCCAAGTTTCTAGGATCAGAGTCTGATCCTGGAACAGGTGGTCAAAAACAATCATTTTACCTGTGTTTTTCCAGTGTTGTTTAGTTTCAAGAGGTAAAATGTGGATCTTGGGGGGGTGACCATAAATATATATATATAGGGATACACACATACATATTGTATGTGCATAATTATATATATACACATATATATATATATATATGCTATTGTATGTATATATAAGTATGCGTGGATGTCTATACCTGTAATATAGATACATGTGTGTGTTTATAACATGGAATGCGCAGAAGCTAATAAGCCCGACACATAGCTGTTAGCAGGCCAAAGGTTGTGGCTTTCCATCCAGCTGCCTTCGACGATTTTCCTTCCCAACATGAAAGTCCAGAGGTTGGAGCTTGGGCCTCAGGAAACTGAAGGTCAAAGATGTGAGCCATGGGCAAACGGGGAACCCCAAAACGATATTAGGCCACTTTACTCTCAGACTCAATGTTGGGAGTCGTTTTTTTTTGTATTTGACATGTGAGTTGAGCCCCCCTTCTCGGCCCATGAGAGGACAAATCAAAACATCTGCTTGTCTCCTTTTGGTCGCTCGAGCTCGCGAGCGCGAAGCTCAGCCAGAGGCTTCCGTGCCCAAAGATCACTCGAGCCGAGGGAAGGAAACTATGGGCTCGTTTTTTTTGAGGCGGAGGGTACCCTGTTTTGGTCGTATTTTACGACACCAGAAGGGAACTGGGGCCGAGGGCAAGCTTCCGAAGTTAACGACTGAAGTCACAGCCATCCGGAGCCCAGGCTTTCTTGGCAAAAACAGAGACGCCATAGAGACGCCATAGAGACGCCTCAGTCATCTTCTCTAATGGATGCCTTCCTTCATTTTCACAAAGGATGAGCTAAACCCTGGCCATCACTGAGTCAAGCCTAAGGCGAGCCTTCGGCCTTGTCCAAAGTAACAGAAGGTTGCTAGTGGGACAGAAAGGTAAAGCTTGACCACACAGAGTGCTATGTTTCTCACCGTGTTTGTTTTTGATTTTTTGGCGGTGAACAAATCACCAAATGCCCCCCGACTGTTGTCCCAAGGTGCCTTTTTGTTGAGGGCCGACGTTTGGAATGAATTTTGAAAACACCAATGCGGATAGGCTGAACCAATTGCCGAGCGATTCGTCAGACCAAGGCCCAGCACCCCGCCTTCTGAGCAGGTCCATGGGAAGAGCATCGGCGTCGGAGAGGATCGTCTGGCGGGTCTGGTTCTCTGTGGTTTCCACTGCTCTTCTCCAAGTGGTTTAATGGGATATGCAACGACTCTTTTCCCACCATCTACGTTTTTTATTCTTCTTCTTTTTCTGGGGGTTGATCAATATTCCGGACCCCAAACCAACCATGGGTAACTTTTCCCATCTGGCTGTGGGAGGAACCTTGCTTGGTGGTTGGTCACCCCCATGTAAAGGACCTCATAATGAACCCCCCATATACCCTCTTCTTTCTCTGGGAAAAGTAGTATCTGTGGAATTCGGACCCCAACCGTGGCCTCCCTGTTCCTGGCTTTCTTTAAACCAACAAGTAGAAGCCCATGCCGTCGAAGGAATTTGCATCGCAGTTGGGATTGGCGGCTTATCAAACCAGCAATTCTGCATCTGGCTTCGTTCATCCCAACTGGTGCCGTCATGGGGTCTCCGCCCATCCACAGTCTGCCCACCTGAGCATTCCCTACGCACGGTGATGCTCTCTTGGTCTAAGGCCAACCTGCTCGACATAGAGCGGTGGAAGCCTCCCCGCTCGTTGTTTTCTGGGAAAAGCAGACAAGCGCCGCTCGTTGCTTTTCTTTTTCGGAGCAATAGATACCCCCAGCTCATGCGCGCGTTGCCAAAAAAAGGCCTGGCCAGTGGCCATTTTTGCGGCGTGCGTGAAAGGCCCAGTCCTGAAGTGAAAGACTAGGGTACACCCGCCCAAACCACAAGCTTCCATTTGCCTTTTCGCCCCCTGGAACACTAATTACATTGCCACTTGTGAATTCCATTTAAAACCAACAAGGGAGAATATTCTTAGGCAAATGGAAGCAAATAGCCTTACCATCTTTTAAAGGGACTCAACACTTCAATCACATGACCAGTGCCAACTCAATGGAACTCAACCCAGCTTCGAGCTTTTGCTCGCAGAAACAGTTCCTAGGAGAGCAGCCGGGTTCGAGCATTACCCAATCGGAAAGCCAAATCAAAGGCCACCTATCTTATCTTAAAGACAGCTTGACGACACGTGCAGTGGGAAAAGTGGAATTCCTGCGCAGCCTATCCCCAAGTAGGAAAAACATGCACCAGCCTCCATACGTGACTTCCACCCTGCAAAACCATGTCAAGGACTTAGCAATTACACACATGATCCGTTATGGCTCTATGATCACTTAATTCGGTTTTGAAGTTCCGGACATCACCATCCAACATATCCTCTTATCCTCCATTGGCTTAAGTCCCTGGACAAAAAAAGAGAAAAGAACAACATAATGATAATAATAGCATATATTTTCAGAAGTGATGGATGCGCATCCCTTAAAAGGGAACATCAAACATACTCCGAAACACGAACTGAAGCTTCTATGCTTGGAACTTGTTTGATCCGCACCGCATCCCCTTCCATTTGGCCGCCTGCACGCCCTCATTTGGCGCTTCCTGGCCGGGTGTGACTCCAACGCGTGCTGCCTTGAGGCTTTTCGCCTTCGTTTGAGAACAGAAAAACCAGCACTTGCACACTTGCGGGGGTCCCACTTTTCACATACCCATATAACGTGTCGTCAACATTCCGGTGGTCTTTGAACCCAAACAAATTCAATTGATGCTTGCTGCTTTGCGGGAAGGACGCGTTTCTTGCAGAATCGAATGCTAAAGGTTGCGCCGGACAGTGAGCAAGTCTTCCTTGTGTGAATGTTGCAGATTGTCCACAGCCTGGCGTGAATCAAGCTCCATTTCAGTCACAGGCAAATCTGAATTACTGTTCACCTCCCCCCTTGGTGTCACAACAGCCCTGAAAGTGGCAAGTCCTTGTGGTATCTCTGAACATGCGCAGCACACACACACACACACACGCGCGCATGTGTGTGTGTGTGTGTCCCAAATCATGTCTGCACTCACCTCACACACCGTAAATGCTTGAGTGCGCAAACCAATATTTCAGTTGCCCTTTGCTGGTAGCAAGTGCTGGTGCTCCAGATTGTGAAGGTGTTGGTAGGTACGCGAACTCATGGAATGATCTTCCAAGCATGCAAACGGTGTGAAATCTTTTTGACCGCATGGTTTGCATCAGTGTCAGCAAGCCCAAACAATTCCGGTCCATCAACAACTACAAGTGGTCCACTTGTTAAGCCCGGCTTTTGGGGTTCTGGGTTCACTATTTGTCAAATTCCCATGGGCAGTTCCCCTTAAACCTACCATTCTGAGGGCTTTTCTTGCCACATGCTTTTTCACCTCTGAATCAATGAGAAAATATGTCCAGTGATGGATTCCCAATTGAAAACCAACAATGGGCAAACAAACAAGTCCCTTAGAAAATTATCAAATCAATAAGGGACAATCATCAACACATTTCCGAGCTTTTTTTCAGATCCCCCGCTAAAAGTGTAACTTTTAGTGACCAAACGCTAAACACTAAAAAGACCAAAAAGACACCAAGGAACCGGATGGCTGGGAGCCGAGGTAAAACGCAAATGGATGTTGTGGGCATTGGTTTCAGCGGGAGCACAAACCCTGCAGGCCCATGGACGCCCGAAAGCGCGGAAGAACCAAAGCCTCCAAGGCCTTGAGCAACTGCTCCTGGAAGTCCAAGAGGGCTAAAGAGCTGCTTTCGGTTTCTGTTGCCATCTCACAATGATGTCTATATGTGTATATAGAGTAGCATATGAAAATATAATGTTTCAGCATACATATATATATATATATGCTACCGCCCCCCCAGGGACCTACCTTTTGGTTGCCTCTCCAGTGCATGAATTGCCCATCTAGGACTGGGAGGAACGATCTCTCAACTAGGACCAGGGCCAAATGAGACTAGAACCCAGGATCTCTCAACTGGGACTAGGACCAAACTAGGACTAGACGACCCACCTCAGATTCTTACAAAAAATGAACTTCAAGTATAACTTCCTCTGCAATGTCCTGTATATGTTCTAATTATTGCAGTAAACTAGGGAGCAACCTAACACTAGAACCAAGGATCTCTCATCTAGGACCAAACTAGGACTAGACCATTTAATTCTATTTCTTATAGTATTTGGATGTCAAGTATTACATTCTGGTGGCAAAAAAGTCCTGTGTAATATGTGGTCCTAACATGTAAATTCTGACTGGATATTCTCCTTATTTCAAATTCAACTGTTCAGCTAGAAGTTGCATAGAACTTGACTAATATATTAACTACAAGTCATAACGAACTTCTTTTGTAATGTCCTTTATACGTTCTATGTATTTCAGTAAGGTAGGATTTGGCCTAGAACCAAGGATCTCCCAACTAGGACTAGGACCAAACTAGGACTAGCTAGTTCTGAAAGTGATTGATTTTCAATGTACAATGGTCTATTGGACAGGAAATCGTTTGTACCATTTAATTTGACATAAACAATCAATATTTAAGTTCGAATCTAAATCGCAATTTTGGCTGGAGTATGTCCTTCTTCAGCTCCATTGAATTCAATCAGAAATAAGGTTGAATTTGATAAAACATACTAAGTGGAATGCATAAGGAAAGAATCCAAAGGTCCCAAACTTGTGTCTTTCACTAGTCCTAACACTACCTTGGTCAGAAAACACCGTAAACACAGTGTTGTGTAGCGTTTTTCATACTCAATTCACATCTCCACCAACGAACGCTCTCTAAATATCTCCAAATGCTCATTTGAACTTGAACAGGATTTAATTGGGACTCAATACGGAAATATTTGGTCAGAATCCTAATGGTAATCAAATTTGAGATTGCGAGTTTGAATAGAGTTCCTTTCCCAATATATACCTGCAATTCAATATGAGCTTTAACAGGATTTGATAAGGAAAGAACCCATATTCTCCAGACAAGTCTTCTTTGCAAACGCGAGTCCAGGCCCGAGTGACACCCATTGAGACCGACTGAAATTTCAGTTGAGCCTGGGTTCAAGATTCCCTAGAAAACTTTGACCTGCAATCTTGAATGTGGGCCTAGATTGAAACAGATTGAATGAATCATCAGGACTTGGATGCTTGCACAACACTGTGCCAAAGTACAGCCGCGCAAAGTGCAATGTTGAATTTGGGTCTCGATTTAAACCGATTTAAATCGATTTAAGTTTAAATCGGGCATGGATTCAAGATTCAAGAATCCAGGCCAAACTGTTCCAGGGAATCTTGAATCCAGGCGTCGATTTAAACCGATTTAAACCGATTTAACTTAAATCGAGCATGGATTTAAGATTCAAGAATCCTGGAAGAGCTTGGCCTGGATTCTTGAATCTTGAATCTTGAATCCATGCCCGATTTAAATTAAATCGGTTTAAATCGGTTTCAATCCAGCCTGAAGCTTCCAGAACGTCCCTGGACATGCTTCTTTTTCATTGCTCTCCCCAAAGACCAAAAAAGGGTAGAAAACACTGCAAATACCAGTGAATTCATCCAAAAGGTAGGTCCCTGGGGGGGGTACCATATATATATATATATATATATGTATATATATATATATTTGTATAAATATGTATGTGGTATCCCCCCCTGCTGCCTATGTTTCTCAGTATTTTCACCACCTTGTTCAGGACTTATTGTATCTTTTTAGCCAAACATGGGCAGCAAGGAAGGGGGCTTGCCATAATTCTGCATACTGGTTGTTAGATTACTTCATACCCGGTATTAAGGAATCTGGATCCAAGATCCAAGATCCAAGATCCAAGATTGATGGGGGGATGTTCAATGTGAATATCGTATTTTGCTGTTGCCAGATTTGTTTGTTTATTAATATGGGATTCAAGATTCAATATTTCAACACAATCTTTTTCTGGAATTCTCGAATATTGAATCCCAAATTTGGTATGGTTTATTGTTTCTAAACAAGTATGCAACAGCAAAAACATCATGTTGTCATCCAGACCAAAGAGTCAGGTTAAGAGAATTGTAATGTAAAAAGCTATTTTACTCTGGTTTTGGACAGAGCGCAATTCCATTTTCACAACAAGAGAGAACAAGCGTTCCAAGCAAGATGGAGACATGCCGGAATGCCGGAAACTCACAGAAACGGGAGCAACAAAGGACATGTGAATATCGATGGAACACAAAGGGCAAGACAAGCATCTTTCCAAGATTCAACAAATACAACTGCCCAGGAAAGCATTGTCCCGAAAACGAAGGATATTCAACATTGAAGCTTGCCCATGTGGTTGTGAAACATGTTTGTCAACTTGCCCCCTGATAGTATCTCTGCTGAATCTAAACTTCTCAATACAGTATCTGATCCGAAATGCAGGACTTCTATCGGGACTTTGGGGGAAGTCTTCTGTTTTAATGTCTCCCCCTCAAACTCGAAGTACTGGTACTCAGATTTCTTAGCACTAGCATTCAGATTTCTGAACACCGGTATTTAGAATCTGCATCCAAGATCCAAGCTCCCAGGCTGCTAAGGAACTTTTGAGGGAAATCTTGGATCCATTCTTGTTCACCCCTGGTTCCTTAGTATCGGTACTAGGGCTTCTTAGTACCTTATTTGACCCCCTTCCAAGATACAAGATTCAAGACGGCTGGCGGACTTTTGAGGGGAATCTTGGAATGACTCCCCTGAAACCTGAATGATATTCAGGTTTCTACTGTATTTACATGTCATCCCCGTGAAACTTAATACCGGTATTAAAAGTTTCTTAGAGCTGTCATGTAATTAGATTCCTTAATACCGGGTATTGAGGAACTTGGATGCAAGATCCACGATCCAAGATTGCTGGGGCACTTTTGCGGGGAATCTTGGATCTTGGATGCAGATTCCTTGGATTTCCTTGGTACCGGTATTGAGGTTTTTTACTCAAGATCTTGGAGAAAGATTTCCTGGGCAACTGTGAATCTTAAATCCAGAACATTTGCATTTCTTGTGTGCAAGAAGTACCCAAATGTTCTGTCTTGCCCAGAGAAACTTGCTCAGAGAACTTGCTCGGAGAACCTTGCTCAGAGAGCTTGCGCGAAGAAACGTGCGCAAAGAAATTGCACAGAAAGACAGCTTTTTCTGTGCAAAAAAAGCGGCTAATCTTGCCTGCAACAGAGTAACATATGTTTTCTGGCCACCTGCATTCTAATTGCTTTTTGTGCGAGGAGTACTCAATTTCCTTGTGTGGGTCCAGTTTCTATGAATTCCAGGGGGCTTCTAGCATGTCCACAGTATATGTTCATACATTTTTGCCTGAACATTTTGCTCTTGGAATTGTGCAATGGAATTTGTCTCTGTCCAGAACAAGATGAAATGGACATGATGGGCCGCACGCCTGCATATCTCTGCTCAAGTCTGCAAGAAAAGTTTAAACACTGCAGCCTGTCTGCTCACAGCAAAACGGTGCACCTGCTCCGGAACCAGCACAACTATACAGCCTGCGCGCTCAAATTAAGCAAAATCTAGGCACCACGGCGGGGGGGGGGGGGGAGGGCGTAGCGAATATATATATATATATATATGAGTATAAATACATGTGTAAATCTATACATATTTTCGCATGTGGCTGGGTGTGTGCCATGTGGCCTCTTAGGTCCTAGGAGCTCCTTTGAGCTGGATAGCAGTTTGAAACTGTCTCGCATGGGGTTTTGGGGCACCATTCTCCAGGTTGGAAGGGAAACCGAGCGCCGTGTTTCCAAGGCACCCCTCTTTGGACGCATGCCCGCGTGCAGAGAAAGCTGCCGGATCCCGTCGCCGGGCCGACGGCCGGCAGGAAGAAAGAACAAAGCAGATATTTGAGCAAGGAGCCGAGTGCGTCAATGAAGAAACTGGTGATTGCTTTGAGTGGTAAATACAAAGGCACAAGCTTTGTGCAGATTGGGGGGTCATCTTTGTTTGCCAGTATTGAGTCATTTTCCAAGGAAGCCCAGTTGAACTGGGGTTGTTTCCTTTTTCTGCTGGGAAACCTGTCAAAAAGGATCCTTGGCCCAGAATCACGCAAGTCGGCCTTTCGAAGCCATAGTATAAGTATAAACGGAAGCGAGGGAACTCGGCCATTTCCTGCTCTCCCCTTAAAACGCCAAAGATTCGGATCCCCGCAGTTTATTCTTTTCTCCCCGAAATTCCATTGCTGGGTTTGCTTTCGGAGGACCCGTGAACACCAATTCAAACGGGTGCCTCCAAAAACACTCACGGCCAGTCCTTCAAAGACCGCAACGCCTCCTCCGCACACAGGGCCACCTGCGCGTTTTCGGCGCAAACAGGAAGCGAAACTGGGAGATTCATTCGGATAACCCTTGGAATCAGAAAAATGTGTGCCCACAAACGGGTTGGTCAAAGCAGGGGAATTAAACATGAGCAATGGCCTGTGCTGGTGGCCAAAGCTTTGGCCGTTGCAACACCTATCCGGCCCGTGTGGGTAGATGCTCAGGGCTCCCGTCTGTTCATGTTCGATCTCCTGCTACGGCTCGGCGCCTGTAGCCCTGGAAGACGATCGAAAAGGGTTCCCTGCAATCGACCAGAGACACTTCCAATCCTCATGGGTTTCCCGTTCTACTTCACTGGTCGAATCTCTCACTGATTCTGTCCCAAAGCGCTACCCCGATTTGTTTTCGTGGAACATGCAAACACTCCATGGTCGAAAGTAGCCCACTGGCAAGAAAAACAAACAAACAGGGGAACATAACAAATACTCTTAAGCAAGCTGACGCTATTTGCTAGTGCACTCTGCTTTAGGGGACCCCCCACTATGGGATCCATGCCCATGTACAGAGACGGACCCGGGCCCGCCATGGGGCATTGCATTGCACCTACAAAACTCGTGCTGATTTTTTGGGGTATTTGTTTTGCTTCTCTGGTTTACGGAACTTGGCCTGAGCCTGTCCTTCGGACGAATTGAACCACACTAACACCAAAGGGGAATCCGTCTGGGGCTGCAAGGTCCGTCTTCTGACGTCGGGATACCCAATACCCGTGTCTTGGCACGACACTCCATCGATTTGCAGAGAGAAACCGAGCGCAACAAAAACACACCTTCGGTGGATGGTGGCGAAATCCATGAAAACCGCAGCAGTGGGAATGGACGAAGCCCTGGTATTTTACCAGTTGGTACACCACCTACCAGCTGGTGGCGGCAATCCTGGATTTTGCAACAGTCCGCAGTACTTGGCTGGAATTAGGACCCCAGCAAAACATGCCGCCGGGCTCGAAACCGTCGGGTTGTTTTGTACCGAATCCGTGTTTCGCTCAGCGCTTCTTCTTGTTTTCATCCCCAAAACACAGTTTAAAAAACATCTGTTTTTTGGCCTCCGTGTTCTTACTTCGCTGGCAGGCGCAGCACTTCGGCTGCAAAAAGGGTACTGTTTCTTGCGAGAGCCTGGAGGTGTCATTTCAATGAGGCAAATGTGTTACTTCAATGGATCGACATGCGCATGGCTCGCAACAGGGTTTTGAGCACGTTGTGATGAGATCTGGAAAAGGGTATGCGCCGGTGGCTGAAAAGGGTATGCTTACCATTTGGCTCGCATTAATACAGTGCTGAGCGGGAGCCCGTGAGCCGGATGTGGTTACAATTTGGGATACAGAGCTTGAGCGGGTGCGCGTGAGCGGGTGTGCTCAGCATCTGGCTGGCGTGGATACAGTGCTTGAGCCGGCGCGTGTGAGCGAATGTGCTGACCACTTGGCTGGCATGGATACAGTGCTTGAGCGGGCGCGTGAGCGGGTGTGCTTACCATTTGGCTGCCATGGATACAGTGCTTGAATGGGTGCGCGCGAGTGGGTGTGCTTACCACTTAACTAACATAGATACAGTGCCTGAGCGGGTGCACGTGAGCGGGTATGCTTACCATTTGGCTGGCATGGATACAGCGCTCGAGCGTGAGCGGAGTGCTTACCATTTGGCTGGCATGGATACAGTGCTGGGCTGGTGAGCGGATGTGCTTGCCATTTGGCTAACATGGATGCAGTGCTGAGCGGGTGCCTGTGAGCGGGTGTTCTTACCATTTGCCAGGCATGGATCCGACAAACGCAACGGCTGCCAGCGCGCAACTGAAAAAACACAAGAACTCCTTGTTCCGAAACGTGGGTTTTGCGCTGCTCCGAAACGTGGGTTTTGCAATGACGGTTAACAGCCCGACAGCAAACATATATACATATATATATATATATTTGCCTGGTTAGTGGAAAACAAAGGGAACCCCAAAAAAGCAAGCAAATTAAAAGGGGGAACTACTTCTGGGGAAGAGTAGCCCTCTCGAAGTCCCTGCCTCAGCACCTGCCTGTCGCAGGTGAGCCGTGGGTACTTGGCTGGGTCGATTTGTTTTTTGGGAGGGTGCCCTTAACCAACTGGAAACAGTTTTGGAAGCCCCCCAAGATTTTGACACTCATCTGAGTGTGGAACCAAGCATGGAAACATTCAATTAAGCATATCCTGACTGGACATGAGACTGCAACCAAAGAATCCAGCCCAGAAAAGAAATACGGGTATGGTACGGCTATTCATGGGAGACCCATGGGCGAACATCATAGGGATCTTTGCACACCAAACGTGTTTGAGGATGTACCTGATTTTACTTTCACAGCGACATGCCATTTACAGGTGCTTCCCAACTGTGGATGGACGACATCCTGCACCATGGCCATGGTTTCAACGTGGTGCGAAATGGATTTCGCAACGACAGCCCACCCCACGTGAAGGCCATGCTCACAGGCAAACCACATGGATCGGATCATTTGGCTTCGTACAAATCCGACCATGGCTGGGGGTCAGACAGTGTCGTGAAATGATGTTGTATTGTTTGCTTCAAAGTTTTGAGATAAATACCACAAACAAACAATGCATCCTAAGTCCATCCGAAAATAGCGCTGCGTATTCTTTTTCAGGGTTCTTTTGTATGTCCGAAGTCTCCCTCAAACATCACTCCAGGCAGGAATATTTGCAAACAAATGGTGATATGTACCCCCCCCCCAGCATAATAAAAAAGGGGATTATAGCGACCCCTTCTTGGGTGGTTGAGTACGGCATGCTGTGGGCAATTAATCCGCGCGAAGAACCACACGCCGCAGGAAACTTCTAAGGGGCCTAGGCGTCCTTTGGGACAAAATTGCATTTTGACTTCCCTGCAATTGACATGAACCCCCCAAAAATGGGTCTAAAGAAGATGTTGATGAACATCTAGAAACAACTAGAACCAAACTGAAACCATTGACAAGGCCCTCATCGTACTAGGAAACCAACAACCATGGTTGGTCTGCGGCCCCCTGCAAAATCTTCCCTTTTGCTCCCGCATCGCTATGGTAAAGATACCGTATCATTCTGAGAAGCGCGCATCTCGCCTAAGAAAAGGAACGCATAAAAAAACAGACCCCCCCCCCCCCCCGGGCTCGCAGTTGCTGGGGAAATAGACATGTTCCCGACAGAAAAAAAAAAAAAAAAAAAAAAAAAAAAAAAAACAGGCTGAAGGTCAAACCGATGAGATCCGCGCAACTAAAGAAACAACCAACTTTCCTAGACAATGGATCCGAGACAAGTCTGAAGAACAAATGGAAGCACTAGAGTCAGTTCGAGTCTGGATTCTGGTGTACACCTTTGCGTCGCCATATCAATTTGAGTCCCAGATCGAAGCAATGTGCTCAGGGTGACAAGCCCTTCTCTGCCGTAGAAACAGAACAAAACTCATTGGCTCGGTTGATTGAGATTGGGTAAAACGGTAAAACCTGTCAACGCAACCAGACTCTTTCAAGTTTCGGGGGCCCCCTACCCACCGATTTTCCGAAGAAAGTCAGTCCGGCACGTGCCAGGTGCCCAGGTCTGCCGATTCGCCGACAGTAGCTGGGGTTAAAATTGAGCCTTCCGACCCACCCACCGAACAACTCATTCTCAATAGAAGATATGGGTGAAAATAGGGAGGGGGTGGTCTCCCTTTGGCCTCCCAATAAATCCAAACCCAACAAGGGCACCCTAAAAAAGGCAAAACGCCCCATTGGGAACGACGCTTCAGCAATGAATCAAATTCCCTGAGAAGTCAGCGGTGAGGAATAAGGTTTGCGGGGAGGCTTGTTGAAGGGCCTGGGAATTGTTGGGCGTATGGCAAGCTTTAAGGCAAGCAAGTTTGTCTTTTCTGCGCTGTGCAAAATGGAGGCTTTGGCTGATCCTGAATATTTCCTGAGTGAAGCCACTACAAAGGGGACACAATCAACTTGCGTTACCCCCTTAGCCCAGGGCTCACGCTTGGGATGGTTTTTCTGAGCTTGGCGTTGATCTTAAGCTCTATGCTTCGGAGCTTGCGGGGAGGGTTCCAGAGTTGTTTTTCCTGTGCCCGGGTGTTTGGGATACCCGGGCTTCCTGCGAAACCAAACGGATACTGTCAACTTGCGAATCCGGAGGAACCTAATCAAAGGACCCCCTAACATCGATCAATTCCTAAAATGGAACCACCCTTGATTGGTACGGTCCTCCGGATGAGTCCGAAGTCGACATTAATTACCCGCCAGTTTAGGGCTTCCATGAAACAAACCTCGGGAGCCTCAGTTTGACGCAACTTGGAATCCAGAGACGGTGCCTGCAGGCGAACCTCCAGCGGCACCTGCGATCGCTCGGCGCGCGCGCGCTGCGGGAAGTGTCCCAATTGACATGGAACCTGACGTTCGGGGGGTCCTGGAAGACCATTTAAAGGAACCGACAGGTTCCTGTTCATTGGTGAGAGAGTAACGTTTTCCAAAAAACAACAAACTCCGAATCAGAGAAGTGGAGATTGGACCTTGAGGACCCAAACATATATCCGGTGATCAGCTTCCTGGACCTTCAAACTCCGGCAAATTTCTGGGGTTTTGGGAGACCCCTACGATTTACCGAGTTCCAGTGGTTTAGCACATTTGGGGCAAAAACTCATACGATTTGCGTCGTTTCCAGTCGTGCATTGGCCATAGAAAGCAAATACACCTCGCAGCACTGGCCAACGTGCCAATAAACACCACAAAATGCCTTGATCATTCAAAGCTACGACTTTTCCTGATTTGCGGGAGTTTGCGGAAATTTGCGGGAGATTTGCGGAAATTTGCGGGCGTTTTGCGGTCAACATGGGTACGTCTTTTCTGCACCGCACAACTTTGGACCGCCGTTGCAGGCTTTGACAAACTTGCGGGCTGCATCAAGCCGTTTATCCCTCAAAGCTTCCTTTAATCTGCGAGCAGTGCAATAGTGTGCTTTTTAGGAGTTTTAGGAGTTTCGGGTTTTTGCGGCAAAAAGTGCTACGATTTCCCGAATATCCAGTCAAAGGCGGAAACTACGGCTATTTTTCAGGAGAACGAAGGTCCAGGTTGTGGACCTACTCCAAACATAAACCATGGATAACCGAAAGGTTATTTCAGGTCGCTTCGCGGCAAGGGCAACGCCACATATCCACTATCTTTACAGGAAACCGTCCGGAAAAGGGCAGTCTTTTGAGAAGACAACGCATGACAATGGGAGATACCTGGTTCCAATGTTTGATTGGCACCCTGAACCAACAGCAGACTACATCACATTCAGAATGTCCGTTTCCATGAGGAAATTGTAGAGCCCTTGTAAAAAGCTCAGGGTTGTCTAGCATTGCCAACTGGACCCTGGGGGGTAAAAGGCTTTTAAAACAAAGGCCGTTACACGAACATCCTTTGTTTGACTAGCTGGGGGATGGGGGCCTGGATGGAATTCCAACTTTACATCGTCAGCAACAAGCCTTTTCCACACCAAGCTAGACTTGCGAAGGCCTCAACGTTAAAGCAGCACATTTCTGCATCATCAATGGAACAATCATGATCTTCCCGAAACATCCATTCAGCAAGACCTTTTCAAGCCCAGCAGAAAACAACGCCAGCCAGGACGAATGCGAGTGGTTTTTCGCCTGCCAAATTTCACGGCGTTTCACGGTCTTTCACTGCAAAAAAAGGGCGTTCACGCCAATTTCACGGTATTTTCACGCTTTTCCCTTGTCGATTTCCCGTTGCTAAGCCCATGATCAATGTCTCTAGAAATCCCACAAAGTTGACGACCTTGAGCATTGACCATCTTCAACATGTCTACATGGTTTTCGAGAGGCTTTGGAAAGCGTACTTTTCAGCCACAAGCACTGCAAAGCCATGTGGCGACTAATGCGGCCAACACAAAACTGTCAACCCAATTAAAAGCGTCCAGCTTGCAAACAAAGGACGTTCCCCACATTTCACGGCCTCTTCCTAAAGGCCTTTCTTTTTAAGGCCCCCGAACCCCAGGGTGGACAAATCAGAATATGCTGATGGCTGACATCCAAAACCGTCTCTTGCCACACTTCGGCTTTTGATTGCGGCTCACATGGCTATAAACCATTTTCGAGAACCCGATTGAAACTCGCCAAACACGAACAGCCACCAAAATTGAAAAACCGTTCCTTTCCAACCCCTAGTATGATTGCAACAAAACGTGCTTTTGCTGCCGCCGCTACAATGAACAGCACCAAAACACAAAACCAAAAACCAAACACATGTCAACAACCATATAAGTTTGAACGCAAACCAACAACTGCACCCAACAACACACACACACACACAAAAACAATAATGATAATAATAGTAATCATAATAACAGAAATAATAACAACAATAATAATAACAACACTAATAATACTCATATTTTCTTTTATGAGTATTATTATTGTTGTTATTAAACATATGATAATTATTAGTATTCTTGAAATAATAAAACAAACAAACCACATGCCAACCACAGCGAGGGTTTGAAGTTTGAAGAGTTCAGCGGCTGCAGGTCGCACCTCTGTGCCCAAGGCCGGCAGCCACTGGCGGCTCTGGCGCCGCAGATCCTTCGATTCGGCGTGACTAACGGAGGTGGACATCTGCATATGGACATCTCTCTAAAGACTAAAACAATTTTCCGGTGTCTCCTTCATATAAAACTTCGGTTTGTTTAAAGCCCTTTTGGAGACTGTAAACATTTTGTCAGTGATGGATTCCCCGCTTTTGGGCAAATCTTAGCAACTATGGATCTGGGAGGCTGGGAGACCCAACCACGAAGCCAACCCTAAAAACATAAGGAACCGGACGGCTGGGAACCCCCAAGGATTTTTCAGCTTTCTCTGCAACCTGGATAAAGTGATAAAGTGTGGCTGTGGGATAGCCTAAGACTAAATCAAGTCAATTCTTCTGCCCCTTAAACACATATAAGTGCGTGCGTGTTGTATGCAGCCTCCCTCCAATTGGTGGTTTGGATTTGTGGTTTGCGGGTTTCACGGTGGTTTCCCATTTGCCCTCTATAAAAATCGGGGTTCCAGCCCCCAAACAATCAATCAGGGTTCCCTAGTTCATGGCTCCTTGTTGTCGAACACGGAAGGCAAACAACATGTCAAACTGTTTTGGAGGGTTTCCTATTCTGCAACAAACCCGTTCGGGTCTAGGTGGTTGACGCCACCCGTTGAGTTGCTTCGGGAAGCAGACTCATCATTTTGGTTTCGGAGCGGCTTCCTTGTGGAATCGATTTGGCTTCCAATGCGTCCCTGAAAAAAGAAGCCCCCCAAAGGACACTGTCACAGGACGCACCCATATGTAATATGTTCACATATGTTCACCAACCTGAAATACGGATTCCCTAAGAAAGGAGCCCTCATCGGTGAAGTCCCGAGAGATCCAAGCAAGCTTGGTTTGGAGGCAAACGAGTTAGCCTAAACTCACACAGTTGGCCGCCTCAGTTCGGTTGTAAACAGGGTTGTGAACCTACTGACCCCTAGTCGGCAGGGCTATTTCTCACTTAATCAAAAACTTCAAACTCGAGTGGGTTGGCAAACAAGCGTCCAAGTTGTCCATTTTATGGTCGACGAAAAAAAAACAAAGATAATGTCCAGGAACTGGAGTGAGAGCAAAGCATGCTCGCCGAGAATTGTTGCCATAATGGCAACTCCGCTCCAGTCAGTCGCCGGAAGGAAGCCTTTCAATCGCCCCTCCCGCCACTAACCACTCGGATCGGCTGCGTGTGGTGTGTGTGAGGGTGCCGTTGCCCTGTTTAAACCATGGTTCAAGCACGAACCGTTTGCCATGTTTCAAACACCACTATTGGTTCAACCTCATTTTGGCTCCCGTTAAAAGGGGGGTCGGGTCAACTTCGCATTTTTGCAAATTCGCGCCTCGCAGGGCAGCCAGGGAATCCAGCGGGCGAGCTGCTGGTCATACTGCAGCGGCAGGGCCTGGCGCGGCAAAGCGTGCGGCAGGAGGATCCAAGTTTGTTGCTGCTGCTGCGATCGTGGTTGCTGTGGTCGCGGCTTTTGTTGTAGTAGTCGTAGTAGTAGTAGTAGTCGTAGTAGTAGTAGTAGTAGTAGTAGTAGTCGTAGTAGTAGTAGTAGCAGTAGCATAGGTGTCCTTGGTGGAAAATAGGTGGCCCTGGTGGATGACTGAACCACCAGGTCAGGGCCTTCTACTTGTTAAGCAAACCAACCAAAAAGGACACCTATGAGTAGTAGTAGTAGCAGCAGCAGCAGCAGTAGTGGTAGTAGTAGTACTACTACTATTATTACTGGTACTAGTCGTTGTGCTTGTAGTTGTGGTTGTTGCTTCCAGTGCTGTTGCTGTTGCTGCTGTTGCTGTTGCAGTTGCTGCTGCTGATGTTGCTGTTGCTGTGGCTGTGGCTGTCGCCGTCGCAGTCGCGTCGCCGTCACCACTGCGGCTGCTGCTGCTGCTGGTGCTGGTGCTGGTGCTGGTGCTGGTGTTGGTGTTGGTGTTTGTGTTGTTGCTGCTGCTGCTGCTATTGTTGTTGATGCTGTTGTTGTTGCTGCTGCGTTTGCTGTTTTTGCTGCTTTTGCTGCTTTTGCTGCTCTTGCTGCTGCTGCTGCTGTTGTTCTTGTTCTCGCTCTTGTTCTCGTTTTTGTTATTGTTCTCGTTCTTGTTATCGCTGTTGCCTTTTGCCGTTGCTGTTGTTGATGATAATAATATGCTAATTATGATTGCCTGGGCTGCTAGAGCTGTAAGTTCTACCTCACCCCTTCCAACCGATGACAACTAAACAGCGACATGATCCCAATCCGGCTTCGGGAACTCGGGAAGTGAGGCGCAGGCATCATAGTGCTCTCAAGGACTTAGGGTCGGCTCGGCCACATATCTCCTAGGTTTTCCTGGATACAAAGCCTTCAACCAGGTGTCTTGGAAAAACCGTTTCGAATCCGGCAAAAGAACCTGCCAGGTACTGCAGGTGTTCCATGGTCTTGCAGGTGATCCTGGGATAGCGAAGCCTTGCAACTGCTGGAATCTATCAAAAATAGCCCGTGAATCAGAGGAAACACACACACACATACCAAACCGACAGAAAGCCAAACTCCCCCCCCTCCCCATTTGGACAAGAAGTTGGCGTCCAACAAACTAAAGCCGACCAAATAAGTGGTTTCCTTTCCGGATTCCCTTTCAAAACCATCCCAAGGCGACCTTCCCAACAGGATGCACCTCCTTTTGCTTGTTTGGAAGGCCCTACCCCGTGCCTCACGGCCAGCTTCCTGAGGCGAACGAAGCCCACACATAGACACAAACGCAGACACAAGCACAAACCCGGACACATACTCACAGACCTAGTCACAGACCTGGCCAAATGGGCGCGGCCCTTAAATTTGGAAGAGCGGCCGGCAGTTAGATACATTGAAACGGACAACTGAAAGACCACACAGCTATGGGGCATTGGGTCCGACGGGGTCCTGTTCAGTGCCTCAAGTTACCAGTGGGTCGCTTGCCCAAAGAACCTGAAGATGAAAGCTTAATCTTTTGGGGCCATAACTAAAAATAGACCAACGTGGGAACACACAAAAGGTTAAACAGTCGGCTTTGGACGAGTGAGTTGCGCAACCAGGCGAACTCATCTACTGCTACCAACTATACTGGGCGTGGCCCCTTTGCATCATCTTCCTTTTCAGGAATCGGCCTGCGCAGAAGTCACAATTCCAAAGGCTGCAGTACGAATTAGGTGTGCCTTTTTGTAGGGGGGCCAAGAACGGTGGCTTTCCTTTCGGTTTCCCTTTACCACAAAAGGGGGGTACCAACTCCAAAAACGACACAGGCCATTTTCCACTCTGATCGGAATCGCTTGAAAGGTAGAGCCATCCGAAGTTTACATCAGGAAACACTTCGCACATTGAAAGGCTCCTGCAGGTAGGACTTCTTGACATCCAGACTCCGTTTTCCCTCAAACTACCCTTTTAGAAAAATGGGATAAATCACCCCAAAGTCACAATCAAAGCGGGGTACCCATACTCATGGTACTCGGATGCTAGATTTGTCAAGTTAGCAAATTCTTCACAACCGTTCGGTTATCACCCACCACGCCCCGTGAATGTGGGGTGAAGCTTGTTAGGAGTTGCAACCCAAGTGGCTATCCACTAACTTGAGCCCAGTGGCGCCAATTGCGAGACGTGCAACACAACCAACGGTCCCAACATGGATCTCAAGGATTTGGACACCCAAAATGCTTCGCTTCGCCACTCCAAAAGGGACCCGTACCTTTCGCCTCAACAAAAGATGCGCAGGATCGACCCTGAGCTTCGAAGCCGAGCCAAGCTGTTGCTCCGTGGTTTGGCGACTTTTCATTTCCGGCATCCCTAACCATGGGACAACAAGGGCTGCTTTTTACTGGTTGGTTTTGGAAGGGAGCCTATCACACCCCCCCAAAACAAGGGACCAGAAGGGTGCCCCAGACCGAAATTGCGCCGTATTTTGCTTGGATGTGGATGCTGCTCTTATGGTGACGGTGGACATACTTAGTTCCCCAAAGGACTTGGAAATAAAAGGTTCACCTTTTGGGGACCATTACTAGATCTAGACTTGACTTGGACCACCAATTCGAAACCCGAAAGGTTATTTGAGTCTTATGTGAGCCAAGTCCAGTGAATCAGTATCAACCATAGCCGACTTAACTGGGCTGCCCTGAGATCCCCCGCTAAGCTTCAGTGGGCTACATGGAAACTACCACTAAAAAGCTAAGGGGATGGCTGGGAGCCACCAAGTTAAGGCTAAACATCCAAGCAATCACTTGCGCTGGCCTTCCTCTCCAGCGCGAGCCCACAGATGCGGCACCTCCCAGGGCTTGCGGGAAGGTGGCAAGCGGGCTACAATTTGACATTTGGACGTGGCTCCTTTTGTTCGGAATCGGACACCCCCCAAAATGGCTTCGGCGTTCCTTGTGGTTGCCCTTTAAACTCCACAAATAAAGGAGGTTACCCTTAAAAAGGGACACTTCAGCATTTGGACCCCAAGCATAACATCTTCAGATTCTCCATATTTCGATCTCCAAACGCATGCCAATTTTCAGGTACTTGGAGAGTTTCATCGGATCCCTTTGCTTCAATGGAAGCGGCGCGGCCCGGCCAGGAGTCGCCATCCTCCCAGCAGATCCGCAAGGTCTCGCCTCGACTCACGGGAACGAGAAGGGGAGGCAAAAGGAAACCAACCATAGGTGGCCTTTGGGCAAAATCGAAGGCCCTATGAAACCAAACCATTTTGGGGGAAACCACTTTAGGGGAGATGGAAGATACCGCCAAGATCATCCGACCTGGTCCTGAAGCTTCCTTCATTTACTATCTCGCAGTGATTGCATTTCCCCTGGTTTTGTAGTTAACCAAGGGCAAGCGCCACCCTTTGAAAAGCCAAGAGGAAAATGGTGAAGGGATGCCTACAACAGTGGCTTGCCTACTACTGGCCAACTTGATTAGGGAACCAAAGGCTGGGATGTGCTGCTTCTCAGAAGATCTTCGTGTGCCATGTTGAATGCAACCCACTTCCTGAGTGGATTGGCCAAACTTGGCGTTCAAACTTGTTGTTTGCCACTAAAGTGTCTCCCAAAAAAGTATAAAGTCCAGGAACTCAGGAAGTGAGTCAACACTGTAGCAAATCTTGTTGCACATGCCAATCTCTTCATTCCCCGAAAAGACATCTGCCCTGACGCACTGTTTGCTCACTGCTTGTACCTAGGGACCCAAAGCGTCCCATATGTGTTCGGCGGGAAAGCTTCAATGGCAATCCTTTTGCCCTGGAAAGATGAAAGCTGAGACGTTGGCTCGATGCTTTCTGCAGGACATTGAGTGAATCGACCATGTCCCAAATCCTCAGACCTGGAACCATGGACCGATGCACATGCCCAGGGAGAGGGATGCAAACTAGACACCACACCTGGGTGCTTGTTGCCACATGCTCTAAAACCTGACATACATGGAAATCTGTGTAACAGGAATCAACATATCGTGTTGGTGTTTTTCTCTCGCATCCTGGAAACACTCCCAATGCGATATTATCATTTGCTAAAACCCATCTACTCGGGGAGTATGTAGTGGTTTGGGGGTCGCGAAAACCAAAAAACACATCAAATACATACCAAGCACAAGAGGTAGTGCGCAATCTTGTGCAGCATGTATATATATATATATATATATATTTACACTACATATACATATATATATATATGTTTGTTACAATCCTCGGTGCTGCATGCCGGGCTCAAAACGAAAATCCTGACCCAAAAGCATGTGTGCGTGTGTTTGCACAAAGTTCAGTTTCCGCTCCTTGGGTTAGCTTGAAAGGAACCGCACGATTTAACCCGCCTGCTTGCTTGCTTTGAAAGGGAAACCACCTGCAAAACAAGCCAGTTTGGTTGGCTTAAACTGGCGGACGGTTGAATGGTATCCCCAACAGCCACCCTCTGCACCTTTCCAATGGTTCGGAAAACACCCCCTGATTCCCCTCCGAACTACCCCAGCCATTTGCGGATGCGTCCCCTGGACAAAATTACAAGACATGTCCAGTATTGATATATAGATTCTGTTTAAAACCAACAGGATAAATAGATTATCTTCACAAACAATAGGAGGAAAACAATTCTCTTTAAAAACAGCAGGAGAAAAAAACAAATTATGCTGAAACGCAAATGGCAGGGAGCTGGTCGACCCCCTGACTACCGGGAAGCCGACGCTGGAAGAATCCCCGGCACTCGCTGCCAGGCACCTGGCGCAGTGAAAAAAACACTGACCCAGAGGGTCTGTTGGTACCTGGCTGTGGCTCAAAAAGTGTACCAAGATGGCAAATTGATAAAAGGAACCAACGACTAGAACATGTGTAACCCTAGCTCTGAAATTGTGAGCCACACCCACCTGAACATGTACCAAAGAAGGGACAAAGAGGTTTCAATTTTGGTACAACCTCACCAGGTACCAAGGAAGCCTTAATGATTAGCCCAATTTGGGCCATGTTTATGGGCTTGGTGCAAGTGCTGACTTGAATGAAGGAACAGGGGGCACCGCTGGAACTGGCCCCAGTATTTTACCATTCTCAAAGTCACCCCCGAAGTCATAGGCATATAAACACCTCCAGTTGCTGACGTTCAGAACCCCAAAACAGTCGAATAGCCAACCCGAATACACCAACAACAAGACCATCCGGATCTCTTGAATGTTTAGTCAACCTCGAGTCAGGCCATACGATTGCAGACCCCGAAGCTGACCACGCCTTGTCTCCGTCACCAACTTGATGTAGCAGAAACGAGTCGTCCTCCTCGACGAGCAACACATCGCGGCTTCCTGGCGCTGGTCCGAGTGGCAGGCTAGAGGGAAACAACCAACGGTTGCTGACTTTTAAGCCCTAGAAACAGTCAACACAATCGGGTAAAGATGTATAGTTTAACTCTCCCTACACTTCAGGCTGCCGACACATGCCCCATGCTGACTGCAGTGACTCCCCCTGATGCAATGATGGCGGACGGGCAGAGCGGGCAGCCTCAGCCTCCCCCCCCCCCCCAGCAATCCAGCACTTGCGGCAATAAGCATTCTTTAAACTGTTGGATTCAGTCAAGCCTAAACCCGTAGCCCGCTTAAATGACCCCAAAACGGACGGTTCCCGTGTTTTTTTGTTTAAATCATGCCTGGGGGCTCGGTGCTTGTTCTTGTTGCATTCACGCCTGTGGGCGCGGGTGTGTGTTTGTTTTTTGAATTCACGCCTTGGGGCTCCGTTTTTGAAAACAAACGCCTCTGGGCCCGGGTGTTCTTTCTTGAAGTCACGCTTGGGGGCTGCGGTGTTTGTTTTATTGAAATCACGCCCAGGCGTGATTTCAAAAGGAAAAGCGAGGTTCCAGAGGCGTGAATTCAAAAAGACAGAGCCCCAAGGCGTGAATTCTGAAAAAGAAAAAACACCTGGACCCCCCCAGGCGTGAATTAAAAAAAGGGACCCTCCAGGCATGATTTCAAAATACGTGATTCCAAAAAGACAAACACTGGAGCCGGCAGGATTTCAACAAAGAGCAGGACCCGCCGGCCCAGGCGTGATTTCACAAAAAAACACCGGGACCGAGGTGTTTTCTTCTATAGAATCACCAGTCGCTCACTCACGTGCTTGCTTGCTATGTCGGTGAAAAAAAAACGAAAATAAGAATCCAAAATGAGAAGCCAAAATGAGGAAATTCAAAACAAACACGGCTGTTGTAACTTCAAAACACACACACAAAAAAGAGCTTCCCAAAACGGACCCAACACCCGCCCCAAGTAAGCTTTAAGCCGGCCTGATGTGCGGCTCGCTTCAGACTTGTGGCTAGAAGAGAGATGCTTCCTAACACAGGTTGGCATCAACCATTGGCATATGAGGGTTTCCGTAAAACACTGAAAAAAAGCGGCGATCCCTCCGCTTCCGCGCCGCTACCGCGACGCAAAGCGTACCTTCTGCAGCATCCATAGCTGCGAATGCTCTTCATCTGCTCTGGTCAGCTGTGAAATTTCGATTGGTTATTCAGCAGATCCAGACCAAGGCATCTCCTTAGAAGATCTCGAGAACATTCCGGGACAGGCTCTTGGTTCCAGTTTGCGGGCTATGCCAGCGATATGGGCATCGTTTGGGCATCGTTCGGGGCATCGTTCAAACCAAACCGTTTTCTTGTCCAGGCATGGTCAGTTTGATTTGTACAGCAGCTAATGAGTTGGGTATCGGTTGGGCATTGGTTTGGGTATCGGCTTGGGCCCTGGAAATGTCTGATTCCGCAATCGTGGTTTGGGACAACAGCTTGGACCTGATGTGTGTCTTGATGGCTTCTGGGGGTATCGCATTTTTTCCCCTGTATCGGTTTACAATGGTTTGGGCCTGCGAAACAAGTTAAGGGACGTCCCCCGTCCCCTTACATAACGAAAAGGCGCGGGGTTTCTATTTCAGTACGCGTCGGGCACTTTCCGAGCTCCGGCTCGAGAATCGCAACTTTTAGTACAAATGTAGTACGCGAAGGCCACTTTCTCAGCTCCAGCTCGTTGATCTGGAACTTTTCATACACAGATGTAGTACGCGAGGTGCACTTTCCGAGATCCAGCTTGAGAATCGTAACTTTTCGGTACAAGCGTGTAACATGTTTAATGGCAAGCCAATGGATTGAAAGAACATAACAGGTCGCAGCTTCTGCGCCGCTTCCGCGGAGCTTCCGCGGCCTGCGTTTCACTTGCTTACCAACATAACCACCGCCACTAGCCACATAAAAAAACGAATACAGCTATTTACGCGGAAAGCCTAATATGTTTTGCTTGGCATCAACCCGACCCCTCTCCCATCTGGCAAAAGATGTTTGAGGTCTGTTCTGCATGGTTCTGCAAGCATCTGAGCCAAGCTCACCAGATTCTGGCCACGTTGCTTACGCATGCCAACAAAGACAAAGGGTCGCGATGCAGCTGTTTCCATTTTTTCCCCGGCTTGTTACTAGCCCCGGCTCAGCACCAGGCCTCTCACGTGCCTAACACTTTGGCTGGGAACCCTGCAGGCCTGGTTGGCCAGGCGGGGGGTCGCTCAGACCCAGGGCTTCGACTTGGGGATGGATTCAGGTGAGTTTGGGCTTGCTCAAATGATCTCAGATGTTAATGGGGTCGTCTTGGGTTTGTTTGGGGTTCATTTTCGCGGTGCTGAGGGTTGCCTTTGGGTCGGTTTAAGATCTCAGCACGCCCAAAGCAAGTCTCAACTGCCACCAAATCTCTGAGCGAGGTCGGTGACGGTGATGCTGGGGATGCGGCCAACCAACCAACCAGCCCACTAGGAGCTAGAAACAAAAACAGGTTCCACCAAAACATGGTACCCAACGAACTAATCTTAGCCAGGAGGCTAAGTCGCAGCATCCCAACAGCAAAGCCCGAAACACTTTCGGAAACCGAAAAGCCGCGGCACCTCACTCTGCCTATCTCGGCCTGAAGCTTTCAGCTAAACAACAGGCCTCCGTAAGGTACCAGGGGTGACTGGATTTCCCCTTTGATCAAATTTACCGGTGGTTTCCATGGCAACGATCGCCGCTTTTGGAGGTTCCCTTTAAAGGGAAATGGCTCCGACACCCTGACTTACCCTGGACATGCCATTTTTGGAGTTGCTACTCCTCTGTGTGTTGTTAAACATAGAGACTTATAAGAAGAACACCACTGCGCCAGTTGAGGGGGCTCCAAGACTTTGAGACACACCCACTTACTTACTTGCCCCGAGGACCTGAACATACAAGGTGATCACCTTTTGGTGCCATGACTTAAGACCAAAAAGGCATTTCAGGTCGACCGCGACTTCTTCTGGACATACCATGCCAACTGCCCGCCACTTGCTGGGGCGATAGGCAAGGAATTTTCGAAATGGACCGACCCCAAGACAAAAATATCCATCCAGCTGGTGGCTTCCTTTACTCAGGAATCGAAATCCCCCAAAACCAGTTCATTCCAACTCATTCCCTAGGATTCGTTCATTCCAACTCATTCCCTACCTATCCTCACTTGCCCAAAGGACCTGGAAATACAAGGACAACCTTTTGGCACCTTAAACATGCACCAACTCATGGCTTCTCAGGTCGACTCGCCTTTGGGCCAAGTGAGGTCGATTTCGCCGTCGACTTCGCCGACTTCGCCCGCGGTCCTTGGGGCCAAACCACCTGGTCCCCCAGGACCTCGATGGGCTCTTCGTCCTCCGAGCGCCAGGCCTGGCGGATCGAGTGCATGGAAAAGTGGGTCGATCCGGTTCCAGCGATTCAAACACCGGGAATATTTTTGTTTTAACGTTTAAAGGGAAGCCCAAAGGAGACATGAAACCAGTTTTCTTTTTTTGGGGGGGGAGGTGGGGGGGGCCATAAAGGACACACTGCTGGACACGGCCATGTGCGGGTTCATCAAAGGGTCCGAAATACATGGGATGACCATTGGCTGGAAAACCATGGAACAAATGATATTTCTCATGTGGACAGTTACCCATGGTAATTCGGGGGCCAGGAATATTGATCAACCCCCTATGCGGGCTCCCACCAAAAACAGCGCAACTCAAAGGGGAAAGCTGAACAAACATGTTGTTGCAACCATAAAAGTTGCCACCCTGTCCTTGAATGTTTTTATCCCGACTGCTTGAAACTGGCCAGCGATTGCATTGTTGCAGCCTGAAAGTCACGCTTCCCCATCGTGAGCACGGCACAAAGGGCTCGACTAAGCACACAGGAACTGGAAGCAACAGCTACGTTCAAGTTATTTAGTGACAATCTTAATCAGGGACCCTTTGGAGGCCGTTGCCGTTGACACCTTTCCAAAAGCTTAACTTATTGTGAGTTGAATGGAAAGCCCACTGTTTCAACCAACAAGTTAGAGTCCAAAGATCCAAAACCAAAATAGCCATTAAAAACCATGCCCACTTTCGAGCTGGCAACTCTCAAAAAAGCCATAGCCGCGCCCGTGGCCAGTAAGTGTGATGTTTTTGCGGGAAGAACTAGGTGTGGTTGCACAGGTACCTCGGTTGGGGTCTCTTGAACGGAAACAAAGGGAGCACCCACTTTCGGGGGTTGCCAAAGACCCTCAAATGAGCAACGGGCGGTATTTCTGGGGTCGCGCTGAATCGATGTAGGTGGTCCAAAGCCCACCTTTCAGGGGTCCAACTGGATGTGTCTCAAAATAGGAAAGGCCCCTTAAAAACCACCCCAAATGCCCTCAAAAGAAAAAGGCACGCCCAAGTCCCTCGAATTCTTCGCGCATCGGCGGATTCGACCTCGAGCAATGGGGCGCCGGAGTGGCCCCCTGCAGCTCCCAAAGGATCTTCGGCCACACGGCGGAACGTAGCTCGTAGCGCCCCGTCCTCGCAATGTCGTTCTTGTCACTGTCCCTGTAAACACCGATTTGGGCTTCCCCGGTAAATGGATAGCATAACTTGCAGGTGCTCAGTAGGGAAGGACCCTGGGTGTTTGGATTTTCCAGGTGTTGAAACCAGCAAAGGATGCCCTCAAGAAAAACACAGCTAAGAGAAGGGTTTCCCCGTAAACGGATGGCATAAAACCAATCTAAACCAGACCCACCGACCTGTCCCGGATCGAACCAATCAAAAAGACACCGGTCCAGTCTCCCGTCCACATGCAAGTCCAGTTTTGCCCAAGCAACTTGGTTTTTCGCACGGCTGGAAGTCGCTATTTCGATCGGAGGCACATGGGGTACTCACTTGAGTGAACTGGCCAAGAAAAGTAAGCAACCACTTTTAATTTCCCACTAAAACGGTCTTCCCCAAAAGTGACTAAAGTGTCCATGAACTCAGGGAGTGAGGGTATAGAGGATATGCCTAAAAAGACGAGGATTGTGCTAACATCAGCTTTTCCCATCGTTCTTGTCTCCAATAGGGCTTTTGCCAGGGGGAGATGATGATGGATATGTCTTTCAAATATTCTTTTGCCACCGAAGCTGCTGACATGAGGATCAGGACAAGCAGAGGCGCAAGGCAAGAAGATGCACGAGCACAGGCTCCTGAAGTTCCACTTCTGCCTTCACATTTGTCAGCGGAGTTGAACAGGGTCTAACCGGTTCTGATTTCGCTTGCCAGCCTGCACTCAAGGACAATGTGTGTATTCGAAAGGAACCACACACTGGAGGTGAGGAGGCCTATGTCAGGCAGTTAGATAATCCTGGTTGGTTCCCTCCTGATTCACCCCTCCAGGGTCCCTCTCGCTTGGACAATGGTCATTGCATATGGACACTGCATGAGGCAAGTGGGCTATAAGCATAACCGGTCCAGAACCCTCCCAAAAACCCCTTACCCCCGAGTAGCATTCCATGGGATGTGGCTAGAAGGAATCCATGCCCCAGCAAGTTCTGAGAAAAACGGAAAAACAAACAGCATCTTTTGGTCGTTGACTTGCAAGGGACCTCCCCCCCCAAAAAAAATCAACAAGAACAGGGTACTGGGGGTCTGGGCAAAGGCCAGATCTTCGAGAATTTGGCGCAATTCTTTTTCGGTCCTCACATCCAGGAAGCTGAGCCAAGACCTGGGGTTGGAAGCGGTTTGATTCGACCAGTGGGGTTTGGAGCCGAATCGGGTTAGTGCTGCTCTGGGGTGGTTTCCCATCCCTCTACCAAGGGTTCGAATCCAAACCCCCAGCTACCTTCAAGACCAATTCAATAAAACAACATATCAGTTGAATTCAGCAGGTGTTTTTGGGTGTGTCGGCCCTATACACTGGCAGCCATGCCTACGCGGAGCCTCCGCGGGTGTGCAAAGGGGTGCCTACGCGAGCCAACGCGGCAACCAGCTATACGCGGAGTGCCTGCGCATACGTTTCTCGGGCGCTACTCTGAAGTTTGTGTGAGGCAAAACACCCTGCGCGAATGGCTTCGCCCACCGGAATTGCCAACGCGATGTCTCCGCAACATAAAAGGAGCTCCCCAGGGCATATACTTTTGTTGTTGGGCCCTGTTGTGATCATTGTCATCCCCGCCTTTTAAAGCAAAACCAAACAACTGGACACTCGGCAATGGCCCCAACCTGAATCGCGCCAAGCACTATTTTACATCAGATCCTCTGAAGCAAACGGATGCCAAGGCTCAAGCAAATGGACATCAAGTGGAAGCAAGCCGACACTCATTTACTCCCCGGATGAACATGGAAACAAAATTGCCATCATGTGCGGAGATTGTTTTTCTGTGGGGGGGTGCTTGTTTTTGGGGTCCCTTCAACGCAGGTGGTACAGTATGGGTCCGCTCTTTGGCTGCTTAAGGCAAATCCTTTCAAATCCAAGTGGAAAAAGGATGCTTTTGATGAACGCTACCAAAGTGGGTTCTTGGTTTGTCTCCGAGTGACATCGAGCTTCCCAAATGGTTTAGGCTCGGTTTTCTTTCGGTTCCATTTAAGCCAACCCGAATTGTGGTACCGTTTTTTGGGGGCGAACCTCAAACGAGGAAGAAAAGCACCGAACAAAGACAGCGGGACCAAGAAACACTTAACACTGCTCTCACGCGGCTGCGGCATCAACCTCGAACGATCCTACTTTGAGCCAAAACACGCACGAATGTCGGTCAACCAATCTGAAAACGAGCCTACCGCTACATGATCAAGTGATGGCTGCATAGGAGCACTCATGGTGTTGTAGTATCCTGTAGATTCTTGACAAAAACATGTTTAAAAGGTGGAACACACTGGCAACTGGGCTACCACTTTGCCCATCTGAATCAGTATATCTGATACGGATTTGCCTCCAATTTGGGGGCAGACTCTACATTCCAAGACTTCAAGCTGCAAATTCTAGAAACTCGATGCGTCAACTGTGAAGGAGCTGGATGGCAGACTTGACAGGTGAGGAGCGGTTAGGATGGGCAGGGAGACGTTTCTAGCGCGCCGCAGGGAGTTCTGCATCGGGGCTTTGGCTGAGCCAGACCGTGCAGTAGCTCTCGGGGTGTTGACCTTCTGCTGATTGCAGTCATCCAAAGCACGCAGTCACGCAGCCCCTAAGACTTGGTTGACGTTGAAAGGGGAGCAAAAAGTTAAAATTTAGCAGCTAAGTGGGGATTTGAACCACTAAACCATAATAAGCAAAAATGTAACATGTTTCCCAACAACAACCATGAAGATATCGCAGCAAACGGCAATAGATGAAGGCTACGCGCTTAACACTTGCCGAGTGGTAAATAGCACCGCAATTTGCCATGGAAGTAAGGGATTGCTCCTGTTATGGTCACGGGGACTAATCTGAAGTGGTTACAGTCCATTCACGCGGGGGTCAATTTTGGATATCCCCAGCTTTCTCAGGACTCGGGAAGCACAAGAATCGTGTGGAAAAGGGAACGGGCCAACCTTTCTCATTTGGCGAAGCTTCCTTATAAGGACCTTTTCCTGATTAATCCAAAGAACAGGGCATCGCTTGACAGGTGCGGCCTCAGGTGTCCCGCAACCTGCTTGGATAGCTCCAAATCAGGCACTTCAATGATTCATACTGTGGATGGAAGAAATCCATTGCGCACCACTTGAAACCATGGTTTGTTGGCATTTTTCAGTTATTCCAGGGTTTAGCTGCTCACTCCCATTTTCCAAGGAGGACCTGAGGGACCGGGGGAATTCCAAAACCACCGGAGAACTGTGACAGGTGGCAGCCACGCATCGTCTGGTGAAGGATGTGCCCAAACCAGGCAAGAATCAACAGTAGCTGTCGCGAGCTTTTCACCGGGGATTTACTACTTCCGGCTTTCATTCGTCTAAGACGTTCATGTCCACAACATAGGGCGGGGGTCCGCTTGGGTGCTGTAGGTCCCTCTGCAACAAGTGTTTAACTTGTTGCAGGTTAGGATCTCATATGAGGGGTATCGAAAAAGTTAAAGTCTTTAGATCGCCAAACTGTTGAAGTAACATCATGTTGAACTTCATGCGGGGCCAGGGTTTGCTTGTTCAAACCCATTTTGCCAAAACCTGGTCTAACATCTAAAGATCAGTTCCCCAATAAGCAGAAGGGTGCTACCATCCCAGTAGCGCGATCCAAAGCCATAACCTTGTCAGATGCGATTTCCGACACGAGGAACTGCTTTGGGCGTAGCAACCTGTGGCTTGTTTCGGTCTTGGCATCCTTTTCTGGGCGGTCCGTTTTCAGAACCGCTGCTAAAAGTGACTAACTCTTATTGGGAGAAATGGGCACCCAAACGCCAAACCAAATAACAACGTAAAACCTAAGGAACCGGATGGCTGGGAATCAAGTTTTGAAAAGGCTTCACCCCCCACAGCGGTTGTGGCACACTCTCCAAACGAGTCTTCAGGGTGGCGCTTGACTTGCCCGAACTTGGCGCTCGTCTCGGTTCCCGCGCCCGGCGGTGAAGTTGTCGTTCACCTTGCGCCTGAAGGCATCTCATTGAGGCTCGGGGGCCAGGGCAGTGAGTCGAGTGGGACTTCTCACTTATCGAGTGGATTGGCAACAAACAAGTCTAAAAGTAATATATGTCCACTTCAATTGTCTTCCCCGCAGTGCCACAAAGTGACTAAAGTCCGAAACTGAACTCAGGGAGTGAAGTTTTGAAGAGGGCCCCCTTGGTTGACATTAGAGATCGGGAGCCATGTCCACCAAAAGTTTCTGGCACGACCCGGAAACTTTGAAAAGACACGGCCCAATTTCCCTGTAACGTGGGCATCCTGGGGCTCACAATGTTGGACTCTCCAAATCTCCCATTTGGAATGCCACGCTGACATGGGAAGCAACAAATCTGGAGAACCTCCATTCGCGGATACCCCCTGGAAAAAAATAGAATTTAAAGTATTTCCAGTAGTGATAGATTTCTCAGAATCAGGCAGCTGCAGTTGACGGGAAAAGCCAGCAGGGGAAAACACGCAAATACCCATAAGCAAATGAAAGGGAAGGGCTTGCAACCCTTAGGTATCACTGGGCTTTGCTTTTCTCCACATGCGCCATGAGTGTGTCGACTCCAAGATCCAGGTGCGGGCCGAAATGACGGCAAAGGGGGCTCCTATCAAGGGGATGTTCAGAGAAGGGGTTTAAAGATGTGGATGTGCAAAAACCACCTCCTACCAGTTGCGATGGCTGAAGCCCTCTGAATCAGAGCGGGATAAACCAGCAAATTGGTGTAGGACTGTGTTCATCCACATCATGGATCACCTGCCACTTTTATTCTACGGGTACCCATTTCGGAATGGTTTGAAGGGAAGCGAAAAGGGAGCCACCTCTTTTGGGTGATCCACATACCCACTTGCCAACTCTTGACATTGTAGCAAACCACTTTGCTCTTTGCAATGAACAGAACCAAAGACCGAAAAAGATACCTAAAGCATGTCATGTTTTTAGGTATCTTTCTTTCGGTCTTTTGGTTGTGTTCATTGCAAAAAACAATGATCCAACAGTGAAGCCTACATCCACCGGTTTTGTTCCGGGCAGCTTGGGGGCGCTGACTCCTGAGCGAGCGGCAGGTGAGCCACGACACGCTTGCCGTCTTCGGAGAGGTGGTACCGGCTCTGGCCTCACAGGTGGGCTTCCTGTTGCTTCATCTTTGTGGGAAACCGTTGCCAAAAACCGGGTTTGAAACCAAAAAACATGTGAACTTCAACATTAGGGAATGTGGGAATGAACCCAGGCTTTGGTCCCCTTAAAGCAAACCACCAGTTGGATGGTTTATAGGGGTCATTCCAATTCTCATTCCCTGCTGAGCACCAGCAAGTCAGGTATCTCCAACAAAAATGGTGGTTGGGATTGGTGGTTTGGATTTGGAGTTGAAGCCCCGGTTCTTGTAGAGGGTCAATCTCCAAACCACCAATTGGAGGGAAACGGAGGGTTTGGGCCCATTGAGACATACGCATTTTGTCCACTGATCTTTCGGACCCAAGAAAAAACCAACACCTGTTTATTCATAGCGGGGTTGGGGAAACCCCTCCCAAAGTGGTCTGGTTCCACACTAACCCAGGGACACTCCCTTATTAATAAACAGGAACGCCTACCCACATCTCAAACAAAGGCGCCATCATGCGCCATCATGTCTGGGTTCATTTTACCCAGTGCGCTTGTCTCAAATAGGCCGATTCTTCCATGGCGAGACTTTTCGCTGGGACCCTTTGCGGAATGAAGTTGGTTCATGGCTCGAATAAGGCTGCACCGAAAAGGGCATGTTTAATACCTCACCAATAGGCGAATGGACAAATCAGGAACCTTCTATTTTTGGGTATGCAAAGCAAGGGAACCTAGACAGGGTCAATCTCTAGGTTTGTCACTGGCATGATAGGTGTGATCCATGCACAGCTCCGGGTGACTGGTCCAGGACCAGAAGTACGACAGGCGAGATTGATCAATTTGGGTGCATCTTCAGACGGGGGAACTCCCGTGCGTGGCTTCCGTCCGGTCTCTCTTTTGCAATGTTGGCAACTTGATCCAAAATCGTTCCGGCCAGGGCCGCCGTTTACGGAGTAAGTCGAATAACCAAAAGCAAAAAAAAAAACGATTGCACCATTGGGGTGGTGTGTTGTTTGAGGGTACCAAAACAAAGGTGGCTCTCCTTTTGGTGTTCCCTTAAACCAAAAAGGGGAGTCCATTCAACACAAAACACACGAGCCACCCATTTTGTGTGCTGTTTCCCTGCGTGACCCACCCTATAGATTCTCAGTTGCAACCCTGAAAAAAAGTGCTCACCGTTAGTTTGGCCACTGCTTACTTGCCCAAAGGACCTGGAAATAAAAGAAGGTTAAAAGGTCGGCTTTGGGCGAGCGATACTAAAAATAGACCCAAATATGGGAAACCAAATGTGGGCAAACTATGATTGTTTGTTATCTTGAAATGGATTGGCGAAAACGGGGGCTAGGTTCCTTCAGTTTCCCTAAGACCCTAAGAAACCTCAAACAGGGTACCGCGGGCCCAAATAGATCCGGATGTACTAAACCGGGGATATGTGTTTGGAGGTGGTCTGGGCACTCGTAGTAGTTGGTTGGTACCCAGTGTGAGGATTTTAAAGGGGGATGCGGAACTACACATTTCGGAGGGTTCAGACAAAGCCATTCATTTGGGTTGTGGCTGACGGGCAAACAACTACTGGGTCCACTATCTCAGCGGAAGTTTGTTGGTCAGCCCGAATGTTATAATATGAACGAAACAACAACACGACTTATTTGCTTGGAGGAAAATGGCATCATGCAACTAAGTAACACTCTAATCGCAGTACCCTCCTGATCTGTTCAGGGATCCTTCACTTCAAACAAATCGGCAACTCGTTTGGAAAACAAATTGGCAGCTTCTGAAGACCCTCATGATGCCCTCATGTTAGCCGCAGCAGAACTCACTATCTTTTGGCGGTAGATGTCACGCGCGTAAAATCAATTGCCACTCGTTTGGAGGGCAATTTGGTGCCATTTTGAGGGTACCCTTTTACAGGTTGGTTTAAAGGGAAATTCAAAGGAACCGCACCCATTTGGGGTGTCCAACTCTCTCAGGGCCAACTTACATACCCCAAATGGACATACCCCACCTTTAGGCCTATAGGGATGGGTTCTTTTTGGTTATATACCCCAAAATATCACCCATGCATCACCCATGTTGAGGTACTGTGGATGGACGAAATCCTGCACCACTTGGAAACCATGGAAAGAAATGTTTGATGGTATTTAGGGGGAAAACATGGTTCCAGGGTTTCTTAGGTGATGCGAAATGGATTTCGTCCATCCACAGTATGTCCATTTGGGGTATGCAACTTGGCCAATAGAACCTCCAGAAGAAAATCTGCGACTCGCCTGGCTGAATAAGTCCCCAGAGGTTCAGCCACTGGAAGCGATGGGTCACCTAAGGGGCCCAGAGGTCTCAGGGATCAGACCGTTGGCATTGGGGTATCGTCTTTTTGTTGGGTGCCTGTTGATGTTCTTGTTGTTGGGGGGAAGGGTGAAGGGAATCAGCTCTCTTTCTTTGGAGGGGCTGGGTGGGGGTGGGGGGAGGGGTTGGGGTATCAGTGTTTGCTTTTTGTTTGGGGCCAGGGTTAAATGAAAACCATCAAATTTTCACCGAATCCATGTGAGGGGTCCGAATCCCAAAAACAATCCGCACCCAGTGCCTTTGTTCATCATTCGAGTCACCAAAGATGTCTCAGGTGGTCCCAAACATCAGGAAGAGATACCTCTACAGAGAAACTCGGGGAAAAACGGAACAGGAGGAACACACGTTGGTTGCAGAAAACTCACCTCCAAACCGGACAAAACAGGGATACTGGGCTGGTCAGATCCGATCCCCTGCAAGTTGAACATGTTGAGCGGTGTGGACTTAAAACAAACTAAACCAACTAAAAAGAACCAAACATAAGGAACCGGATGGCTTGGAACCATCAAGGATATTCGTTTCTATCGCTGATCTGTATAACCCATTCCAACCCCTGGAAACGGCTTGGGGGTTGAAAGCATCTTAGACATAGTGACGGTATTTTTCGGGATTCTCTGCATGACTTTTGGGCTTCCGTTTCACTATGGGAGGATTCTCGATCTCCCCCGGCATGAAAGGACACTCACGGAAAATCTGGCAACCAAACTGTGACGTGAAAAAAAGACAGCAACAGGGAAATCACTGGGAACCCTCAACAACCCAGCAGTGAATATGTGTGTGTGTGTGAGATTCTTTTTAGGGGGTGGCTTCCTTCACACAAAACTTTCTCACAGGAAAATAAGACAGGGATTTAGACATGAAGATTCTTGTAACCCACGCCTAAGGGAAGATACAAAGGGACAACATGGAACAAATGGTTCAGGAAGGGGTCTCAGCGTGCACCGTCCCCGATTAAACCCTTACCAGGGCTGAGGGGCTTTTCAGTGAAGCTCGACACCAGCCATGCCCTGCCTCCTCCCTTTCTAATTAGCATTCCCGGGGATAGACCGAAGCAAGTGTCAAAGATGATGGATTTCGAACAGCCGATGCTTCAGCGACAGAAAGTTAGAGGGACCCCAGCCTAAAACAGAAAATATGTGACGCGCGCGCGCACGAACCCACAAACATACACACACACACACAAACATACACGCACATACACACATATACACAAATATACACAAATATACACATATATACACAGATATACACACATATAGACGCACCGTAACACAACAAAGGCGGAAACAGCTAACCACACTCAAACGGCGCACTCTCACCTGAACTACAAAAGGTAAACCATGATAATGATGAGGCGTGCGTGGGAAACTGTAAACCTTATGGCTAATCCATAGTGGGACGCTAGGGAAACCACTCCCATCTGACATAAGGATTCAGGATTTATTGAAGCAAGTCTGTGAAACAGGGTGAAATCCATAGAGTGGAACGCACACACGCGCCAAAAAAGTCGAGCATAGGGAAACTCCTCCTGGATTCGAGGGAAACCAACAAAATTATAATGGTGACATCCATTGTGTTCAACGGAATCCCAGAAGCAAACAATTGGGTGCATCTGTGTCTTCAGGGTGTCCCTTTTTTGGTCGTTCTAAAGAACAACTAAGAGACACACGATCCTTTCAGGCATCCCCGATTTTAAGACGCACCCAATATGGAAAATGTGGGGTGACACCTGCTGGAACCCAACAAAGTACATTGACACACCATGACTTTCAAAGTGGCAGCCAGCTCCGTGGACAATTTGGCTGCTCAAAACTGGAATGGCACCTTTGTAAATGGAGACAGAGCCTAAACCCAGCATAACCCTAGCCCTCAATTAGCCAAACCCATTTGAGCCAAGGTCAGAACTCCTACTTATGTGGCCTATGGTCATGGTTCCCGTAACAGGAATCATTGCAATGGTGATTGCGGATCCTTGCTACCAGGTGGATGATCATTCCTGTGAACCCCAAGTAATGGGAACCCCAAGCAAAGGGGTCTTCTGACCTTGGCACTCTTGGGAAACGCGCACTTTGAACGGTGACACCCTTAACCGATTCAACACTGGGCCCTTGGCACCTGATCTGAAAGGTAGCCCCTCGAAAATGGTAGCCCCTCGAAAATGTGTCGTGACACCCACATATTTACATCCAACAACTGTGACGTATTCTAAAAGAGCTCCCATCCAACAAATGAAAAATGGAAATTGGAGCCCCCTTGCAACTGGTCTCATCCTACAAAAAACAAACATGCAACAACAGGAAAAAAAGCCGTCCACTTGCAACTCGGTAGCTCTTTCCGAGGTGTCCGTGACAATCAGACGCAGCAGGTTCGGCCTGGAGGATTCTCCGAGCGCTTCATAAGCAATACTGCAGGACGAAATCCTGTACCACCAATCTTAGGTCGTTCATTCCATGAATCTAACGTGAAACGGTGCAGCTGTCACAGTTGCAGCCATTTCAGCCAAGGGCCACCACCCGAGTGAGCACACGAGCCACTGTGCCACTCTCCAGGGTCATGGAGATCTAGGGACGTATGGGTTTTGAAAGTCTGGATGGTTTACGCGTATATACGGTACCAATATAAGCTTGTAAGGCACTATAAGTGTTGCATCACCTCCATCCCTCCAAGACCTCTACTTGAAAACCCCCTTGAATCTTCAGGCTCCTAGCTGTACTTCCCAGCCATGCCATCCGATGAGCTCTCCCACGAGCCAGTGCCAAGAACGAGGGCGCTTTATGGAAAGCGTACACATGAGCTGACAACATAACAAGGTGTGGCGATTCTGCCCCTGACATGTGAAAACCATTTCCCCAAAAGGTGCTGGCTAGAAATCCTACTACAGAGCAGCCAAAAGTGCATTAAAGGCATCCGCCTAAAACTGATACCTTCGTGAAAGGGCCCCACTTCGAGGGATGCTCAAAACCACCATAGGCGTGTCTTCAACTCGGCCCCACCCTAGAAATAACCTCGGCAAAACAATATTGTGTGTGGTTTCCATTCAACGAAATGTCCAACTTGTGCTCAATATTCTCCAACTTTCCAAATGTTTCTCCCGTTCAATACCGTGGATGGACAAAATCCAAGTCGCACATAAGAATCCCTGAAATGATTCGATTCCCCTGGTAACTACCAACAAAGGTTCTTCCTTCCCATGGTTTCATTTCGTGGCGCGAGAAGCGGATTTCACCACCATCCGCCGTATCACCCTTAAGGAAACTCAAAAAGGCAACCCAACAACAGCCGAGCTGCAACCAAAAGGTCCCAGGGCCCGGGGTCTGGGTATGTCATCTTGAGAGGCCGATTCCCAACATGGATTCGTCTGTCCTTTTGGTTTGCTCACTCGCAGAAAGAGCTGTAGAGGGCCAACTTGCGTAGGTCCGGGAAATACAAACAAAGACGTACACAGTGCAGTCCAACATGGCGGCGCTTTTGCCGGGAGTGACTGCACCTCCCAAAGGACCAGAAACAATATAGCCTTCCGAGGATGGGACATTCAAAGGCCATTCCAGGTCGATTCGCATTGAGCAAGCGAGATAGACAGACCACCGATCCACGCCTGATGTCCACCATCACCAGGCCATTCCTGAGTCAAGGCACCCTCCCATCCGGTGCTCGAAGAGCCCCGTGGCTGTTTCCGAGTGGGGAAAAAACGGGTTGGGGTTTTGGTGTGTCTCAATCCGTTTGGTCCCTTGCTTTCCTTCCCCTCGAAAGGAGACACTGAGTGGGGCCCAAAATGCGGCTTCAGAGGTACTCGCTAGGCGTGGGATGCCCCATTCAGGGTAGCTTCAGTAACTCCCTGAATTTAGGGAACGTTTGCTGAAAAAAAACTACTTCAGCAACCAAAGCTTGGCTCATGTGCAGCGATTCTTAAGTTACCCTCTCTCTCCCCCCAACATTGCAGTCTTCAGGTACCCTCCCATGCCATGGCAACGTGGAGGAAGGGAAAATCAGGGATCCTTGTTGGAGACCTTCCGCTTCATGGTTGGGGGCTACGAAAAACAGTCAAGCTGCAAGAGCCAGAAGCATGATTCTTGCGACCATGGCGTTCGTATAGTCAAGCCGGTGAATCCACCGGGTCGACAACATCCCCGTGGACAGCCCAAGGCGCTGGTTCAAGGCTTTCAGCCTCTCCCCGCGCAAGCCCGGCACGCGCACGTAGAGCAGCACCGTACGGCCCTAGCAAATTCATCAAGTGGACACCACAAACCACAAACAAAATCCGACGTCCAGCACGAAGTCTCCATGACCTTTAAACAATGGTTGGCTTCATCTACCTGGGCCATATGCATATATATATATACACATGTATATATATATATATGTATTTACATATGCACATATTGGGGCGGCGGGGGGTTATAGAAAGTATTGAACGTGTCTGGTGGGAATCCGGTTGATTCATATATCCCTGCTGAATGAATCTGACTTGTCCTATTCAAAAGGCTTGCACCACACCGCTCAACATCCGCAAGCAGTCATAGAAAGTCAGCACGCTCCCACCCGCGTTGCCATGAAAGCACAAAGGACCCTTGCAAAGGAGCAAAATGGGTGTGAACTTTAACCTCCATTTGCTCAAGCCCCCTGGAAAAACAAACATATTTCCAGTAGTGATAGATTCCCTTGAAACCAACCGGGGAAAATCAAGCATGTTCTTAAGCAAATGGGAGTTCATGGGTCCCACACCAGAGCTCTGGTGGAGTTGGGGCTTTATGCCCACCCACCATCTGGGAGGCTGCCCCCCCCCAAAAAAAAAAAACCCATGACAAAGACATTGAGCAAACATATAGACGCCCGTTCTAATAACATGTATCCCCGTATGTCGAACATTTGGCTTACCCACACACACACACACAAGTGCACACGCCTAAGCCTCCGCAGAACAGCCGGGAACAACTTCAAGACACTGCAAGCTGACATGCATAGTTTCATGTTGGTTCCCTTTAAAGTGAAAATCGCAGAACGGAAAACTCCATAAGACACACACCTGTCTGCTTGGACGCCATGGACCTTTGAGGGCGCCTCCCTTCAAAACAGCCCGGATAATTGAATCGCCAACTCGTAGGTAGACTCCAGCGGCACACGTGTCCTCCAACGGGTGAATTTAGGTGAGCCACCCGTCACGAAGGGCTCCCTTGGCTGCATACGGCACTGAATCACTCCCCCCCCCCCCTTGAATCTGGCAACTGATCAAAAACGGGTTTTCTCAGTTGACACTGGGTTCCTGAACGTCGATTTGGTTGCTGAACTGGTCATCCCAAATCTCCGTCGCGAAGTGAGAAAACGAGACGCCGGGGATTTTGGGGGTGATTTTGTGGGGAAGCCAATGGTTGATTTCCAAACGGAAACCAGAAGGAAACCAACTACTTTCATAAATAGAGCTAGGCCAAGTTATAGAATGTGTAATTGATTGTTTGCTTCCCTTTGAGCTACTGGAAACATGTAAAATGTATCCTAAGTCTACCCCAGCTTTGTCGCCCTCTGCAGCTGATGCCCACCGAAAGGAATGCCACCAAGCTAACTTGTTGTTTTTTTTCCACGGCCTACGGCAGTCAAAGTCAGACTTTCTGCTTTTCAGCGGTGCGATGCTTGAGGGGAAGTATAGGAAGCCAGCAGAAAGCAAGGGAACTAACCGTCCTGAAGGGTCCCCGCTTTTGAGACACTCCCAACATGTGGTTAGGGCCCATCCTTTTTCACGCAGTTGCGTGGGATGATAAACCTATCAACCCCAAGTTAGGAGACCTGAAAAACCCCTTAACCAAACATACCAAACCATTCGGCTGCCAAGGCCCCTCCCGTGAGTTCCCACCTCGTCGCGCCAGCTCCACTGCTCTTCGACCTTTGCGATGGTAGAGCCATCGGGCAGCGGCACGGGCAACCAGTCCTCGGCCTGAAAGCTCCCAACACGTGATGCCATGATCATCTTGGCTTTACATGCAGTAAGCATTGTAGCAGAGAACAACTTGACTGGTCAGCTGTCCCTTCGATCAATCTGAACTCTTAGGGTAGTGGAGAAGCATCGATTTTTTCAGATTAAACTGCTCCGTCAATGCGTGCCCTTTTGCAAAACCATGGCTTCGCCGCATACGATGCGAGCGCGGACATGGTCTTAACGCGCTGGTTCCGGAGGTGGGTCGTGATGAGATTCGCAGCCAGTCGCTGGCCCAAAGAAAACGATGAAATTCCGTTAGACCGCAAGCTCAGTGCCGCCCCCCGCAAGCTTTTGCAAGCTGCATGGCAAAGACACTCCATGCAAACGTCGGTTGAATAAACGGCCGAAAGCTAGGCTCTGCAAGCTGTCTGGCAAGGTCACTCCCAAGCTTTCCGTGTCCAGGCTGGAGCCAAGAGCCAAATGCTGCAAACTGCCTGGCCAAGTGATTCCCTGCAAGCGTTGGTTAAACCCATCACCAAATTTCAAACTCTGCAGGCTGTCTGGAAAAGTGACTTCTTGCAAGCATTGGTTGAACCAAACGCCGAACGTCAGGCTCTGCAAGTTGCGTGGCCAAGTGACTCCCTGCAAAGGTTGAGCAAAACAGATGCCAAATTCGAGGTTCCGCAGGCTACATGGCAGAGACACTCCGCGCAAGCTTTGGTCGAATTCGTCGCCGAAGGTCAGGCTCTGCAAGCTGTCTGGAAAAGTTACTCCCTCCAAGGGCTGGTTGAAACTTTCGCCAAGCGTCAACCGCTGAAGGCTGCTTGGTAGATACACCTCGCCCAAGCGTTGATCGAAACTCCAGCCAAAGGTCAGGATCTGCAGGCATGGCAAGCTCACGTCTTTGAAGCTTTGATTGAACTTCCGGCCAAAATCTCCGGCAGAAGCACATGTTCCAAGCTTTGGTTGAACTCGTCGCCAAAAGTCAGGTTGCGCAAGGTGCACGGCAAGGTCACTCCCTGCAAGCGCTGATTCAAGTTGAAGCCAAGCGTCAGATTCTCCAAGTTGGGCAGCGTCGTGCCCGACAAGCTTTGGATTAGCCCATCGCCGAAGGTCAAGCTTTTCAGGCTGCTGGGCCACACCACTCCCTGCAAACTGTGGGCAAGCTCATTCCAAGGGTCAGAGTTGAAGCTCAAGCCGAGTGTAAGACTCTGCAGACTGCCTGGCAAAGTCACTCCCTCTAAGCTCTGATTAAATCGAGCGCAAAAAGTCAAGCTCTGCAGATCTGGCAAGGCTAGGCTTTGGTTGAACCAAGCCCCGAATGTCAGATGCTGCAAGTTCTGCGGCAGCTTCACTTCCCAAGACTTAAAGCCGCGGCCGAAGATCAGGCTCCGCAAGCTTGCTGGCAAGACCACTCCTCGTTAGTTTTGAGGGAGCCCAAGGGAAAACTGGCGCCACTCGACTTAGACAAGCAACAAACGGATCCAAACAAACGAACACCCGTCGCTGCAAGCGGGGCTCCCTCTAAGCCTTGATAGCTGGCGCCCAAAGTGAGGCTCTGCAGACCTTCTGGCAAGATCCCAAGGCTCTGGCTGGACCTGGCACCAAAAGTCAGACTCCGCAAGGTGGCGGGCAATGCGGCCAAAGGCTGGTTGAAGTTCCGGCCAAAGGTGAGGCTCTGCAAGTTTGGCACCTCCAGGCTCTGGTTGAAATCGTGGCCAAAGGCGAGGCTGCGCAGGGTGCTGGGCAAGACTCCTCTCAAACCTTGGTTGCTGTTGACCCCCCTGCAAAAAGTTGAACTGTTTGGGGGGTTTAGTGGAAACTCCCTTGATTTCCCAAAAAGGTAAAGTCTAAAGATCCAACCCAGTAGCAGTCAGGAAACTTCGGTTGAAGCTATGCCCGAAACTCAGGCTCTGCAGGTTCCTTGATCACCTGGCCAAGGAATTCCAAAGACAGCGAGGAGCCTGCCTGAAAACCTCAGGACACCTCGGGCAAAAGGGTCCAAACGGACACCTCAACGAGGTTCAGATGTTGGCTTTTGCTCATGGTTCCGCCAGGAATCAAACTCGGCAACTAACTTGCTAGTGTAGGTGGTGAATGACCCAGAGTGTTGGAAATGAACCTGGGGATTCTCTGAAGGACACCATAGGGGATGGTTTATATAGGGGTTATCTGTTCATTCCCTGCTGAACACCAGTAAGATGACGATGAGCGGGCTTTGGCCCTTGGTTCAAGCAGAAGTCTTTATTCGTTGTTTAACCACCCTTTGTTTGGTTCCCCTTCTTTCATAGGACCAGGGGTTGGTTGTCATTCCTTTCCTGAGTGGATTGGCCAAACAAGTCACCAAAATGGTTCCTTACCACAACAACGTCCAAACCCCAAAAGTGACTAAAGTTCAGAATCTCAGGGAGCCTGTTAAACTTGACTGCTATTGGGTTGGATCTTTAGACTTCAACTTTTGGGAAACAATGGTGTTTTCCACTAAACCCCAAAAAGGTTAAACCTTTTTCGGGGGGTCAACAGCAACCAAGTAAACAAGCACCCGGAACTCCCCGCCTGCAACGGTTGGTTGAACTTGTCCCCGAACTGCAGGTCCCGCAGGGTCGCCGGGAAGACCAGGCCAACGAGAAGTCCGTCGGGGTCCCAACGCAGCGTGGTGAGGCCCTCCAATTGCCTGGCTTGATCCCCCTACCGCAACGGGGAAGGGGGTGGGGAACTGGTCTTCCCAAGTGCCAATTCCATTTTCCAGTACAACCCATAAATTGAAGATGGGTTTCATTCGCGGAAGTCCAGGGGTTGCCACCCTCCCAATTCCATTCTGAGAGGGGTGGGGGTCTGAGTTTCAAATAGGTCTGGACAAATGAGAATTAGCCATCCTGTCGTGCTTGTTGGGGAACTAAAGACAGCCAGGAGTCCAGGGGTCTCCCTCGAAACATGGGGGCCAGACCCCTTTCTTCTGAGAAACCTATGTTCAAAGGGTGGGAAGCAGACTCGAGGTAGCCCCTTCTGCTTTGCTTGTGGGCAAGAGAGCTTTCATTTGCTGAAGTTCCCTGGAAAACAAAGCCAATATTTCCCAGCATAGATTCCCTTTAAAAATACCAGGCGAAAAATAAAGCAGAACAGCACGATGTGCCTGGAGTCTCCATGAACCTTTAAACCTGGGGTCATGACCCCTTCATTTTGGGTAATGACCCCATGTTTAGAGGGTCAGGGAGACTCCAGGTATTCATTCCAGCAAAAAGGAACGTTTTTTCTTTCGCACCTGGGCGCTCATGGGCTTCATGCGCCTCAAGCGCATTCCCTGCCTTCAGAAAACAGGTCCTCCAGCGTCCAGATCTCCGGAACCAGTTTTCGGGTTTCCATAGTTCTGGTTGATAAAAGTGACAATCAAAGAAAGGGGAAGGCCATCTTTGTTACCAAAGATGCCACGTCAGGTGGAATTCCAAGTACCGAAACCGTAGGGTCTATCAGAAGACCAGATCGATCCGACCTGCCAAATGTTGAGACCATGCTGGTGGGGAAAAATGACATCCGTCTGCTCGGGCTAACAGAAAAAATGCCTGTCCTGCAGTAAGTGAAGGTCCCAGCCGAGCCCGGAACTATACCTTGGGTGCTGTAAATCCCCAGCGAACACTTAAACTGTTTGCTGGTTAAAGGGAAATACGAGGGGAATCCAAAAAGTTAAAGTCTAAAGATCCAACCCAATAGCAGTAGAGATACCCTGGTCTCGCAAGGTCTCGCCTGGCAGCACCTTGCGCTCCCCGAACCAGACGCTCAGGACGCCCCCTGGCCGCGGCGGCAGCTGGCTCCTGGACGCGACATTGGCGGGGGCTGGGGGAAAAGGGGCAAAAGCAGGGTTCACTTGGTTGACGTGAGAAGGGGTGCAAAAAATATTAATTTTAGCAGTTAAGTGGGGGTTTTCCACTAAACCACAAAGAAAACATGTAAAATGCTTCCCAACAACCACCATGTTCAGGCGATGGTTGCGCTGGACATTCGGGTCAAGTTGGGAAAAGGGGCCAAACTTGAAGGGATACGCTTTTCTCTCGGCCAGCATTTGCCAAGGTTGTACCAGGTGAGCTAGAATTTGTGCAACACGTTCCCAACTACTGTATCAGGTGGTTTCGAATACGGCACCTGGAGTCTCCTACTTTCTGTAAGAAGTCTGAGACGTGACCAAGTAGTCCCCCGACCACCTGTGGCCATGGGGCTACTTTCTGTGTAGTCGTTTTTTCCTCGGGACACCCCCTCCACAACAAGGGAAACATAAACCCGCAACGACCGGAATCTGCGGGTGACTGAGAAAAAAGAAAACAAATGCCCAGCTTCGGTTCTACCGGAAACACCAGCTCATTGAAACACACCTGCAAGGGGTTCTTGTGCTTCCCTTGGGACTAAACAACCCTTGGGCCACTTTGGGTAGGGTCAAGTTCACGTGAGTCATCTGGAACCCCACTGGAGGCCCATTTTATTGTTCTGACTCAACTGGGTTTGTCTTGTGAAGAACCCTTCAAAATTTGCCGTTTCTCTTCGATGTCCACGAAACAGGGTTCTCTGAGTCTGGGTTCTCTCATACGAGCCTTTAAGTACCACACACCTCGTAAAACACATGCAAACTTCCAATAGCTAAGGGACAGCGGCAGATCTTCAAAAAATCGACTTCTAAAGAGTCCGTTTCTCAGCTATACCGGGGGAAAGGGGCACTTTTGGATCGAAGAGACTTCCGACCTCGCGGCCGAGAGGCGGCCCGCCCTCGTTACGTAAGCCGACCGAAAGGTTGGAACTCCCTCCCCACTGTAGTTTGCGTGTCTTCCATTTCTACCATGTGCAACCGCGAGAGAAAACAAAAAGGAGAAAAAAGGGGGGAAACAAAAACAAAAAAGCAGGAAACTAAATTTGCGGCAAAGTGGCAAAGCCACTGGAACATACTGGAACATCCTTCGAAGGAATGCCAAAACCCAGTTTTGCCGGGAGCCGGCAATTTTAAAGCCACGCCCAAGAGACCTTTCAGGAACCAGATTCCGGGGGAACCCAGGGACCCGCATCAAACATCCAACTCGAAACCTGTGAGGAACCCTCGTGAACCGCTTTTAACTATCTGTCTGATTCCCGGAGCCCTCGGAACCGCCCCATCCCTAAGCCTCAGAACGCTGCCTCATGACGGAGACGTGTGCCTATGGACAACATAGACTTCAGCTGGGGAAAAAGATCAAAATGGGTAACCCCCAAATGCCCAAATGGAACCCGGAGAAATGAACAGGACTAAAACCTGCGGTCTCCTAGTGGCTAAATCTTGCCCCATACCCATATGGGTGTGGCTCAAAATTAACCCACCGGGGTTACGCATATGTTTGTCCTTGGTTCCATTTGCCAAGGTGCCACTTTGGTACATAGTACATTTGTTCGACCTGCCATATTCAGTTGACATCGTTGGATCGGAGACCCCCGATCCTCGCCTCGCAAGTTCCAGGAGCTCCCGGCCCAAACACTCGGCGGCCAAGGTGAGTCGAAGCTCCCGGCCGTCGAGAGCAGCGAGGGTCAAGTCCATTGGCCGAACGAGGACTTTCTGGGTGGCGGGTTCTGGTTGGGCTCTGGTTGGGCCCCAGTTTCCTACTGCTCTTTATGTCCATTTTCAGATGTCTCTCAAACAACAATAAAGGTTGTTCTGTACAACAGTGTAATGATCTGGTTGGGCTGTGGTTGGATCATGCTTTTTGTTAGTGGCTGGTTCTTGCTGGTTGCGGTGTTCTGGTTGCGTTGTGGTTGGGTTGTGTCTGGTTCTGGTTGCTGGGTTGTGATTTGTGGTTGGCCGCACTTGCAGACACTGCAACCTGTTGCAATCGTCTATTTGGCTGTTGAATTGCAACATCTACCTGGACCAGCGGATCCATGTACCTGTTTAGTATACCAAGGAAACCCTTTACAAACAAAAAAGTGTAAACAAAAGCTCAAGGGTTACCTACAAGGGCGAAACGGACTCCTGGGATTTAGAGGGTGGGCGTTAAATGACGAAAATGAGGGGTCTGAAAAACCATACCTTTCATTTCGTGTTTTGGGATCAAACCTTCTAAGACTATTCGCAAGCGATTCCAGTCCACTCAGCAAGCGATGTGGAGTCTTCTTGCCGAAAAGGAGCTCCGCCTACTGTGGATGGACGAAATCCTGCACCACCAAAGAAACCATGGGAAACCATTCTTTTTTGGATTTGCATTGGAATCATCATTCCAGGGTTTCTTAGGTGGTGCAGGACGTACGGAAGTCGAAACTGGAAAACACCTGGACTCCTCCGGAAGGCAGCCTGGACACCCCCTCAGTTGCCCAAAGGACCGCGAGAAATATCTCCTGTGATCACCTTTGACCCGGAAAGCCTTTACGAAAAATGGAAACCATGGCAAAGCCAACGGATTATTTCATTGGGCCAGCAAAATCTTCTCTGGTGGAACCTGGAAACCCCTGACTGTAACTACCTGATCCGCTTCGGGCTCAAGCGATAGGAAGCCTGAACGGGAACCAGCCCCGTTGGACCACCACCACCCCCCCCACCCTCCCCCGACTGGGATTCCCTACACCCCAACCTGGGACCACCTACGCCTGGAGAAACCCGAAAACAGACATCCTGGAAACCCAGATCGTTGGACAAATGCACTGGAAAACCTCTGGTAAAACCATGGGACACACACACACACACCTGAAAACACTAGAACTTGAAGAAACATGGACAACCAAGGAAAGCCAGGGAGACATCTCACATGCTAAAGCAAGAAGTAGAAGCTGAGAATTCACAAATCGGATTGAGGACAAGCATGTTCTTCGCGGAACATATGCATGTCTGTACCAACATGTGAGATTATATGAACAGTTGCAATGTTTGAAGGGTATGCCTTGGTTCCATTCTGTGAATGGACACAATCCCGCAATAGTTGCTAGGTTTGTCCCAATATTCCCATCCAAACTGGTGCGAAGTGGATTTCGTCCATCCACAGTGCGCTAAAGTGTCCCATTTCCTATCAGCGCAGCACAGGTACGAAAGGCCTCTTTCACATTGCCGGCCCTTTTCCTGTCCCATTTCAAACATCAGCCCACAAGCCTCCATTTGCGGACACGCCCCCTGGAAACAAGCAACACATATATATATATATATACACACATATGCAAATGTGTATATACATCATATATATGTATATGTATCTTCTTCAACAGTGATAGATTCCAGTTCCAACCAACAGGGGAAACAACACATATTCTTAAGCTGATGGAAGCAACAAAGCCCAGCTCAAATTGGTGAAAGGTGACGCAAGTAACCAGCTACATCCAAGCACAAACCTATGGCTTTGCAGACACGCGCGGGCTTTCCAACGCGTTCTCCTTGCAGCTTCCCTTTCGAATGCACCAGTTGGACACCGTGTAACTTGGTGCGTGGTGGTTCTACAGGCTTCCCAAAAACATCACCCCACCAAAAGTTTGGCCCAAAAGGTGATGTTCAAATTATCCCGCGCACAAATATTTGTGATGTTGTCCTTTTTGTTTGGTTCTTAGCAACCATAGAAGGGGTACCCTCCAAAGATAGACCCACTGTGAAACCATGGTTGAAACCATTATTTATTGGTCTTCACGTTGGGGCATCGAATCATTCCAGGGAAACTGAACGGTGGCGCGAAACAAAGATTTCGCGAGCCTCCACAGTATGGGGATCCCTGCGTTACTTGTTCCCGTGTAGGGCATCCTGGTTTCAACAGGTCGACGCCGGAATGAGCGGCATGGGTGGCCAGTGCCTCCTGCGGACATATCATGGCTAGCCATAGCAGAGCCGATGCTAAGCGAGGCACATGGCGTCTTTCATCACTAGAGCTTGGCCCAGTAGAATGGATATCTCACTTGCCCAAAGGACTGGAGAGATTTGCTGAAAATGGGCGAAATCAAGGAAACCGAAAGGTTAAGAGGTCGGCTTCGGGCAAGTGAGATAATTCATTGTTTGCTTCACTTTGAGTCACTGGTAAAATGCAAGATTAATGCTAAAGTCTACCCCGGGTTTTCTTACATAGCCATGATGCCAACGGACACCCTCGACTCTTTTTGTGGTACGTTTGCTTGATTGCCTGCTTGCTTGCCTTGCTTTATTGCTTGTTTGCCGGCAACATATGCTTGTTTGCTTGTATGTTACTTGCTTGTTTGGTTGATTGTGTGCCTATTTGGTTGCTTGCTTACTTGATGGTTTGACTGGTTGGTTGCTTGGGCTATTTGTTTGATTCATTGCATAAATGCGTGCATTTGCAGTGAGTTCGGCGCAACAACTTCCTGCCAATTTGAGCAACCTCCTAATAATCACCACCGCTTGTTGTCGCTGTCGCTGTGTTGGCCCCACACACACACACACAGGCGCGTTCCAAAATGGGCCCCAGAAGAACATGGTGACGCTGGCTCCTTGAAAAAATGGAAGCCGCGGTTTAGGAACATCTAACGCAGGGAATCGGAGGCTTAAAGCTGTCCCGCTCGCCTTGTCCTTTCTGCCAGACACGCTGGGGCTCGCGATCCTCTCCAAACAAAAAGAGAAGGCTGCTAGTAATCTGGGCAATCATGAATTCACAAACAAGAAATAAGGAAGGCTGAAGGCCCTTGGGACCTTCATTTTGGTATCATATGCCCCACATAGTGCTGAGCAGTTCGAAGTTCGGGTCAGCCACTGGAAACTCCAGGAAGCCTTCGCGAAAACGGAGCTTTCTGGAGAAAGATACACACCTCGCTGGGAAGCTCTGCAACCTGCCTTTTTTTTTAAATCTCCTTCTGGGTCAAAACACCATTTGGGGTGCTGATAATGTGCAGCGAGTACTTCAGTTCAACAACTGGAAATGACAGGTACCGCCAATGATTGTCATGAGCTCTTTGTACCCGGGTTAGAATTCAGGGATTGGACCATGCAGAAAGCGTTCTACCATTCACACTGACTCTAAACATCATTCAACTGGACAAGCACATGAGCTAAAACAATATGTGCGTGTGTGTGTGTGTTCGCAGTTGCTTGGACTCCTTTTGCGAGAGCTGTTCTAAGCGAAAAGAGAGGAACACCACATGTTGGAGCTTCCTATATTTTAGGGACAAACACACCGGTCGATGCTTTGACGCCCTTTTCACCCGCAACGCCCTGAAAACTCAGCCGCAGGCCGAGAAAGGCTACGAAAGGCTACAGGGCTCAAACTGAAGAGGGGCCTCAGCTTTTTGCCGCACTCTTCCAGGTCAACTGCCAAACTAAACGTATCTTAGCCTTGGCAACTTGGCATGGTGCTTTCAGGAGCTTGGTGAGGACCTCACCGAGATTTGAGCTGAAGCCACTGAACCGATTGGAGTCTCACAGAGAGAGCCTCGAGATCGGCCTGAGACAGACCGAGAATCTGCCCGAGATCGAGCGCGAAGCAAAGAAGGGGCGTAAAACCATGGCCTCAGCCTTGTAGTCCCATCATTTCTTCTTCTGCAGCGACTTGATGTACTGATTCAGCTTGTTTTGCGCCTGGCAATGCCACTCTCAATACCCTTGTCGGTGTGTTTATTTCTCGAGGGCACGCTTGTGGGGTTGTATAGAGAAAACAAATGGAAGACCAGTATCTTTACTTTTGGATGCACACTTGCTTCAAAACACACTCTTGCAGCTCCCGTAGAACTATTCGTTGGGTTCATCTTCGCGCTCAGTCTTCAGCCAACTCTTGCCGCTTCTCGCCAGAGTTCAGTTCTGCAATGCAACCCCAAACCCCTGGACAAGAAGGGCTCGAAACCCACCGAAATTGGATGAAACTCAGTCAGTGGTAATCCATAGCCTACCGGACACCGATTGACATGGATCGGCAAATTAAAACACACCCCCTTGAGAGGTCCCCCAATTACAGAGTTTCCTCTATACGTAGTGACTTGGCTTTCGGGCTTTATGTGAGTAATCAAAACGCGGTATTAAAATGGTGTACCCAAAGCCATGTACAGAATTAAGAGGCGGCTGCACCCATTTATGGTTGGGATTGTCCCGTAGATTGTGGCTCATCTGCAGGGCACCCTTGGAAGGTTCAGTTCAGAATGCCTCGTGACTGCAGTGGACTCAGCATTGGGAGTGCAACTGGGCTGTCCTCAGATCCCCTGCTGAAAGTTTAGCTTTTAGTGGGCTAAATGGAAACCCGCACTGAACCCTAAAAGCCTAAGGGGGATGGCTGGGAACCACAAAAAAAACCGCATGGCACAATGCAGTAGGCCCATGAACCTAAGGTCCACTCACAATGCAACTGAACTTGTTGACGAGGGCCGGGAGGGGGGGCGGATGTTTGTTCGGTTTGTCGCTGAGTGAACAACTTCGTGTTTGAGCATTCATTGTCAAAACAGCCTGCCATATCCTGCGCTGAAACCACGATCTAGTCCTATAAGTCGATTTCGCCCCGACTCGTGTCTCCAAATGGGGGGAGGGGGCCTCCAAAAATTGGCGTCCCCTTTTTGGGTGCTGCAGAGATCGCCACAGTTGAAATCCACATGTTCGTCGTTGAGAAAAAAACAGCGTTTGTTGCCGTCTGCTTTTAGGGGGTTCAACTCCTTCTGTGGCAACTTCTCTTGGGTCTATTGGGTAATTTGTCCTGTGGCTCGGCCCTTGCGGTGCAGACCCAAAGGCCCAGCGATGCGCCTTCTTCAGCTCGGGCTTCTTCAACCCTAAGCGGATCTCAGCCATGGCCTTCAAGCCGGCGACGTCTTTTTGGAGGGCTCCGGGCGCCTTTGTTTGTTTGTTTTGCTTTGGGTGGTTTTACAGGAACATTAGAAGGAACATCGAAGCCATTGTGGGAATCGGCCACTAAAAAAAGAGAGAGAGAGAGACCCCCAATTCTCATGACACCCGACCAAAACAAACACTCATGGATCTCCTCCACCTTCCTGCGTGTTCCTTCCTTTCCTTCTCGAGCAAAACAAACAACCACACAAAAACACAGGGCGCATTTTCGGAGTCGGACGCCTTTTCTTGGCGTGGGGCCTTTCTCCGTGTCCAGACCCGAAGAAATGTTTCTGTTGGGGTGAGGGAAATTGGACTAGTCTTGAACTGCCGGGCTGTTCCCCTTCCAAAATTGACTAACTTTTTCAGTGGTTTAGTTCTAAACCCAAAAACCTGATGGTCCTGGACAAACTGGATGGGGAAGATGAACTGAGTTGCACTTAAAAAGCCGGAAATTTCTCCATTGATCACCTTTTGGGACCTTTGCTTCAAGCAGACCAACATTGGAAAAGCAAAAGGTTATTTCAGGTCGATTCGCTTTGGGTGTGTTGAATACGTCAGCTGTTGACAATCCATGATGGCCACCCCGAACACGTCAAATTGACACGCTCAAATGGCTTTGTGTTCGAGCGAGCCTCACCCGTTTTAGATAGGTTTCAATTGACACTACTTTGGCATGGGTTTTGGCAGTGTTGCTTACTCATGTCAAGCTCGGCCCAAGTTCTCTCAGTATTGTACAGCTGCCTAGGGAGACTTTCGCAACAGCTATGAGGCAAACACAAGCGGATATTCCGTGGAGGAGATTTCTTGACGCACCAGACAGCGCAGACTTCTACATTCGTGAATTTCCGACTGAAGGAAACCCAAACGGGATGGAGAGGCTTCCAATTTGTACAGACCCCTATTTGGCACCCAGTTGAGCATCGTTCGATATGGTTTTGTCCAGGTAAACACCACGAGGCAAATGAACACGAGGCTCATCCCGACCCCGTTTGCACAGAAAGCTCACGTCGGCATCGCAGAAAGGAGGATTTCCACCCTCCGAGCGAATCATTGCGGGTTGAAGGCTGTGTAAAATGGGTAAGAATCCCCTTGCCACAAATGCGCAAAACCGAGTTGACGTGCATATTGCCCATCCCTATGAGTACTTCATCACTAAGGGTACTCCCAAAGCCACCACAAAAACTTGGCCTGCCCCAACACTTCTGCAGGACTACTCCATGAGTTTGGGGTGTAGCAACAAATCTCTGCATTGCACAGTTGTATTGGCGTATATAAGCCTTCATTCCTCCAACACCCGTACCTGAACATGACCTTGAAACAATATAATGCCTTAATACATATTTGTGTTCATGTAAATACATACACATAGTGTATATGTATATGTGTATCCCTTAAACTACACACATACATATTCTACAATGCATATGTACGTACATATATAAACATACATCTGCGTACATAACACATAAATAAACAAATAACTAGATTGACTATTTAACGTGTGTATATATATATATATATATATGTAGAACCAGACCAGACATAGAGTCATATCCATTTTTCTCCAAGGCTTTCGGCCAAGTTGCGGCGTTCAGGGCTTTGCCCAAGGAGGTCTTCAGGTCTCCGGGGTGCAGCGCCTCTGATGCAAAGTCCTGCGCGGTGCACTCTCGGTGGCGTTTGTTCTGCTCCCCTGCTAAAAGTGTTTAACTTTATGTGGTTTAATACGGAAAACCCATTGGTTGGCAAAGACTGTTTAAAGTCCGAACATCCAAGCACAATGCACCTCTGAATTAGAAACAACTTGCCCATGGGTCAAAAGACAAATCGTACCCGCAGTGAACATCCCAATTCAACCGCTAAAATAGGTTTTAAAATGGGTGGTGCACCAGCCCAAAATCGTACCATCGGTTTTGACCCACAGCCATTTCTGCTGCCAGGGACATGTCCCCTGTGGCCAACTGCCCTCTTTTTCAAGGGTTTTTTTTTTTTTTTTTTTTTTTTTAAACACATGTTTTTGCATCACCCATACATTGGTGTGTCCTAAAATGTGGCAACCGAGCCAAAATGGTGGTTTCCTCTTGGTTCCGATTAAAGCCAAGAAGGGTATCCTTAACAAAGACACACCCATTGACACACACACACACATTTCGGTTTTGAAGTTGGTAGCCCTTGTTTGTGGTGGTTGTAAAAAAAAAACGGAAGGACACTTGAAGTCCATTTTGGGGGACGCCCAAAATGCGTGCGTCCAAATATGATGGCGGCCCTCGAAATGGGTGGGGTTCCTTTCGGATAGCCAGAGGGCCATCTGACCCCAAAGGGTCTCTTTCAATAAATCACAAACCTAAGGACCTACATGGAACACAGAGAAGCCCACATTTTGGATAATTTTGGGACAGCTTGTTTTTTGGAGGGTTAAAAAATCCGCGCAAACCAATCGAAGGAATGCCCCCTGTAAAGAAAATGATCGGCTTCTCGGGATTGAAGTTCTGTGGACATGCCAAGGGAAACCAGGGCTGGTTTGAACTACAGAAGTCTCTGAACGGCACCGAAAAGAAAAAGTGAATTTTACTATAAATATGGGAGCCCCTTGTGAGGGAGAAACCGGTGGAGGACCATACCTAGAAACTCCGAGCCCGTTTTCTCAGAGGCGGCAATTTCCGTCTTCCTTTGGAAAAAAAAGCCCGAGCCAAGGAAAAACCCCGTCGTTTCAACGCTACAGATTGACGCCCACTATGTTATCAGCCCTCAGTGGTGGCCAACGTGTGTGAAATTGTCCTGGCTGATTTGGACTGACGCGCGGTTCAGAGGGTGACGCCACCAAGCCATTTCCTTCAATCCTTCTTACTAGCCAAGGTTGTGGAAAGAAGGTCTAGAAGGATTGTTTCCCTTGCCCGCCCGGCACGTCTTGGGCGTTGGCAAACCAATGCCTTTTAGCCAGACAGCCGTCACGCCGTGCAACTGGATGGTTTCAAAGGCTAATCAAAAGGGGATGAACGCCGAACGCCCACTGCTTTTTGACAGGGGAATTCCGCCCCGTCTGCCCGTGCTCCGGAAAAAAAAAAGGAGGACAACTGGACCAAAAGCATGTTGCCAAGAGCATCCGGTATATTGTGAAGGCGTAGCGCATCATCAGGCATGCCCGGAAGTAAAGAAGCAAGGCGAGCGAGCGCATATGCATAATTTCAGGATCTTTCAAACTCCCCCATCCATGAGAGCAGCAAAGCAAGACATGGGTTGATCAAAAGAAAAAGATGAAAGTCCAGCCAAGTCAAAGACGCCGTCACGAGGAAAAAGGCGCCTTCTCCCAAAATGGGCAGAATGTTCTGCCGGATGGATCTTTTAGGTACATAGCAATATAACGTATATTTATGTACATATATATAATATACATATATATATATATACTATAATATATATATATATGTATATCAAACATATCTGTGCGACGTCGCAATTTGAGGTGCCCAGGTAGACTCCTTGTGTGACCGCCTCAGTTTGGGCATAGAGTAGGTTTTGAGAATTATTGGAACCGTTCTGAGAAACCTTTGTGGGGTAAACGAGCCCGAATATATGTGCTGTCAAGCTTCTTTTTCATTTATTTTAAACTGTACACTGACAAAACAGTTGCAGTGATGTGCTGAACGTCAAACCCGTCTGCCTCTCTCCAATGCTTCAATGGTACCCTGCGTTCGATTTTGCAAAGTAAACAAACAATTGCCGCTCTTCGGACCAACATGGACCCCTCAAACCAAAACGCCGCCAATCTTTTGTAAGAGGAAACATGCATCCTATTGAGGTCTTGAGAAATGACCATCCTTCCCTTAACATCTGGTTTCCCCCAATAATAATAAACAATGGAAAACAAAAAAAATGCAAAACATAAATGCATGAGATCCCTGGCAAACCTCGAGCCCTGACCTTGCGGATGAGCTCCGCATCGCCGTAGGCCTGGTCTCCCCCGTTCTCCGGCTTCCGCTTCACCTCGGAAGCTCAAGCCCCTTTCACGCGGACGAGACTTGGAGAACAACATATGATCACATGTGGCTCATGTAGCAGATGATGTAGTTGTTTTGCTTTTTTTGTTTTGTTTTTTTGCCGTCGTTTTTGTTGTGACGAAGTTGCAGACTCTCCCAGGAATCCGTTTCGCCACTCTGGGATGTTTTTTTTTTCCACCAACAAACATGAAACCCGACGGGAGGGGTTTAGAAGACGACTTTCCTTTTGTGGGAGCCCCCTCTCCACTCCCATGATTGGAAGGAGGGTACTTGGGGAACTTTGGAGATCATACCCATCAAGCCATCAATCCATACATCCAATCGAAGAAGTCAATTCAATCCAACTCAAATCAATCACTCACACGCTCACTCCCTCAATCAATTCAAACCAAACGATCAATCCAATCCACGTCAATTCGGAGCAATCAACTCACATGGATGTAGAAGAATTCCTGCACCAAGTAAACCAAAAGCAAGCAAGAGGGCATGACTAGCGTTAGCCCGAGTTATAGAATGTATATTTTATTGTTTGCTTCAATTTGAGTCACTGGAAAAATGTAAAATGTATCCTAGGTCTACCCCAGCGGGGTGGAGCCAACGAGGCTGAGCTCCGCTGCCATAAACTCGCCGAAGGCTGGCAGCATCGCCTCCGGGAGGCATAGGCGGGCGTACCCAAGTGTTTGGAGGACCCTCCCCAAAATAAAGGATAATTCGCATCGGTGTCTTTTTTAGGGAAATAAATGGGTTTCCCTGGTAGATGATTAAACCAGGTAAACCAGGAATCGCCATCCATTCTTCTACCACCCCAACCAAAAAGGACAGCTATGAGAATTCGGCGTTCCCCTGGCTTTCACTGAAACCAACCCAAAAAAGGGGTAACTCAAAAAATGCACATTATCATTATTGCGAGGTATATTTTTACTGGGAGTAATGCTCCAACCTACAAACAAGGCAACTAAACTAAACAAAAATCAAGCTCACACTTGCGGGGAAACTAAATGGAACACCACAATACCGATTTGCGCCACATGTTTGCTCCTGTGGAAGCGTCGTGTGCCTTACAGAAGCTCATCTTTCAAGTGTGTGCCGCTTGAGCTTCCAATCGCCTCAAAGTCTTTCGCGGGTGCCTTTCGCGACCCAAGCCTTAGCAAGCACGCTTGTGGGAGTTGGATTCTCATGGGTGTGTAGTTTGTTCGCCCCCCCACAAAAACAAACAAATGCACATAAAATGAAGTGGTTTCCCTCTTGGTGTCCCTCCTGGTCTTCCTGTGCCGCTGAAGGGTTCCTTGGCATCCTTTTGGATGCTTGTTGGGCAAAGGATCCCTGAAAAAAGTACCTCGGAAAGGGAGCCATCACACAAACTCGAACACAGCGCAACACCTGGTCGCCACAAGTTTGAGTAAGACTAAGCCGAAGCAAACGTGCACAGATTACAGATTCACATGGAACCAAGCCGTTGGAGAAATGTCTGTTTGGAGCCCCTTTTCTTGCTCGTTCTCAGCGCGAAATATGATGGAAGGACCCCTATAAACCAATCCTAGGAGCTTCCTTTATTCGGGAATCCCTAAAATCGGCTCATTCCCAAAACCCAGAAAAGAGCTGTCATTGCAAGCTTTTGCATCCCTTCCGCTTAAGCTGACTTGCCCAAAGGACCTGGAAATAAACTGTGATCAAATTTTGGGACCTTTACTACAAATGGCCATGCGAAAACGAAAAGGATATTGCTGGTCAATTCGCTTTGGACAAGTGAGCTTCCGTTTAATTATTCGGGAGACTTTGCAAATTCAAACCGCCTCCACCCAGTCGATGGGCGGGCAGAATTCCGCATTCCCCGGCTGACAGAAAGCCTGAGGCGTCTCGCGGCTTCGGCTTCGAATCGGCGATTCGAGGCGCGCTTTGCCTCAAAATGGGATATTTTGGGATGTGTCAAAGGGGGAACCAGCAAATGGGTGGTTGTCACGTTGTCCTTGTTCTTTCCCTTTAACCCGCCCTGAAAAATAGGTGTGTGTGTGTGTACACCTTGGTTTCAAGGGACATCAGCAGGACAACCATTTTTGGGTCCCCCTATTTTGACGCATACCCGTAATGCCTTGCCCCCCAAAATGGTCTGCGGTTTCCATTTGGGTTTCCTTTAAATTGTTGCAAGGGTCTACAAAGCTCAACTGGAAGGCTTGTGGCCACCCAAGAGCGTGTGGGTTTGTTTCTGGGGAACACCCGTGGTTGTCTTCTTTAAAGGAAACAACACCATTGTTGAGGGTTCTACATGAACATGTATGGTTGGAAAAGTCCCTTGATTGGGGCATGCCTCCCTCCATACAGTTAGCAGGAATGACTAACAAGCACAAGCAATGCAAGGGCCCAAATCCTGAAAATGAGATTGTGGGGTACTCTAAAAAAAACATGTCTCATGATTGTAGTGGTCACACATTCATCATTTTTTAGTACCTTATGCTAGACGGTCTCGCAGCGCTCCTGTCTTCTTTCGTCTAAGTCACACACACACACACAGTCTGATTTCCCTCGACATCGCCGAGTCTGAAGCGTGTGGTTCCACGCTTAGATGATCTTCCCAAAGATGGTCACCATAGCCGACCGTAGTCCTCAACCACCGTATGAGTGCACATGGGGAGGTTCTCGAAGATATGGCTGGTTCCTCCCCCTAGGTTGAAGGGAAGCAGGGCCAACTGGGTGTGGTGCCGCCACCCTTGGGATGGTTTTACAGGGAAACAACTGGAATACCACCAATTTTCAGGGTCCAAATCCTATGAGACAAACCCAAATTTCAGTTGCCCCTAGGGACGCAGAAACAAAAGGTTCTCAGTTCACCTTTCGGGAGCTTTGCTAAACATTGGAGCATCCGAAAACCCAAAGGGTTTAACAGCTTGCTTTTGGGCCACGCAAAGAGTTTGATTTCCACCCGCCTTCTTCATCTTCCGGTTCACGTCCATCTCCTGGAGACTTCCGCCAGGGCGGAAGTCGGACCAAATCCACTTCGCACCAGTTGGGATGGACGAAGGCCCAATGAAGTGTGGGACAAACCACGTAGCAACCAGGAATTTGCCCAACGGTAAGTCTGGAATCCCAATCATCTAATGACATGATGGCGTTGCCACAAACTACGCCGGGAGAGCAATTCCAAACTATATTGCATAGATCAAGAGGTATATAGAAATATATAAATCACCAAGAACGTGGCACGCTGCTCCTGACAAAGGGAAACAACATCGAATCTGGATATCATCAGAACAACCCTTCTGTACCAGTGGCTATGAATTTCAAAAGGGAACCTCCAAACTCGTTCGTGGACACAAATCCACACCATGGAGTGCACCAGACTGCCCCCAATTGAGATTCACACACAATTCATGACCCAGAAATCATACATCAAGAGCCTTCACGGGCGATATCGCCGACCGAATTGGTGAGTTTGAGAAATCATTTGCGCAAAGAGGAGAACCCCCGAAATGGTGGCTTCCCTTTGGTTCCCTTTGAACCAATTGCGACAAGTGTAGCCTTCCCACGCCTCAATCCATTCCCTTGAGCTGTTGTTTCACGCCTTGTCAGTGATGAGGACCTGCACGTCTGCCTTCGAGACATTCGGATTCCACGAACATTTGCTGGGGAGCACCTGTTCTTGCAGCACGAAGTGAGAATGTAAGATGATCTTTGCTGGATGGCCATACGTGACATCAATAACAAACAGTGGGCGAGCCCAGCAAATAAGCAAGCACATGTCGAGTGGGGAAATCGATTCCCTCTAAAACCCACAGGGGATAAAAATAACCCCACTCCCCCGACACCATGATCACGGCGCAGGAGTTCTCTTTTAAAATGATTGGCGGTCCACGCCAGGCTCTTGTGACACTTCAAGAGCTCCACGAATTGGACGGTCCAAAAAAACGGTCAAAGTACCGGGCCAAATGGATCGAGTGCCGTGCGTACAAACTCCGCACTGATGGTCCAAACAAAAGTTCGGTGCTCACTTGCAACAAGCAGCTTTGCCCAAACCGAATCGGAGCTATCGCATGGAATCAACAAGGCAGTACGCGGTCAGACCGCCTTTGGTGTAGATATATAGCTGTGCCGCCATGTTGCTGATAGAATGCTTCACGCAAGCCGTTCCCGCTTCAACCCAAGCAAACCGCATTTGCCCGACAGGGGCTTGCCCCACGCCAACATCTGGCTCATAAGATAGCGAACAAAGATGTCGTGTCACAATCGGAAATTCGTCCAGGCCACTTCCCTTCAATCATTCTGGTGTCCTGTGAACCCCAACGGCACTGGGCCATGGTCGGCTTCGTTTCGTCCCAGCAACAATGATGCTCCTGTTGCCTAACCCTTCAACCAAAGGAGTACCCCCAAGTCATAATAGAGTGCGATGGCTCAAACAAGGTTGAACAGACTGGGTGGCACAACGGGCGGTCCGCAAACAAACATGTTCATCTCCTTGTGGTCTCCTTCGTGGTTCCCTTCATCAAACATTCTGTGTGTGTACCCTTTTTCGGGCTGGATAAGATAAAAGGGAAGCAGAAGGAAAACCCATGTTGGGAGTCCTCAACTTTGACGCATTCCCAGTTCGCTCGGCCGGTTCTCGCCTCCTTACCATCGCCCTCGGCTTGGAGTCGTAAACTCGGCCTTCAGTGGCAAGCTGGCTCGGGTTTCGAAGACCACCAGCCAGAAACCGTGCAGTTTCCCGCTAACCCGGTTTTGGGACACACCCAGCCGGGTGCAAGTAAGGTGCGCGGACAAAAACAACCAATGGATTGTATAATTGTATGTATATATATATATATGCTCCTTCTGGTTCTCTTCTGGGCACTTTGTTGAATTGGATTCTAAATCCCATATCGCGCCTGCGTTCAGAAAAATATTGTCAGATACCCATCCTCTTCCCGGCACTGAGGTTCTCGCCAACTTCAATTGCTTTGGAAGCACGGATCATGTGAGCCCACACTCTTCGCAAGAGAGGGCTAATTCACTGGCGGTTGAAGACCTGCTCGCCCAAAGGTCGCAAGCTTGCATCGTCCCACTTCCTGCGTGGATGGGCCCAAAGAGTCAGCACTTTTCGGTTGCCACTGAAATGGTCTTCCCAAAAAAGTTTAAAGTCCAGGAAGTCAGGGAGTTGTTGTATTTCTTGTAGCTGTCAAGATGGAAACTGAAACCCGAGAACTGAAAGGTTGCGCGTTTGAACTGCTCAAAAGCTTGTTTCCGCGTCTTGTGCCGTGTTTGCTCGCTTTCTGGTATTTGTCCACTTTGGATGGGGTACCTTTACGGATGAAGCTACTCAGGTAAAAGTTCGGTCTGCTTTTGGAAACAAATGATTCCGCGCTGCTCGTTACCGTGCCGGCACGGCCGTTTTGTGAACTCTCCCTTGTTGACCAGTCGCTGTCCAGTGAAACTTGGTCGATTTTCGGCACCCTGCCAGCCCGCAATTTGCGGGCACATTTCCGGTACTTAGCGGGCATATTTCCGGTACTCTGCGTTCAAGTAAGTTCATGCGCGCGTATCAGACCTTTGAGGCAGACTATCTCCGAGGTGGCCGAATGGCCGATCAACGTGATTTTGAGGCTGCACCGCTCCCTTTCCACCTGAAAGCGGTGCCCGGATTTCTTGGGATTTCAACGTTGGGGCTTGTTTCCCTCGTTTATCAAGCTGGCTTGTCCAAGTGCAAGCCACAGGCCTGACAACGAACGCCCGGCAGCCAAAAAGCACGCTTCTTCCCGCTGTCATTCAGGCGAGTTCTCGTGGACAAGGCGTGCGTTTGTCCTCGTCCTAGTTATTCTTGAGCAGCTTGACAGGTTGATGTCAAGGCTACATACAGCCAGAACCCTGTTACCCAAACCAGCCAGAAACAAAAAGTGCAGTTCTTGGCACTTTGCACGGTTTTGATTGACATGCACACTTTTCATGGTGCGCACGTCGTTTTGCTCAAATGAAGATGCACCATTCTGAAAGACACAGCGTTCAGGTACCTTGCTGCTACCCAGAGCAAGGAGAGCAACCAAGCAAAAAGAACGGTTGGTCCAATTTTAGTTCAGAAGGCCTTATGTATCTTCTTGTTATCACTATCGGTCAGGGCATACTAGGTAAGGTCATTACTGATTGTGCTTGCCTATAGCAACAACAAACATAGTTGTACGCCAGGGTGAAAGCAGATGGCACTATTCCCTTTCTGTCCGAAGGGAATGAAAAGGGCCGACATGGTTGGAAGTTGTGCCATATACACCTTCACCCAATTGTACTCATTGGAAGTCTCCGTTGGGTATGAAGCCTCTTAACACAGATTGCATATAGGCAGCTGCAAACAATCAAGGGGCCGGCCACATGGTCCAAATCTAGCTCCATTGCTTTGAGTCACCCCCGTAATGGTAGGTTAGAGGGAAACAACCGCAGTTCAAAAAAGAAGACCCCAACACCGTGAAAAACCCAGACCCTAGCAAAACCTGCGCCTCCCTTCTCTAAGCCGCCGGCATGTCCAAGATCTCAACCGTGGGCATCTGCGAACAAAGATCTACAGAGACTCCGTGGACCCAGCTCGTTTCATTCGATACCTCCGTGACGAATGGGTAGCTTGTGTCGTTTCCGCTATGTGCTGCCTACATGCAGCCTGTGTTCATCGGGTACCTGGAGACTCCACCTTGAGAGTGCGCACATTAGTCATATCTCAAGCAAAGCGATGCGGCAACCGCCCGGTTCCACGACCTAAGAGGCACTGTACCGACATGCTTTGGGTGACCCTAAACTTCAAAATTCTACATGCATACTACACATACACATGATGGTGGCACCCGTCGAAACCAGCATTTTGGAACCTGTCGGAACCCGCTTGTTGGAACCTGTTTGGGGTCCCAACGTCAGTTAATCTCAGAAGGGTTCGACACCAAAGAATCAGAACGGGGCCGAAGGATCAGTCGATGCTTGGATCGCCTCTGCCTCGAGAGACCGGGCGCCAACATCCCCGCTTGGAGTGTGCTTTGCAAATGGAAGTCTGTTTTAGGGGCTGGAGTGGCTTCTTGTGAAGCACTTCTTGCTGATAGGGAAGCCAACAGGAATCCAAGCAGCTTGCCCTGGTTTGCGGCAAGCCCACAAATTGGCTCAACTGCATCCAACATCCTGCCTGGAGACCGCAGACTTCGGCATGCTTGGCTGCCAACTCGTGCAAGTTCCTGCGACAGCTCAGCGGATCCCTACGACCAGGCATATTGGGGAAAAAGCAAAGGAAGGGAAAGAAAGGACAATTCAAGCATCAGACTCCTTTCGATGGAACCAAAGGTTATCCATCATACAATGATGCAGAAGGAAAAGGGGGAAGGGACAAGGGACGAGAAAAGTGCAAGTCCTGGGCAGCTTGCAACTTATGCTGGACAGAGCCCGTGCAAACCGCGCCCTGCATTAATGTTGGATAAATTTTCCCAGTGATTGGTCAGTCGGTCAGTGGACAAGGTAGCTCAGAAGAGGAAGCCACCATTTTGCACGGCAGGCTCCGATCCCTATGGCTACTTGATCACCAATCCCATGGCCACTAGGAGGCAAGACAGAACTCCATGCCACTCGAAATTTGGTTTCTTTTGTCCCTTTTGGTTCCTTTTAAAAGACATCTGAACAAGAGAGCTGTCTAACTTGAGACAAACCTACCTGGATAGAGGCCGGAACGCCATGGGGGCTGTGTTATGCAAGCAAAATGCCTTTCAAGTACTTTTAAGTATAGTTGTTTGAGTTTTACAGATATCGTGGTTGCTTGAACGCAGACACAAGAAGTCACCGTGTTTGGCTGGATAGTTTCTGGGCATTCTTCGAACGCTGCTAGACATTAACTACCACTGGAACAAGTGCATGCCGGACACATGACCAACACACGATAAGTAGGTAAACACGAAAATGACATGAAACAGTACATGCTTCAAATAAGCAGGGGCGCGCTATATAAACATTTATACTAAGGGTATGTTAAATATGCTGGGCAAATGACAGGCATGTGCTGGTTCTGGGTCTTTTCTGGGTCCATATTTGGCATTGCTAGATATGCATATGTTGGGAAAAATGCAAAATTATAGGGGTCTAGTGTGCACAATATGCGATAGAATTATAGCAGACATGCGCCCCATGCTAGGAATATGTTGGGTACATGCTACGTACGGTAGAAACATGCTGTTTACAGTCTAGGAATTCCAACCAAAAGGTCAAAATGAGTTATCCGCTGGGTATTAAGAGAACACCTCAAGCAGTTCACACGCCTGATGAAACTCAGTTCCAAGTGATACATATGTATATAAACCGGACTACTACATCTCTACATCGAATGAATTCTACATTGAAGCATGTATGTTGCAAGACACAAAAATATACTAGAACATGGCAACTTCAATATGCTGCAGGAGGGGCCAACCCCATATGACCCTTACGCCATGGAGTCTGTGTTTGTGGTTGTCTAATGGTTTTCTCAAGGGTTTTGGCACTTTGGGCTGAAACAAGGCAAAAAAAACAGCAACACCTCGAGGAAGCCAAACAAACACACAAACTCACAAGACTGGAGACCCCTGCTTTTTTGTGTTTTCCTCGCATGATTGACGTTCCTGGATTGATTGGTTTTCTCAAGGTTGTTCATCCCAAAGTGCAAGCAAGCTCGAGAAAACAAACACAAGAAACCCAAAAACAACTAAATTTCAGCCCCTAACCCCCTTGGGCCTACCTTGTTGGGGGCCTGAAATATTGTTGTTGATTGTTCTTAGTTTATTTGGTTTTGTCGAGGTTTTCCTGGATTTCATCCCAATGCAAAAAACCTTGAGAAACAAAAACAAACCAGAAAACGCAAGAAAACAAGATCGCAGACCTTAACCCCGTTGGGCCTACCCCTTTGGGGTCTGCAAAATTGTTTTTGTTTGTGTCTTGTTTTTGGGTTTTATCGACAAACAACCTCGAGAAAACCAACACAACAAGAAAACCAAAAACAAACGCAGACCCTAACCCTCTTGACCCTACCCCCTTGGGCTCTGCAATCTTGTTTTGGCTAGGTGTTCTTTGTTTTTTGATTTATTTTCGAGGTGTTTGGCACTTTGGGGTGAATCCAGCCAAATCTCGAGGAAACACCAAATTCACACCAGACTGCAGACCCCCAACCCCCTTGCCCCTCCCTTCAAGTTTGCAATATTGTTTCTGTTTTATTATATGGTTTTTATTTGTTCTTTGATATTGATGATATTGTTTTTCTTATTGTTCTTACTACCTGCAAAAAAAAAACACAGCCCGATGGCGTCCCCTTCTGGATGGCTATTGGTGACAATAAGGATTCGGACCCCAAACCCGGGTGGTGTCCTTTTGCTTTCCCTTTGTAACACAATGAAAAGGGCAGCCTGAAAAAAAGAGACTCGCACAAAGATGGACCGCTATGGTTTTTTTCCACTTTGCGATGGCCTCACTTCTGGAGTGGATGGCCCAACAAAAGTAACCAAACATTTGTGTATGCCACTAAAGTGGTCCAAATCCAAAAAGTATCTAAAGTCTATGAACTTAGGCCAGGAGGTGAGTGGCTTTCGCGCGCTCCTTGTTCCTTGCAAACCCCGACAAAGTACCAAGCCACCCCATCGAAGTCCTGTGCCGAGCGCCGGAGCAAAGCACCACCTCAGATCCTGGCGGTCGAAAGGTCTCCGGAGGTTGGGGGGGAAAAAAGAACGGCTCGCAGCCACAGGACACCCATTGAATTTAGGTTCCAGGGCATTTGTATTTCTAGATTTGAGACATTAATAAAACAAAGAAGAACAAAAACTGACTCTTCGAACTCCTGAAGGTAGAAGCTCCTAAAATGGCAAGGGGCTGTCGGCGCGAAGTACATTCTCCTAGTCTCAGGCGGCGCTTGGAGCCCTACCCATGGACCAAATCCAGTTGTTCAAAGGGACGGCGAACACCCACCCCATGTTGGAAGTGATGTCCCCCCAGACACATAGGAAGTCCCGAGGTCGATGAACATGCGAGAGATCTGAGGAGTCGAGGCTGTCTGCAAACATTCGATCGATCTCAAACAGTGGGAGCCCATACAGGCTTCATCTTCTCTTAGTCACAGAAATTGGCCTTCAAGCCCTGTGTTCCACAACCATGACCCAGGTTGCTGGGATAAACATGATAAGCACAACGCCTCAAGCAAAGGGAAGCTGATTCAACGCGCCTTTTGGGTGGCTGTCATCTGGTTTGCCTTTATATACTCTCCACAACCACGTTCCACAACCATGCAGATGATTTCTCCCCTGAGCTTCTCAAGGCCAATCCAGTTGATACACACCGGTTTTGGAGCTTTGCATATATCATGTGGTCAGGGGTCACCGGATTTCGCCTTTAAATGTTGCAGTTTGCTCGTGCTGTACATATCAACTTTCATAATTCCTTGCGCCTAAGCATGTAGGGGTGTACTTAAGGGTTGTTTCACTTGCAGTAGCGTGCTCACCCATGAAAAATCATTGACGTGGCCAAACATGCGGGTTGCAGCTGATATTGACAACATGAAACTCACACAGGCCAGAGCTGCAAGGGGTGGATTCAAATGTTCTGGCCTTGAGCCCACCAACACCCAAGACCAACATCGACATGCAGAGGGCGCGCAGCGCCAGCTGCAAGAAAGCAGACTTCCCAAACGCAAAGTTGACGTACAAAATCATTTCGGGTCACAATTTGATTGCCACCAACTCCCAACCAGAAGGGCCCCGCAGTTCCTTCAACTCAGCGACCTGTCTCCTTTGCCACCGCCTTAGGGTTGTACCTAAGGAAATTGGCGCGACCCCCTGTAGAGATGTAGGGATTAGGAAGCTTCAGGAGGGACACTTAGATAATGCCTCTGAGCTTCAACTGAGTGAAATGCCTTCGTGGATGTTGGCCCACTCTGCAACTCCAGGTCGCTGAGTTGAAGGAACTGCGGGGCCCTTCTGGTTGGGAGTTGGTGGCAATCAAATTGTGACCCGAAATGATTATGCACGTCAACTTTGCGTTTGGGAAATCTGCTTTCTTGCAGCTGGCGCCGAATCACGTGAATGTGATGCAGTGTTGGCCTTCCTTCCCATTTGCACTCTTGAAATCTGGCCCGTTTGCGATTTGAACCACAGATGCCCGAGAGCATTTTGTGCAAATGTCCTCGAGTTCAAGATGGGACACGTTGCAGCTCGTTTGTGCCAGACCACGTCCTTGAGCACAGCCCCCTGCCCTTAAATGCAGGTCTGACCTGGAGAACCCTTTGATACACAAAAAAGTGCTCCAGACAGTTTTTGGCATTCGAGCGTTTTTTCTGCTCAAATCCAATTCGAGCACTTATTGAGGTTGCCTAGATGCTTGGTGAAGTGCCCGAGAGAAAGCGAACCCGCAACTCGAGCGCAATTTCCCGCTACTCGGGCGCAATTTTCCGCAACTCGGGCGCAATTCCAAAAAGTGTGCAAAGCCAAAGCTCCGCCCCGCAATCTGTGCATTTGCATGTGTTTGATTTTACCATTTCTCGCGCACTTATTTGCCACGAAAGCTCGAGCAAACATTTGCGTATCAATGGGTTCTGCAGGGACCCACGATTTATGAAAGTTGACAGCTGTATATTAAACTGCCACTTTTGGAGGTTCCAAAAAACAAAAATTGAGGAAACCTCTGCGGTTGCGAACTAGAATTGAACAATTCGGACAAGCCTTGCCCTAATGAACTGGGAAGAGTTGCGCAGTCGTGCTTTGTTCCTGGCTGCGCGCAAGTGTTCTGGTACCAAGTGATCAGTCATCCATCCCACAGGACAAATGAACAGGGCATGTATGCATAATATATATATATAAACACATATAGGCATACATACGCATATATATATATATATATATGTGGTACCCCCCAAAAATATATATATATATATAAACAACAACAACTAGGTTTTGGGAAGGGATGACTCAGCATATATATATATATATATATACGCATGTGTACGCGTAGGCAGCTGCATCACTGGAACGGGTTGATCACCAGTGAGCCGAACCGCGCTTCGAAGAGGACGATTTCCGCCTGGCCCGGGCGATTCGAAGGTCCTCCGAGCGCCAGCACGTCCCCCAGGTGCATGATCGTGGCCACCACCTGGACGGAGACAATTCTCGGCGAAATCTGCCCTGCTAAAAGTGACTAAGTTTTAGTGGCTTAATACGGAAGACCCATTAGTTGGCAAAAAAGAAGTCCTAACATCCAAGCAAACATGAACCAAATAATTGGTTCCCAAGGGAAGGCGAAAAGGGGCGTGTGTGCGTGTGTGTGTGTGTTGATTTCCCGTGTCGACTCTCCAAAATGATGATCTCCTTTTTGGTGTCCCTTTATGTCATTCAGCCCACCTCAAACAAATACTGGTTAAAGACACACACACAACCCAAGATTCTAGCCTTGAGGTTTGTGTCATCGAAAGGCTTGCAACAACCCTGCCTAATGTTTTGTTGTGAGGGCAATGATCAAATGCATGAGCCAAGTACCTGCTCACTGCCTCTGGCACCCTTTGGGACCTTTACTAAAAAAAGACAAGACAATGGCACAACAAACGCATTCACTCCCTGCAACAAGCATGGAAGCTGACAGGAGGCTTAAAAACAAAATACTTTTCTATTGGGAGGCCCCTTTCTCGTTTTTCCACTTTGGTTGTTGGCAACAGTCGGAAATCAAAAAGCTCCATTCGCTTTGGTCGCGGAGACCGAACACATACTGTGGATGGACAAAATCCTGCACCACCAAAAAACAACTGGAACCATGATTTCCCTGTAAATACCAACAAACACATATTTCCCATGGTTTCTACTTGGTACACGATTTCGTTCATCCACAGTATCTCCCTCGCCGACATCTGGAGCCGGCCCTTGGCCGCGCTCGCGCCTGGCCGGCGCCGTCCAACTCCTCACCCTCGGGCAGCGCCTCCCGAACGGCCTCAAAGGCTTCGGGTGGAGGGGCGTTGGAGTTGTTTGGGGCTGATTTCGGAGAGGGCGTTGAAGGGTGTGTACGTGTGTGTGTGTGTGTCTCTTAGCCAGTTTGTAGTCGATTCGCGCCCTTCAATATGGGAACTGTCATGAGGAACTGGCCCCCTCCCCCCAAAAAAAAGGAAGACACAAAATCAATCAAAAAGAAACAAACAAAGATTGACCTCCTTTTGGGTGACCACCATTTTGGATTCCATGCTAATCTGCAGCGTCCTTTCCTTGTCAGTTATTTGCTCCTCATCGACGGCTTTCATCGCTCCGGCAGAGTAGTGGCTGAACTGTTTTTGCCCAGAGAAGCCGCTGGCTCCTTGGTGATGAATGGAAAATCAAAGGAATACATCCGAAGAAAAGGCGGAGCATGACTCGAATGGAGGTCCGGGTCCGTGAATTTTGGTTTCAACCCCCGGGTATCGGCTTGGTTAACCCAGCATTGCTTGAATAAAATAGGAACACAGGACACCAGATTCTTAAAATCGGTTTAGCGATTCCAATGAAGACGGGGGCTCAAACTAGACATGTCCACTTTGAGCATTCACACTCCATCAACTGGTCCATCAACACACCCTAACAAGCACGGCCTGTCTTCGATGGTTGGGGGAAACTTCTGAGTTGGATAGGAATCAAGCACGCCAATGTGAACAACCCCATGGCTCTATGGCAGAAAAAGGGGACCCTCTTCCTGAGGCGTGGAAACCACCAGGGCTAAAGAGTGCCATTCAAGAACTGAAAACGAGGGAAGCACAAGCTCACTCGCTTTGCACCACCTTTTGCCCCCTAGCCGCAGGAGAACGCCTGGTGAGCCATGTCCTAAACGTGTCATGATTTGCTAAGTCGTATCATTTTGATTACGCCACTAGCTCATGTCACCTTACGCACGTGGAGCTTTTTTCTTACGCGATGGAGGTTTTGCTTACGCCACTAGCTTACGCCACCTTACGCGCGTGGAGTTTTTGCGCACAGGTCGATATGACACGACTCTTGCTAACCATGTACACGGAGGTTTTGGACGCCGCTTTGGTGAGCATAGGGGTTCTAGCCGTACACCCGTAACCTTTTGGGGCATTGAATAGAACAAAGCCACAATGGGAAAACCAACATGAGCAAGGACGCTCCCTCCGGGCAAACTGTTGAGATCTTGCCGGGCAAGGAATCCACAAATCCCCGCCCGAACAGAAGAGAGTTGCGGGGCTCCAAATGCCAGTCAACACTTGATTGGTTGCTACGTAGTTGGTTCTCAGGAAAAACGGAGAACCAGACCATGAGTAAAAGCAGCCAGAGTTCACCTCTCAGAGTTGTTTCTGCCACTTCAACAACCCTCCCTCCCCCCCAAAAAACACTCCGTAGCATGAAACGACGGGCCATCTGACATAGTGAAACGCCACAACATTGACCACATGCCCCCGGTCCCAGCCGGGGTGATTGGACAAAGGTTCCCTGTGAAAACCTTTTTTCCGGAAGTGGCGGCTTGCCCAAGTCTTGCGCACGCCGGCCCCTCGCCCGGAACCAAGCCGGCCTCCAGGGAGTATTGCCTGCCTGGGCTGGCAAAACGGGGTTTCGTTGTTGAAACCGCTTCAACTTCATCAAGATCCAGGTTTCCGTCTTGGGAACCGCACCAATGGAATTTAGGTCTACCTCTGGGTCATCTTAAGATTTGAACCCTGGCAAAAATCGCTGTTGACACCAGTGAGACGCGTAACAAGTGGACCCACCTTTCCTAGTTGAAATTCAGGGTTTCCTATATCAACATGGGAGACAGGGAACCCCTTTGGCGGACATCAAACAAGGTCTGGCGGTATCCAACAGCAACCCCAACCGGGAGCCCAATCCCTAGCCACCCAATCTGGGCAAAGACGACCCCTTAGCTTTCACATGAAAATACACTAATGTCTCATTGATCGGGTGCGTCATTGGATCTGAAAAAGTCAAGCTTGGTGGTTTTGGGGCCAACGGATGCTCCCTGTTTGATCCCGTAGTTTGAATCCACATACTACCCCATGGGTCATACCTAGATAAACGCTTGTCATTCCATGTCGGATTTCCGTTAAAATCCAGGCTTTTCGGGCTTTTTGGGAAGACACCTGTTTTTTTTCAAGATCGATCGATTTGGACCAGGTTTCTGATTTGCACCAGTACTCCCAGGAGATCACGGAACTCAAACATATCTTCACGGGATCGCTCGCGAAAAGATTCGCGGGCATGGTCCAGAGCCTTGCCCTGGAGAAAGATCCGTTCTGCGCCGATAGACAAAATCCGCGAAGAGCTCGCACCAGTTGGATTTCGGTGGTCCTCCCAGTTTTCATCGGGTTCACCCATCCCAACTTGTGCGAAGTGGATTGTCCAGTTTGACAAAGGGCTTGATCAGACTCACTTCCGTTCGAGTGGATCAGCCAAGCAAAGCATAAACTTGTTGTTCTCCACTGAAGTGGTCTTCCCACAAAGTACAAAGCCCAGGTCCTGGTTTATTTTAGCGGAAACAGGCAAAGGGCACCTTAGGCAAGGGTCACCTTTGGCACTCACCGACAGCAACTCAGGAAGTGAGCATTGGCAGGCGCATTCCCTGGAAGGTCAGAATCAAGCCCGGAAGGTTGCCCAGGAGATGGGGAAGCGATCCTCCGGCGCCCAAACATATACACACACGAAAAGTCCGGCAACAAAAGGAATGCCTAAAAGAGGTATATGATGCTAAACACTTTATACAATATAACCTATGTATACAGGAAAAAACATTAGTAGATAGAGCATGTACTATATATATACATAGAGAGCTATATACACGCATAAATATGTGTATATATATATATGTATATATATACAAATAAACAAATCACATTCATTTCATGTTGGCTCCGAGGGCATCAAGTTGGCGTTGCACATGTTGCGCCTATCGTAATTGTCTGTTTGGCTGGCTGTCTGTCTGCCTGTCTGTTTGTTTGCCTGTCTTGCCCGTTTGTCTGTTCGTCGGTTTGTCTGTTTGTGACGGGCGGTATGACTGCCATCATTCGCCAACGCAATCAATAGCAACCCTTCTGTTTTGTGCCCCGAAGGGAAGCAGAAAGGGATGGATACGTTCCCATCTTGCCCGACCCATTCAGCACGCGCGAACTACACACAAACAAACAAACAAACAAACAAACAAACAAACAAACAAACAAACAAACAAACAAACCACGAAAGGGGTACCCCCCCCGGGTGCTCTCACCTTATCTTTCTGAAAAACACGATAATTGTGTTGCTTTTAATTTTATCGAGATTATTTTGGATTCTAAAATCCGTCACCAACCTTCTGAACAACGGGAATGAGATTTGGATGCCATGCGCATCGGATGTTGGTGTGAGCGGACGATGTCGAGATGTGGATGTGGTGCATGATGTGCATGAGCAAGCTAAGAAAGCTCAGATTATTTTCCAGAAAAGTAGCTTTTATTTTTATTTTTATCGTCCACAAATTAAAGACCATCGTCGAGGTTGCAAAATATGTCTGTTTTGGGAAGTGGGAGGTGTTGTGGAAAAGATTGTAAAATAATATCATGAAGTGCCCAGCAATATGAACCCGGGGTGTGTGCCACCGTCAGCTGCCCGCATCTCAGCTCAGGCTCTCGCCTGCATTGATCACGGAGGTCCAGTACTCGTTTGGTCCAGACAAAATCGCCTCGCTGTGGGTCAAAACCCATGAAACCCCTGGTGAACCTCAAAATAGGTGGAAATCAAATGGATGTTCCTCCACCCCAAAATGGGATCGCCATAGGTTATGCCCCATGGCCACCTCGAAACCCGAAACGCGAAGGCCAACGCTCCCAGCGGCTTTGTGTTCGCACGTCGTTCAAAACACCAAGCACCAGGTTTCTGTGGGTTTTTGGCCATCTAGCAGGACAAAAACTGAAACAAAAAGAGCTGCCAGCCTCAGTCATACCTCACCTTGCAGGGTCCGTTGGTCGAGAGGGCTGTGGGTCAAAAGTCGGCAAACCCCAAAATGGCTTGCCCTGGTAAATGGAAAACAAGACAAACACCTTCGGTCCACATCCTGGTGGTGAACAACTTGACCCAAACCCATGTTGAAGCGCCGAAGCAAAGCAACCCTCCCGAGTGTTCGCCGAACGGACTGCATCGCTTACACCAAGCTTGACAATCCGCTGTCGAGATGGATCCCTCCCTCTACGCAGCTCAAAAACCGCCAACAAGCCTGGTGCCCCTCCTCATAAACAAGGCGCAGCTGAATATTTCAAAAACTACACACATGCGAGCAGTTGACTGGAGGTTTGTGGGTGTATACTCCAGATGGGTTTGTGTCAAAATAGGGGCAAAGGGACCCCAAAATCTGGGCTGTCTTTTGGAGCCCCTTCAAGCTAGACCACAAAAGAGTCCCCCCCCCTTGGGGGGGAACAACACACTCCCAAAAACAATGAGATGGCCTACTCAAAGTGTCCAACCCAGTCGGGGGGGGTTTCTTCAATTGCTTAACCCCCCTGGAAACAATAAACCTATTTCCAGCAGTGATAGATTCCCTTTGAAAACGACAGAGAAAGTAACAAACATCTTAAGCAAATGGAGGGTTTGGCCTCTCAACTTAAATCTGCGTCCTCCCCCCAAAAAAAGAAAATGAAATGGCCCACTCCGGCAGTGCCCGGCTGAATCGAGCTGCATCTTTGCAATGCAATTGGAGCCCAAAAAAGGTGCCTCTTAGATTTTTGTCCACCTAAACCAACGAAAACAATGAAACTGGGCCCCCACTTTTTTGTGGTTTCCGGACAATTCGTCGTGGTCAAAACCAGGCAAGCGTCACCTGGCCATTCTAGAGGTACCTGTCAACCAGCCTTGTCCGGAGATCCTTTTCGGACCGCCAAACATCCAGAAACAAAACGCGAATTTGAAAGCCCTAGAAATTGAGAACCACCCCATGTTCGTTCCAAAACTGGAGACTGCTTTTAGGGAAAGAAGGGAAGGGACCCCACCCGGCCTCGCCCTGCCACTGGACAGTAACCTGAATGGCACGACATTTGTGGGCTCCAATTCGTGCAGTACAAAGGGAAGCAACGGCAGCTTCAGCATTTGACACCCCCTTGGAACCAAACACTGGCTACAGATCAGATGTGGATGAACCCTTGACTTTCCCCGTTTATTCAGGGACTTCCCTTGAAAGAAAATCATCCCCACTCAACAGGGACGTGTTTATTTGGGTCTGTCTTAGTTTGGGAAGCGGACCCCCCAAAATGGTGTGTTTTCCTTTAAACCCATCAAACAAGGAGTACCAAGTCCAAGAGGGGCACGCCCCATTTGCATGGGCGGGCGGGGTCAGAATTCGGGGGCCCTTTTGGCTTTTGTGGGTCCGCTTCAGGTGGCGCAGGTGGTGGGGCTGACCAAGGAACTGGCTCCTGGAAACTTTGGCTCCGCTCTATAAAAATATCAGGGGTTAACTTGCCAATCCAAACGGTATGGTAGCAAAGAACTAGCAAACAACTGACTGTTCTTGCAGGCCCCCTAGTAAACGTGAACAGAACCAACATAAATATAAACACGTGCCAACAACAGTGAGATGAATTCCATCAGCGACTACTAGTGGCTGCCTGTGAAACATGCAGACTAGTCCCTATGCCTTCTGCGAGTCGGCTCTAAACCAGTGTTTGATCTTTGGGAGACTGTCCATTTCACCTGTGGATTGCAACTCCGAAAACCGGTCCAGCCCGATACAACCAACCCACTTACTGTGGATGGACGAAATCCATTCGCACCAACCAAAAAGCCATGGTTGAAATCGTTTGATTGTTGGTATTTGCAGGGGAATCAAACCATTTTCCGAAACGGGGTGCGGGATTTCTTCCATCAACATACCAGTGGCTGCTTTTCAGCAAGTAAAGACCAGCCACGGTACTCTGCAAGTTTTGGGTGCTTTGCTACTCCACAAGTTGGAATGGATGAAACCCTAACAAGACTGGGATAACCCCCGCCTACCAACTGGTGCGCTTTGCAGATTCTGTGCCACGGCCAAAAACCGTCCCCAGCTGAAACTCATCCAGCCCTGCGGTTTGCTTTGCTCTTGGGTGCTGGCGCCTCGCAAGCATAAAGGACCTGGTTGCTTTTTGGCTTGCCTTGACTTCGAGGGATGGGAACCAAAACGGCAATCTGTTTCTTAGTTTCATTGAAACAAAAAACAAAAACAAAAACAAAGGGTGTTTAATCTTGGCGGTTTCACGCCGTCCCCGTAGTTTTTCTTTTTTTTGGACTTAGTGGTTGGATGGTCGGTAGACTTTTCTCCGCAGGGGATCTGAAAACGGACAGCCCAGTTTTAACCGGACAGCCCCGGTTCAAAGGTAGAGCAAAGGTGTGTCGACAGCCCTTCTTGGAACTTCGAGGGGCATGCCGTTTGAGGGGTTGAAAAGTGGAGATCGGGCAAGTCAGAAGCAGACTCGGTCCGCCACAAGACTACAAGCCACCTACTTGCACCAGCTAGTGTGAAGACGACTTGTTCACAGTATCTTCTTGGTTCAGTTGCCCCGCCTTTCGGGACCCAGAATATCTCCGGCGATCACCTTGTGGCACCTTTGCTAAACATGGACACCAGCCTTCGAATTATAACCAGACTCCCTGAAACAAATGCAAACAGGCAAAATTCCCCCGAAAGCCCGGGGAAAATCGTCCCAACTCCCTGCAACCCGCAGGTTCTTTCAGCTCCATTCGCCCAAAGCACCGCCCTTTGCACGCCTGGGACATGAGCTCCGGGTCCAAGGATCGGAGTCCGTGCCTCTCGAATGCAACGAAACGGAATGAGCCAAGGACTCAGAGGGTGTTACCTCAGTTGTTCAGTGACGCGCGAAAAAAAAGGGAACCCTTTTGGCGGAAGACCATTTTTAATCGGGGAGCAGCCACCGAAAAAAAGGGGGAAAAAGGTGCCACTGAACAACTGAGTTACAGGAAAACCGGTTTATTCCCATGGGTGCAGCCTTTGAACTCCAAGAAAACCATCCAACCGATTTGGTGTCCGTTTTAAGGGAATCCCCAAAATCGGTTCATCCCCATCCCGGGTGCACCAGCAAGTAAACCAACACCCCAAATGGTCTCACCTCGAACAGGAACCAACCCTTGCCTTCATAAGGAACAACATTGTATACATATTATAATCTATGCACGTATGGGTCTGTCATAGGATTGGATTGGACGCCCCCAACACCTCAGTGGCCCACCCGGAAATCAAAGGTTGAGCTTGTCAAACGTGGACAACATATATGGACCAAAACAAAGACACCAAAAGGTCAGATCAGGTCAACTTGCTTTGGGCAAGTAAGAAACTGGGATGGGTGATTCCTTTTTAGGTTAGACTCCCCCAAATAGGTGGGTTGTTCTTTTGGTGTCCTTTTGAGACCAGCCAAAACGGGCACCCTCAAAAACGACATACCCAAAAATCCAGGACCCAACAAGCACTTCACCTTACCCTCGGTTGGTTTGGCTTGGTTTGGTTGGGACCTTAGGTACCTTCTCCATTTGGTTTCAATGGGTGGTCGAATATCCATGACACAACAGCAATCACATGGTCTCAGTGTTTTATTTTGGTGAAGTACGAGCGTTTTGGGACCATTTGGAGTATCATTGAGACATGTGTGTTAGCACAGTGAGTTCTGTCACCCAAACGTTAAACCCAACCATTTGTTTTGTAAAACGAGCAAGCGTAAAAGGGACGAATGGAAGATGCCAACAGCACTCACCTGCAGCCATTGCACCGCGGAAGCCGGAGAACTCTCCTTGGCCAACCGCTTTCCTCTCGCTTCGGGCGACCCAGCCCGTACCAAGTTTGTGAGTATGGCCCCGCTGGGCATAGTGGTTTCCATAGCTAGGGGTGATCGTAGGCAGCGGGGTAGTCGAGCCTTCGAGAGGCAGGGGTGTCCAAGACGCAGGACTGGTCGGATGGCGAGCCGACGAACTCGTTTTCGAGGAGGAGCCGACTTGAGACCCATTTCAGCGCCGAGCCTCTGGTACCTCAAGTTGCGACCATTTGAAAATAGGGCACCGAAGTTCTCCAAAAAAGAACTAGATTTCGACATGGCTTGTTTTGTTGGTTGATCTCATCACGAAAAAAGAGAGAGCACCAGTGCCCACTGCTGCACTGCATGAGATACCAGAATCGGGCCCCCCAGCAGCAAAAGCTCATAGAAGCTCTTGACGCAGTCCACCTGCAAGGTTGTATGCATCGATGTGGTCATCTCTCTGGGTGGCAAACAGGGAACAGTAAACATGTCCATTCCCTCAGTTGCCTTTTTGGGACCCAGCAACAAAAGGTGATCAGCTTTTGGGATACTTTCTGAATGTAGACCAAAATACCCAAACAAAAAAAAAAGGTTGAAATGCGGCTTTGGGCGACTGAGAGTTTGTAAGAACTCACACATCTGGAAAATACACACCCGCTGAAGACACCTCCCAACTTGTGGTGAATTGTAATAAGTCGCCACAGTCACCATTCCAAACTGGGTGTCAACTTGAGGGTAGGGAAAAAGCAAGCAATACCCCTTTCGGTTAGATATTGTGGAAGCCCTAAGGGGGATGGCTAGAGTCCCTTCGGGTTCCCTGCCATCTCGTGCCCAGACCTCGGGTTCTTGAAATCCACGGTGCGCGACGAGGTCCCAGACATTTCACTCCGAAAACAAAACCGATGGGGAACACACAAAAACAAAAAAAACAAACTCAAGCCGGAAGTTCACGGTCTGTCGGAAAACGGAGGTTAGGTCCTTACCACTCACCTCCTGAGTTCCTGGATTTGTTTTGTGGGTTTGGTTTATGTTGACTTTTCCTGGCCAATCCACTCAAACGGAAGTGAGGTTTTATTCTCAACCATTCCCCAAGGGTCATCCCCCGTCTTTCCAGCGTCCAAAGGAGTCAACGCACCTCAGAAAGGTACTAAGGGAACTTTGCTGGGTGGAAGATATGAAGAGCAGGTTGTTCGGCTCGGGTTCCGGGATCGGCTCGGAACACTCGGTCTCTTCAAGCCGCTGGCTTTCCTCGAGCCCAGCACTAACAATATCCTTTTCAAGAGCAGTTGGAAAGAGATATGGGGCAGTGGTTGCAAGAAGGTGAGGAGGCGTTTCTGAAGCAGGTACAGCCAAGGAGCTGAAAAAAACGCCTCCTCACCTTCTAACCGTTTCTCTTTCCTCTGAACCAAGGTGAGGAGGCGTTTCTCTTTTTCTAACCGTGGTTGAAACCAACCAGAGGCCCAAAGAGGCACGCATTTCTGGAGCAGTCGCCGATACAAGCCCCCCTTTTCAGTCTCAAGAAGGCGGGCGATGGAATTGGTTTCTGCCCGGGCCAAGTGGGGATGGTTTCTTGGGAATTACAGTTCCCAGACAATCCACGTACTTAATGTGTATGAACGTCTGTCCAATTTTTAGGGCAAATGTGGGTGTATATTACCTACAGTAACATTGTCCGGGCTTGGATTCAAGTAGATGGCATGGTTTCGTTTGACCAAGCCCCACCTCTACCGGGAGAATGGCCTCTTGGTTTACCCAGCTTAATCCCACATTGGGGGACTGACTTAGTGGGTAACCTAGGTCACCAACAACTTACAAGTACGCCATGACCTAGGCTACCCACTAACTCAGTCCCAGTGACCCGAGTAGTGACCCCTTACCCTAGGTCACCAATAACCGAGTACGTTGGGATCCCTGCGGATCCGCCAACGCAGCCCATGGCTCGCGCACTCCAGTCCTCGCGCGTCGTATCCTCCAATTGCTTAAGTACCCTGGCTAACAAAAAACGTATTTTCAGTCGTGATAGATTCCCTTTAACACCAGCGGAAAACAAACCATATTCTGAAACGCCACTAGACGTATTAGTATCTGCCCGCTTTCTTGGAGAACACCGAGTTCTGTGGGGATGCGGTTTAATGCGCCGCCTGCCAAAAGAGCGCTAACCACAGATGCATGTAAAAAGTAGCTTAGGGCCAGTCTGGATCCCAGCACAAGCGAATACAAGGGCTTGGGCTTGAATGCTTAGAAGAAAACAGTGGGATGCTTGAAAGCTAACAGAAGGCATGCTCGTGGCAGCAGAATGTGAGTTGTTCAAGGAAACCGTCGCATTACACACAAGTTATGGAAATCAAATATCAGCCCTTTGGCGTGTGAAGACGTATTCCCGTGGCTACCTGCCCTTGGTGGCAAGTGGGTGCTAGTTCCCCAAACAGTGGGGATGTTCTTTCCGCGTCCGTTTCAAAGGCCGCAACTTTAGAACCTCCTTAATCAAAACCCCTGGCAATGGTGACCCCGGCTGAAAGAATCAGCTGGATCAATTGGGGGATGCACCTCCCTCAAAAGTGTTCCAGCTCCCTCTATGGGTTGCAAGTGCCTCGATCAAAAGCAAAGGCTCTGCTTAATCCTGGCTCAAGATCTCGCTTCTTGGAGTGGAATGGTCGGAAAAGAGTTGCTATTTCTGTGTTCACACTAAACTGGGTGCCTTTTGTTTTGCCTAGCCCCCAAAAAGGGAGGTTTTCCTTCTGGCTTCCCACCAACTCCAAAAAGAAACACCCAAATCAGCTTGCAAGCGGGTACAGTCCAGAATCTGCTCGGACGCATCCAAAATCAAACCGGTGGGTCCCAGTTGCCACTATAGTAGGTAACCAACATTTCTCCTCTTGGTTTTTCAAGGGTGGCAAGCTGTTGGCAACCTACTATACAGGGAAAAGGAAAAGAAACAGTAAATCGGTGCAATTCCCTTCAGAAGCTTGGCCATGGGAAAAAAGCACCACCGGGGGCACCATTTTTCTCGTATATCGCACTCACTGAACTCACAGAGTGACTTCTTTTCTCCGCCCATCCCTCGCTTGCGTGGCCAGGCCCGCCGCGAGGCTCCCCGCGAGGCTCTCCGCAAACAAAATACCATGGGTCAAAATCCAATCGTACCCCCAGTGGATATCCCAATCCCGACTAAATAGACCTAAATTCGGTGGTGCAAAATCGTACCCCCAATGGAAATCAACCAATCCAACCACTCAAACAGGTTCTAAAATTGGTGGTGCACCTACCCCAAAATGGTACCAATTGGTTTTGACCCACAGCCACATATGTGCTTCCGCAAGGCTTCGGCGGCTGATCCGTTGATTCACATGTTGTTTTGGAAGGAACATCAAGCTCCTTAGCTCCTTGGCTCCCTGTGGACCTCTTAGGCATCACGAAATGGATAAAATGGTTGAAACCAGTTGCTTGCTGGTATTTGCGGTGGAAATCGAATCATTCCAGGGTTTCCTATATAGGTGGTTCAGGATTTCGTCCATCCACAGTATTAATGGTTGGTTGAGAGGGTAACTAAGCCCCCCCATCATAATTTTAATTATCCCTTGGCTGTAGGGGTTACCTTCCCCATTCTTTCCATGGATCCTTCTTTCTAGAAAACCTCCAGAAGCCAGGGAAACCAGCTGGTTTTGACATGAATGGTTGAAAAGAATGGACAAGGAATCAACCCCTAGATTGCTTCCAGTTGCTTTTCCGTCTGGAGAAAACATGGAAAAACATGGAAACCCAGATATATATATATATATGTATATATATATATATATATATGTATATATATACTAAGTTATTATCTTTTTTTAAACGTAATTCCAGGTTTGTAAAATCGATTCACTTTAGACCCACGCACAAAAGCAACACAACAAAACACACATTATTCAAACGCTGCAAGGATTGCCTGGATCTACCTCCCTCGTCCTGCAGCCACAAGATCTTCTTCCCGTCGCCCTGCAGCCTTCGCAGCACCTCGAAACGGAAAGAAGCGAAGACCAGTGTCGGGGTTTCAGTCCTTGTCCAGTCTTTTCAACCAAAAAAACAAAAACAAAACGATCGCTGTTTCCCCCGTCCAGTCTTTTCAACCATCATCTTCAAAACACCGATCGCTGTTTCCCCTGTCTAGTCAAGAGTTTCCGCAACTTTTCTTGGGGTTGAGTCCTTGAGCATTATATATGTTCAACCGTCAACAAAAAACACGATCGCATTTGTGTGATAGTTTCCTGAAACGAAGGATCCCTGAAGAATACTTCCATTATGCAGTTTCGCCGAAATAAAGATGAGACAATATGTCCAGGAATTGTTAAGAATATGATCAAGCAAATGGAAGAATGGGATGTTAGATGCAGTAAATTTGCCTGGGGCAAGTTAGCTTGTGGTTTTGGGGAAGGGGCTTGGCATTCTACGTTCCAGGCTGCAAAAGGGTGGGCAAGCCCCCCTCCAATACTGGCACAACTTGGACAATTTCATGATGGGGGTATGGTATGGGTCAGAATTAAACCACCAGGAACCGGACCGCAGGTTTTGGTCCATGTTTCTTACTAGGGTTCCAGTTGGGGTACCTATTTTTGACCCACAGCCATGGCACCTACCTTCGAATTGAGGAGCGGGTTGGAAAGATCTCGACATTCGAGAACATCTCGCCTCCAGCGCATCAGAGAGGCGCGGGTACCTCGAAGGAAACCAAAACACCGCCTTACTCAGAAATAACTCTAGGGGTTGATTCCCCATTCTTTCCAACCATCCTTCTTTCCTAAAATCGGCCGTTTTCCCTGGGTTTCCGGAGGTTTTCTGGAATGGTGCACCCAGAACCATGTAAAGAATTAGAAAGGCGGCCGCAGCATCTACCCGCGTTTTGATTGTGGCTCATGTGACCATCTTTTGGGATCTTTGCTAAACATGGAGTCCGACGTGGGAAAAGCAACAGGTTGTAAGGTCGATTCACTTTGGGCAACTGAGATTGCATTCTTGGCAGGGTCAGTGTATGGTCCTGGTCGTCAAATTTGGTCCAACGAATGTACTCAGCTTGCTTTTAGTGAGACTGCGAGACAGTGAGACCCCTATCACTTCCAGGCTTAGCAAGGGCATCCACTGTTTTGTGAGAACCCTGTCTTGGTCCATGCGAATTGCAAGGAAGACGATGCAACTGATTAACTGATATGCCTGCATAAGCTTTATGACAAAATTGACCGCGTCATTTGCAATTATAGTTATCATGCAATAATTGGTCCATATGTGCATTTCTGTTATTTTGACGAACCACCAGCCCGCCGACACCAAAAGGAGCATCTTATATCACTGACAAGTGGCTCCGGAAATCAGCACATCTACCGCGACCCAGGTATCAAGTCCAGGCACCACTTGTTGGAAAACAGAAAGACCGCCAGACTTATAGGACCATGGACAAATTATCTTCAGCAAGCAGGATGCATGAAGTTGCAATTTGGGGTAATAGTCGATGAAACGACTGCCTTAAACACAAATCGCGCGGGGGGGGAAATGGAGAAAGGCATCAGAAATATGGCATGGCCACGCAGTCCATGCTTCGTTTCTGCAGAAATGTGAGGGGCCAGGGCTGAGGATTCTGGTTAACACAAGCCTGGTGTCTCCTCTTGAAACGGCAACTCGGCATGCAGCACCCTCACTTGACTCAAACAACTTTGCCCATTCCCCTTTAGTTCTCAGTTGGCCCTTTTCGAACATCAAGGAGTATCTCCGTCCATCACCTTTTTGTGACCTTTGCTACACCTGGCGCCTTTCGCTCCGGCCAAGTCACTCCGAAGGCAAAGGCGCAAAGACCACCCGGGCCTGGCGGTCGAAAAACGTGGGGGGCGAGGCGCGGTGGGGTGAGGGGGCGGAGCAAAAAGGGGGGTTGGCGGCAAATGGGGCCGGAAAACAAAAGCTGGGTGGTTTTTCGGGTTTCCTCTGTTTTATTGCTTAGAATCTACCCCGGTGTTGTATCCCAAGCTAGAATCGCAATATGTTTAAGGTCCAATACATTGTTAAGAGATGTGAAAACATGCATTTCTATTGGAATGGTAAGTGGTGGGTGCTGAATGCCTTTTCTGCCGTAATTATATTTCAGGGTGCGGGTCTTGGGTGCGGCGTTGGGTGCGGGTTCGGGTGTTGGGTGCGGGGTGTTGGGTGCGCTAGTGGGTGCGCTAGTGGGTGCGCTAGTGGGTGCGGTGTTGGTGATGGTGCGGGCGTTGGGTGCGCTGCAGCGGGCACGAGAGTTGAGTGTTGGGCGCAGGTGCGCTCGGCTTGTCCGATGTGCGCTGATTGCACGGGTGAGGGTCTTTGAGGGACGATCTCGGGCCGCGGGTTTTGAGGTTGGTTTGAGGTTGATGGGCGTTCAAAAATGAGGTCTACCATGTATTGAGAAACCCCCATAGGAAGGACACAGATGCTTTGTCAAGGTTTTGCACACAGCAGCTCCCAGCAGAATTTCACTGTTCGCGTTGCGAGTTTGCGTGAATCACAGATGCCGATTTTTTTTGCGCTGCCTATGAGCTAAGGTTTGCTGTGCCATGCGTGAGTGCGCAAGCAGTTTTCACCTTGGCACGTTACACGCAAAGCGAGATAGAGGAACTGGAAGGCAATGGGCGTTTTGCTCAGTTGTGGTCAAAGCGCCGACTGAAAGGTTGAGCGGCAGTGACCAGTGCGAGGCACACTGGTAGGTTGGCAGTCTTCCATCACGACTCGGACCCTGGCCTGGGAGAGGAAAACTGCGTTGGACGTGAGTTGCTTGCAACCTGAATGACTCATTTCCTGATGCCCCCACAAATATCCGCATCAGCGAGGCCGGTATCATGTTGTCCCCACCTCCCACACCTACACAGCGGGAGTCTTTTGGTCAACCTGTTTGTTGGGCGGCGAGAGGGAAGGGGGAGGCGTCATGTTTGTCTTCCCGAAAGGGTCGTCAAAATTTGAGAGCTCCTCCGAATTGGTTTCCCTTTTTCCTGTACGGCTGCTTGCTTGTTTCCAGGGACTCCGCACACCCATCATTGGAAGGGGACTTTCAAAGCGGGCCCAAATGAAGACAGCCACTATTATTCCATGATCATGAGGAAATGTTGGTTTCTTAGTACATAAGGGGCTCGGGAAGAAACAACAAAATACACATCGCCCGCTCTTCTCCTTTTGGCTAAACTGAACTATTGAGCAACTTGAGTCATGTACAAGCTTAGCTATTTTCAATAGATGTGTTCTATTGACAACGTTGTAGCCTACTTCAAGGGCGCATGGTGCGAGTCAAGTGCGAATGGAAGGTGCGGGTGCAACTGCCAGTGTGGGAAATGAGTGCAACATGGGTGCGAACTGAAGGTGCTGGTGCGTGCTCTTGTCCCAATTTACCATGTCACTACAGAACTTCTGGTGCTCCTTGACTTCCTCATTAAAAGCAAACTTTCTAGGGGTACCTTCCCCATGCTTTCCAGGGATCCTTTTTTTCACGCAATCATCAAAACCCCAGGGGAAACAGCTTGATTTTTTGAAAATAATGATGACTCAGACCCCTAGAAACTTGGATATCCCCAGCTCCTTGGCTCCCATAACCAGCAGCCAGAAATGTCATCAATGAGACACACATTCCAAAAGTTTTTGTCAGGGCCTACGGGTCCCAAACACCACCAAAGCGATTAATTTAAGCACTGCCCAAGATCGGCTTCCTTTTGACAAGTTCACGCACCTCCTCAAACAGTAACAGAGCTTGCCAGCTTAGTTTCCCCCCCCCAAAAAAAAAAAAACAAATTGAAGGAAACTCGGCAAATGAGTTGGCGAAGATGCTCAACACCACCAAATGGTCGTGGTCTGGCTGTTGAGAGCACACACTTTTTGGGGGGGGCAAACCAGAGGTTTCAACTCCATGCCACGTTGTCGGGGTCCGATTCAAAAAAACGTCGGTCGCTTCATTGAATTATAGAAAGTCAGAACAGATTTTATGTAAAATGAATCGAGAATACATCTGTTTAATGGGGAACGATAGAAAAATCGTCGGTCAAATGCGCCTCCCCCAACCCTCGGAGGCCTTGCCCACGTCAAGCTTGAGGCGCACCAAGGATGACCTCACCCGCCCGACCCTGGACCGGGGGGTTAGGCCTCCAGACCTTTGTTTTGGGGCGCAGAATTGGCACTCTTGTGTGGCACCCTAGATCAGTTTCCTCTGAAAGGGGCTGTTTGGTGGGTTTCATGGCAACGTGGGCCAAAGGGGAACAGGGAAGCAACCCGCTGGGTGTGGGGTGTATGGCTTGGGTTGGTGCTCTAGCTGGGGGAGCCGGGAACCTCATTTGCACTTTGAACACTAAGGTTGCAATCCAACCAGACCAACCCAAAGCACCAGTTGAGCCTTCCCGAAAATAGAGGGCACCTATCCAACCCAACACTTCAGGGCGAAAATAGAAGGAGCAAACCGCTCGATTGAAGCTCTTGCAGCGCATTTCAGCCACGTACTCCCAACCCAAACCCTATTCAGGTATGCTTGACCCGTATTTGGCCGCCTTAGTCTCGTGATTCAGAAGAAAACCAGTTAACCCCTAGTTGGGAGGGTTATAAACCCTTTATGGACAAGGACGTCCTTGCTTTTGGACGGATTCCCTTTTTGACGGTGGCATGATCTCTTGGGCGGGTGTTTTGGGGGGATGTCTGTGAAAAATGCCTTTGAGAGAGTCTTTGGGGAAGTGTTTGCGGCTGTCTTGGTCGATGTGTCCTTGGGGGTGACTTTTGGGGTGTGGTGTCTTGGGGGGATGTCTTTGTGGTTCTTGAGTGATGTCCTTCAAGGATGTCTTTGGGGATGTCTTCCGAGGGTGTCTTGGGGGATGTCTTTGGGGATGTCTTTGAGGATGTCTTTGAGGGTGTCTTTGTGGATGTCTTTGCGGTTGTCTTGGGAGATGTCTTGGGTGATGACTTAGGGGATATCTTTTGGGGATATCTGCAGGGTTGTCTGTTGTCTTGGGTGATGTATTTGGCGATGTCTTTGGGGATTTGTCTGTGGATGCCGTTGGGAATTGTCAACAAGGTTGTCGTTGGTGGCATCTACGGGGTCTTCGTTTGAGGTCTGTCATTGCGAGGATGTTCGGGGCATGTCTGGGAAGATGTCTTGGGGTGTCTCAGCAAATGTCAGTTGGGGATTTTGAAGGCCGTTGCCTTGTGTCGTGAAGGCTGGCTTTTGGGGATGTCTTTGAAGATTTGTCTTTGAAACATGTCTTTGAACCTATTTTGTGGGGATGTCTTCCGCAGTGTTTTAGGAACGTCTTGGGGATGGCTCACTTTGGGACTCTGTTGGGGCGCTTGCGGGGATGTCTTCGGATATGCTTTTGGACCATGTCTTTGGGAATGCTTTGTTCGTGAGGCCATGGGGTTGCGCATTTCATCATTCGGGTTCGTGGCCTCTATCAGCTTTTTTTTTTTTTGCGGGGGGGGGGGGGAGCCTTACCTTGACGCAAATCCAAGTGTGTCTGATTCCCTAGAAATTGTAAGTGGGAACAACAAACAAACGTGACATATGCCATGGCTTGATTGGTTGGTCTACTTGCAACATTCGGTGAGTGTTTGTTTCTATGGGTGATACCTGTTTCACCTTGGTTTAAAGCCAAACCCAAAGGACACTCATCATTTCGGGGGTCAAAACTGCTATTTTGAAAACAACTTGGAGTCTCCATCACCCCTTCAAACATGGGGTCACTCATTTTGAGTGCCCAATTTCAAAGGGTGAGACTCCAGATACCCTCCCACCAACCACGAACAAGTTCCCTTGAGAAGAATGGTCTTAGGCCGTTCCAGCGGAGGGTCGCTATCCATTCGAGTTGGCTGTTCGAGTTGGCAGTTCAACGACTAGAGTCTCCCTGACCCTCAAAAAATGGGTCCCTGACCCTTAATTTTGGGGAAATGACCCCATTTGTTGAGGGTCAGAAGGAGACTCCAGGTAGTTACTTTAATGCAGACACATGGCTATGGGTCAAAACAACGTACCCCCAGTGAACATCCCAATCCCCACTAAAATAGGTTCTAACATGGGTGGTGAATTCACCTACCCCAAAATGGGATCCCATTGGTGTTGACCCACGGCCACATCAAGCAACAGCGGGAGGCTTTTGGTGAATCCGCCGTATCACGTCGTCTGCGCAATCACTCGGCCGCGTCTTTGGGCTTCCGGGCGTCGGGGTCAGTGTCTCTCGGCGCCATTCAGTGACCTGCGAGCGGTCCAAATGGGAGTGCCACCCACTGAAAACGCATACCATCCTGCTTTGCTTTGGTAGGTTGTGGAATTGCTTTGATGCTTCTAGGCGTAATTGTCCATCCAGAGCCTTTCCGTTGCCTTGGCGGTTTTTGTGAATCTTTATTGGTCAATCATTCTGAACCCAACCCAGGATCAACCCTGAGTACCCCAAACCAACCCTTAGCCCGCGCCAAATCAACCCTTCACATACTTGCTGGTGGTCAGGGAATGACCCAGGGATTGGGAATGAACCGTTTGGGATTCCCTTAAACAAAACCATAGGCGAAGGCTTTGCTTGGGGTCATTCCTTTTCTCATTCCCTGCCTATCGAAGCAGCAAGAATCGCAACTCCTCGCAAGCCACTTGGACCCCCCTCAATTCCTCAACAAATGGGTGTTGCTTCTATTTACCGAGGTGCCATTTTGGTACACTGCTTTTTGAGCCACAGCCGAATGACCGGAAAATCATCCCATCTTGAGGGAGATCAATGGCCAACAGCTCGAACTTCCCTCGGCCAGCAGGAAACTTCCAATCAGCTTCCCCCCAATTGGTGGTTCGGATTGGTGGACGGAAGCCACGAATGTTCGGACCGAAAAATATGTCTGGTGATGACTTTGTGGGACCTTTGCGGAACATTTGGAAAAAAAACATAAGGTTATTTCAGGTCATTTGCTTTGGGCAACTGAGTCATTCTCTCATCTGCCTTTCCTTGGTTTTCACTTGGCTTCATCTCACTTCCTGAGTGAATGGGCAAAAACGAGTCCAAACTGCTCATTTAACACTAAAATGGCTTCCCATGTCCGAAACGGAACTCAGGAAGTGAATCAGTAGCAAATGACCCAGGGCGCCCTCCAGGGACACACCCATTGAGCCTCTTTTTGGCTCCGCAAAACCTGCGGGTTTCATTGCAAGCTCGCAATGGGAGTCTCTCCCTGCAAAGCGCGCAAGTCTTTCCCCGCCTTCTCGAGGAGTTGCTTTGCCTCCTCATCCTCCTCAAAGTGCTTCCTGACCTCGGCACTTTGACCGACGGCCTATGGCAACTCAATTGGTTTTGACCTGTTCATTTCCATCCTTTTGTAGCTAAGGGAAACTGAGACAATGACAACGTAAAACTCTCTCGCTATGCAAATGCTTCGCATACCCCAAAATGGTTGGGAAGCAGATTTCCCGTGTGAAAAAGTTGAACCTGCCCAATATACATGCTTGTTGATCGGCAGGGAAACCTGTGAAAAGGATACCTTCCGCACTGGTCTGAGGTAACTCGAGGTCATGAGAAAGGAGGTTCCATCTTTGATATGTGAACCAGTCGCTTAGTCAGAACCAACCAAACCTTTTTTTTCTCACTTAAATGGTCCAAACCCGAAAAGTGACTGAAGTCCGAAACGGAATTCAGGGAATGAGTGTACCACGAACAGTAGGTAACCACGATAAACCGTTATGCTACAAGTTGAGGCAAAAACACCTGGCTTCTCACTGCAAATGAACATGGACCGTCTCTCAAAAGGAGGTGTTTGTTGGGTCCCGTGTTTATTTACAGGGGTGTACATCCCTAAAAGCACTGGGTTTGCATATGCCCAACCAGTTCGACACCGACCCGCTGGCTCGGTGGGAACCTGTTCCATCCCGTGTGCCCTAAACGTGGCTCAACACCCTAGACTTGAGTGCCCGAAAACCCATAGACTCTTGGTTCCATCAGCAGGGTTGTGGGCCATGCTATAATATGATGGTTTATACTGGGTATGGGTTAAAAACGCTGTTTATAATGAGCTCATACGAGTTGCACACTGTTTATTATGGTTCTACGGATTATAAACACTTTCAGTTATAATGGCTTGTTTTGGTCATACTATAATCCCTTTCAGACTGGGTAGTTGAACCACATACAAACCTGACGATTCCAATGCCGAGGAATTCCTAGGGTAAATCCACACCACACACATCCAAACCGGTGTCTAGAGAAATGGAAGGACAGGCGGGATTCCCGTAGAAGCAAATCCTCAGTTGCCCCGTTTTTCGGGACGAAGCCAAAAGTCATCGCCTTGTGGGACCTTTACTAAAATGGAAACCACAACTTGGAAACCAACACACAGCAACCAGATTGTACCCGAGGCAAACCCAAGCAGGAACTCAAGCAGGAACTGAGTTGCCCTGACGGGCTCCAACAGTGCATTCACCTCGGCTCATGAACCTAGTGTTGTTTCTATTTCTCACTTCATGAGTAGATTGGGTTGCCAAAAAGTCCTGGACTTCTTGTTTGCCGCTAAAATCGCCTTCGCAAAAAGCTTCTCCAGTCCATATGAACTCACCAAGCGAGTTCTTGCTCATATTGAGCTAAGGTGTGTTTCTGTGCTGTGAACAATTGTTGAACATCATGTCGTCCAATGATTTTCTTGAACCAAACACGAAACGAAGCACGGAAGTGTTCCTTCTGAAACCCAGCACGCAATTCCAAGCCCCATGGTCCTTACAAATTGGTTCCCTTGCCTCAAGGCCGTTGGTCAAACGGCGACACCCAAACTCGGCGGTTTCCCTAGGGGTACCTTTATCAAAAAACAGAAAACACTGGCCGAAGACGGGGAGGCTTCTTAAAAGCGCGGGGGAGGGAGCGGGCCTGGTTCCAGCGTTCCGGTGTTTCACCGTTTCTTGGCTGGTTCATGCGCAAACACCGTGTAAGTGGTCGTGGGAAACCTCCCATCTTTTGCGATGCCATACTTATGTCCACGTTGTCGCTTTGAAAGAGTTTTGTTTGGTACCACATCAAGTGGCCCTAAAACCGGACTGCCCACCATGCAGGTAAGCGTTTCCTTTGCAACGATTGAAAGGTCTTGGAGACTCCGGGTACGAGTCGTCCAATCAGAGAAAGAACCTGATCCTGGCCTTGGGACCCTGGCAGGCGGTCTGACTTCCATTTGACGATCTCTCGGGTGTCTCTGCTGTTTCAGAACCATGTTGACAGGCTAGCATCATTGAAAAAACAGCTTTGTAAAAAACCAAACCTCCCACAAATTCCTACTCTCTCTTTTTTTTTGGGGGGGTCGTCAAGGCCAACTAGACGAAAACCACTTTTTCAGACACACCCTTGTGCTGCGAGTCCAGACAGAGCACAACCTAACCCCTCGGGACTTCCAGAGCGGGATTGTTCCCGACTAACTCTCAGTTGCCCCCTTCGGGACCCAACAATAAAAGGTGACCACCTTTTTGGGACCTCTGAACATTGTCAAAACTTTGGGTCCCTCAGCCGTAGAAGCCCCTCAATTGCAAAGGCCTTCCAAAGCGCACTTACTCAAGCTTTCAATGTCTCTGCGGCGTGTCGTAAGCCTCCATTTGACACTTGAGAAAAGTATATACTATACCTTGGAAAGTGGTTTGTGGCGGGGTGAACTGTGAGGGGTAGCTAGTGTCCAACGGTGTCCAAACCATTCTAGAATAGTGAAGATCCCAAACTGCTTAAGTTTACCGTAGGCTGGGCGTAAAGCATCTAAAAGGTGAAATCTCTTCAGCCAATTCAAACACGCGCCCTGACTCGCTCTGAGTGGCCATGGGCAAGAACGTAAGCCAAGTATCCCCTCCCAACAAATCGACACCAAACATTCCAACAAGTTGACACCATCCCAACAGCTCAAGGATTCGTCTAGCCTGGAAATCAATGCATGACCTGTGGGGACTTTTATGAAAACTGGACCAAAATGGGAAACCTGATTTTGACCCCATATGCATGCAGCAACCTCTGTTGATTAATATGGGGGCGTGACTGGGTGCATCATTACTTTTGGAGGGGAACCCCCCCCCATTTTAACAGACTGGGGTTGATTCATATGGGGTCAGCATTAGGTTAAAAGGTCGATTCGCCTTGCAACAAGTGAGTAGAAAGGCGCTTCACATCCCAAAGTCGAGATCTCTTGGCAGGAACGCAAATCCCGCACTCCGTTTCGGTGGAATTCAGAGGGCACCTGAAATATTTGCCAGTGTTCCGTAAAACGTTGGCCAGGTACACGACGTTTTCTGATGATTGTTCATGCTTTGTACTACTCTGAAATATTTACACAGATACCGAAATACACGTGCTGCTCTCATCTTGGCAGAGCGGATTGGTCAAAACATGACAAATTAGATTTAATGCCGGAAAGTCAAAAGTTAGCGAGGAAGTGAGTTGTAAAAGCACGCAACTGAACCGGGTGTCCAGGTAGCCAATCTTTGAGACATGCCTATCCCCTTGTGGCTTCCGTTTACAAACAGCGAACAACACATTGATGTTATTGACCGCACAAATATCAATTCCATCCACCTCACCAAAAAGAAGCCAAAGCTTAACGTGTCTCCAAACGATTAGTCAAAAGGGAACCAATTATAGGCCCCACTGTTGCAAGAAGGCTTTGCCTACCATGATCTCCCTGAGGAAGATTCGTATAAGCAACCTCAGCTTTTGCCCAACGAGGAGAAGCAACAACACATGGTTTGGATTCTGATCCGTATTCAGAAAACCTTAAAATGCGGAACCACAATGTGGGTGTGTCTTCTTTTGAGGACCGCAAAAAAAACGAATGTCGCTTGTCCTTGGGTTCCACTTTAAAACCAAACACATACCCGCGTTTATTAAAAATGAAGAAGTAACGTTCAACACAGATCCCCGAAACAAACAAAAAACTAATGCGGGGGCCTGCGAATGGGGCAAAGGGGAACCCAAAAAAATCACCCAACCTGCGGGGTGGTACGTCCCAGATCACATTTGCCCCCTTTTTCGGACCCAAAGATATATCCGGCGATCACCTTTTGGGACCTTTACTAAAAACGGAAACCAAACAGGGAGAACCAAATCGGGTCGCTTCGCGCTTTGGGGACTTCAGAGAAATTCTTCCTGCTGGTGCCCAGCAAGGAAGGAGTTGGAATGACCCATATAATCCATCAAACTGGTGGTTTCCTTTACAAAATCCCCAGGTGTTCATTTCCACATTCCCTGACTCGATCCGTGCCGCAGCGCGCCTCAGCGGCCAAGGCTTGCTTCAGCTCCTCCGCGGAGACTGTGCCCTGGGTGAAGGCCTGCTTCAGCTCCTGCGTCCCAAATGGCCAAATCCCGGCAGCTTGTGGCGCCCTTGGAAGCGATTTTGGTTTGGGAAGGTTGCATGCTTTAAAGGGAGACCAAACGGAAAACCGCAACCGATTCAGGGCCCGTCTTGAGACAAACCCACTTGGGCTGGATGAACACTGGGACAGGGCACCTAACAACTGCAGGTATCCTTGAAGGAAACAGCTTGAACCAATTGGCAGTTTCGGGCCTTCGTAGATGCAGTTCTAAAGATTCAGTGCAAATTGCAACGGTCCAGATCTATGTCCCTTTCCCAGTCAGTTACAACCAGTGACAAGGGAACGTGCAGTGAAGCCTCCCACCAAACAGAAAGGAAATATGATGAATTCTGCTGGGAGGTGTCCTTCAATTGAACGTTGCGCACACAAATATGGATCCAAACTAAACCAGGACATGGCAAGGGAGTTTCGCAAAAACGAAACCATTTGAAGTATCTAAGCGGCAATCAAACATGCCGCCTCCATTAAAAAAAAAAAGGTCGTCGCTATATGACCTGGTAGATGGATTACCACAACAAAAAAATACAGAACCCCTTAAAGGTTGCGCTTCACATGCTGGTCATCGCATTTGTTGTCGCCTGTCAACCACCGTCACATAGTCCATCCTTGAACTGTATTCGCTTACTGCATATACCTCTCAAGTTTGCCACGTGCAGTGAAGCGACCCACACCCATAGCTCCTATAGGAAACTATGCATTGGAGTGCATTAGGTATCATTAGGTCGCCGCGCCCTTTATTTGGTGGACCTCCGAAGCAAGACACTCGCAACATCGGCCCATATTATTTTTCATTTCCTGGTTTGCGGTTAGCTGTGCTTTGGCCGACTTCCCAGGCAGAACACACATGATTTGAGTTCATTGCCTTAAGGTCTTGGCAAATCAAGCAGGTGTCGCCAGCAGCCCCCGGAAGCCTTCCGGAACCCTGGTCCGGAGCTGGTACGAATCCCTCCAGGTCCTATCCGGGCCGATCGATCCCAAAGCTTCCAGCTGAACCAAAAACCGTCCTCAAAGCTCTGATACTCGATGCCGGCAACCTTAAAGGTGTAGCCAGCGCGGGAGAACAACGTGTACCTGGACAAGCGCGCCAGCCTTGACTTACCAATTCGTGAATTTCTTGTGAAACAGCTGAGGCCTCTTGCAGGTGTCCCTGTTTTTGATACGAAGGCTTGCTGGAGGCTCTTGAACCCTTCCAGGGCAAATCAACGGGCACCATAGTAGAAACACAAGCAATGAAGGGAGGCCTCAGGGTTGTGAGCCACCCTTTGAACCCCGAAATGGCACGGAACACTTAACCACGATCGAAGGGCAAGCCCCGACCCCGAACAGGCCAACCCCGAAAGGGCCTGCACAATCAACGAAATGAAACCCAGACCATCGAGGCTATGAGGCCAACAGCTCTCTTCAAGGAATAAGGCACTGACTGATACTCGTCGACAATCAGTAGGCGCAGGGATTCGTCGGGAACGAGTCGAGAAGTTCCCGAGGATTCAGTAGGAATTCGTTGGGAGTTCGTCCGGAATCTAGGGCTCTGGGCCCAGATTCCTTGCGAATGATGAGGAAGGAGGTGAGAAGCAAGGACAGTTTGCCCGAGTAGTCCGAGGGGGTAGGCTCAAGTTCCACCACAGCTTCGCGGGTCATTTGCCAAGTTCCCATTCGGATTTGCTTTTCGTAACTGAATGCTTTCGTGCTTCTGCCTGCTTCCTTTCGTGGGGCAGCGTCACGGGGAAGGTTGCCGGGAATTACTCAGGAATTCAAGGGAAGTAAACGGGAATTAGTCGGCATTAGTCGGGAATTAAGTGGGCATTTGTCGCGAAGTTAGTACTGCGACCTCTTGTCGTTGCCCTTGCCTCCACTGCAAAATCACCCTGCAGGGTCGTCGGTCTTGCCGGTGTCGACCAGCTGGGAACACTGGTACGCCAAAGCCCACGGAGTCTTCCAGGACTCCAACCCGGAAACCTGTGATCTGAAGGCGAGTGGTCTGGGTTTCGTGGAATGGACTTCGCCCATCAGTAGGGTCTTCGGACCCTCAGGCAAAAAGCCACGTAAGTCAGAGCAACCCTGCCAAACCGTGTCTCACACACATGGAAAGAAAGTTGGTAAACTTCTCAGCACCCTTACACACGGATCACCATGGTTGGCATGTGCGCCTCGAAATGAGTCATAATCGAACGGTGGCTGCACCCAAATTTATGGTTGGGACTATGCCTTACTAACCCTTCACCTACCCGGGTGCTGAGTGTGGCTGAAATGGGGACCTAATTCTGGGCACCGTCTCTGTCTTTCCTTTGGAGCCCATTAAAGGCATCCAGAGTAAAACCACCAGGCCGAAGCAAAGGCTTTGGGCTGTTCGACTCTTGTATCTCAGTCGCCCCGTTTTTCAGGACCCAGAAAGATCTCCGGTGATTGATCACCTTTTTGGGACCTTTACCCACAATGGAAGCAAACACGGGAACACCAGGTGAAAAATAATATCGAGTCGCTTTAAGCCACCGAGGTGTGCGCAAAGCGGTTCCACATCCGAATTTCCGGGCTTCGTCGGGTGGAATGTGCGCACTGGATGTAGTCCAGGCATGGGTTCTTCAAGTCGTCCTGGCCGGACGGCAAAAGGGGTCAGAAACCTCGGAACCGGGAACCTTTGGTGGATTGAGGAGGGAACATCACATTTTTGGGTTTGTCTTAGGGTCTCGGTAAAATGGGTTCTGGACTCCCAAATTGGCGAGCAGCGGTTTTCCTGTTGGTTTCCCCTTAAAATCCAGCACACACTTTGTTTGCGGTTGATCCATCTGCAGAAAGTTAACTTTTTGTGAATGCAGTTCGGAGAATCCAAACTGTTTCAACCAAAAGGTTAAGGTCCAAACATCCAGCCAAATAGCCATGAAGTTAGCAAACCCCAAAAAGTGGGAATCATACAATTGAGACTGTGAAACCCAAACGCCGAACAGTGGTTGGACAACTTTGTGGTTCCGGTACCTTTTGAGCACCAAACGGGCGATCCCGTTTTCTGCACGCACACACACACACAGCACTTTAAGTGGCAGACTAAAGGGAAACAGCCCCAATGTCTGATTTTGAAATTCCATAGAAACCGCCAAGATAATGGACTCATTCAAAGGGATCCTTTCCGAAACTAAGGATCGAAGATCATGTTGCTTGGTGGGAGGGTAGGGTATTGCTTTCCATTTGAACGCACAAGCTTCTTCTTGCGTTGCTTGTGTCCAACACTATAAAGCAGTACATACCCCTCGCATGAGTGGTTGAGCTCTTCGCCTCCAATAATGCATACAAATCCCCGGATATTTGCTCAGACCTGAAGATTTCCAGAGAGATCCGCGCCCTTTTTGGTTGAATTGGGGCGGTGCCCAACAAACAACTGGGACACTTATTCGCACTACCCAAAAGTTGCAGAGGCTGTGGGTCAATAGGCACGTAACATTTGGAACCCTGGTAAATGGAAAGGACCAACACCAAAAAGATCTCCTGGTGGTTGAACTTTGACCCATATCCAGATGAGATGTAACCACCCGAGGCCGAGAGCCGACAAGTGTTCTTTCTCAAATGTATCATGATGTGTCGCCGGCGCTCCAAAGTTATTATTCTCAAGGCAACCGAAAGGAATCCGAAGCACACTTTGCGGTTTGGCCCATAACCATTAAACAAAACCCAAATAGAGAATCGGACCTCATGTGCGCGCGTTTCTTTTACGCAAGGGACAAGGCTGGAATCCCGGAAGCGATGCTAATTTGAGGGCCTAAACACATTACAATAGGGGCTTGGGTTGCTTTTAAGCCGAATTTAGAAATGGTAGAAGCAAGCTATTGATTCTCTAGGCCCTTTTCTTAGCCTCCACTGTAAAAGCTCAAGCAACAGGAACGAGGCCAAGCGCCGCTGGCACCCATCGACAAGTTGGGTCAGAGGTTCTGCAGCTTTCAGCTAGGGACAAAACATTTCAGCAAAACCATTCATCAAACCACCGGTCTCAATATTTCGCCATTCTCCAAATCACCCAAAAGATAGGTTGAGGTTAATCTGCACTACCCCCAGTTGCTAACCTTGATACACCCCAAAAAAGTTCATCTGAAATGTGGCTTTTCAGACGTCACATGTATCATCTATGTCAAACGAATGGCAGGGGCGAACATCGCCAAACCAATCTCCGCCCTTCAGCCTGCCTCCACCAGAGCCATGCCCTCGGACCTAGCGTCCCAGCTCCGAAAGTTCCTAGGACAATTACAAGCTGGGGATACCTTTTTGTTTTGCTTAAAGAAAGGCAGCCTTTATCCAAACGATTTCCTGTTACACCCTGGGATTACGCCCTTCGGGGAAGCTCACTCTAGCCTGTTTCCAACAAACTAGTTCTGTGTGTGCTTCCCTGCTTTGCTTGCGCTTTGATTTGTTTTATTTCCATTCAGGTTGAACACGTAGACAGCTATGCGTTTGGAATCCCAAAGGGGGGGTAGGTACAAGGGGGGTGGGTAGTTGAGAGCCCTAGGGTTCCTTAGGGTTCCTTGGTGCTCCTCACGATTCGCTAGAGTTCCTTTTGGTTCTTGAGGGAGCGTTGGGGACCCCCCCCCCCCCCGCCTCTTGAACCACCCCCTTAAAGATTTTGCAATATGCTGAAAGGAACACCCGCCACCAGCCTCGGAACCGCCTGCAACCCTTCGGAACCCCCTGCTTTGGTTGCAACTGACTCGGCAACCAGGTGGGCAGTCCCCCCCCCACAACCAATTCCAAGCCCCGCACACGGAGATGTCCTCCGGCACACTGGGACCTCGAAACGGAAGCAGTTGCCCCAAGCGAAACGAAAAAAACACAGCTTTGGGTTTTCTCATGGCTTCTTTGGTGTATATTTTAGTAGAAGGTTCAACAGCTTCCCATTTTGTTGCGGTTTCTTGGTCATGTTTGGTATTGGTTGAGCTTTCTTCGGAACCCTTCCCCAAAACAAGTTGGAGAAAGGACGCTTTTTTTTCAACCCTTGGTATGGTGGCAAAGAACTTTGCTTTTTTGCAGCCCTCCCTACAACAAATGAAGAGAGCAAATCGGTTTGCTAATGATAACAGCGAAGGCTTGGCAGGTTTGGGAACGCCGATGCTCTCGTTTGGCCATGCAACTGCTCGCTCACTCAAGGGACTGGCGCACACTTGGGACATCCGTACGCTGGATTCCTTTTAGCGCCCCAAACCTGGGCAATTCTAGGCTAAACCCCCGCAGGGTAAAGGCGGCACCTTCTGTGAAGTTACTTTTGCAACAAAAACAACAACACCACAAATGTGCCGTGAAATTCTGAGAACCCCGGGGTGCAAGCGACCAGGGGGGGTTCTGCGAAGCCTGCGAAGGTTCTGCGAAGTTCTGCGGACTGACATTTTACACTCTCCTTATCTTTGCCCTCGTTCATTGTCCCGTGCCCACCGTAATTCTATAGCTCGCCTCGCTCCAAGGGTCCAAACATATTTCCCAGAAACTATATGCATCAGTATACACATAGGAAAAGGGGAAAGGCGCAGCAATTCCTTTCGCAATTCAAAAAATATGTCAGGACCCTTGCCTGAACGACAAACCCAAGCTGCCTCGTCTTGGGCACCGCTTTCGGCTGTTCAATCCCTGAAAAAAGACTTGATGTCCAAACCGAGTCCGCGCGCAGTACGCGTTCTGGATCTTCCGCTCAACGTCCTGCACGGGGCCCCTGTGAACCCAAAATGACTCAACCCGAATGAAGCAGCCATTCGAAGGGTTCGGGGCGTGCGGGTACACTTGTTGTGGCTGGTTTACTGGGAAATCAACCATTTTTGGGTCCCTGATTTTGACACGCGCCCAGTTGGGTGTGCACTTCAATTAGGGACCCTGGGTTGATATCAATGATTTCGTAGGAGTTGAGAAATGCACTATATATTCATATATGCGAATGGCGTCTTTTTAGGAACCCGCCAAAAATGGTGGTTGTCCTCTCGGTTTCCCTTTAAAACCATCCAACACAGGGCACCCTCGAAAAGACAAAACATGTATCAGCATATATACATAGGGCGGCGAATAGCACGACCATCGCGTCAGCATTGCCTCCTTAAATCGGACTCCCCTGACAGCGGGGTGGTTTATCTCGGGCATCCGTACAAAGCAGACCCAAAAAGCGTTCCAAGTCAAACAAAACACAGGCACATTGAATTGTATGGCCAAAATAATGTATTCGGGAACCAGCTCTAAAATGGTGGCCACCCCCAAGCAGCAGGGTGTCATCAACCTAGCGCTTCTGGAACGTGGCAGCATTGCAGAAGGACACTCCCACAGGTCACATAGGTGGTGGATCGTTCTCGAAACACACTCCCATCCACAAAAGAAATACACACGGGTACACCATTGTCATTTGCAACCTCTTCAAGGCTTTGTGTAGGCCCAAAAGGCTGCTGAAGACTAGGTTCCACCCCCATCCGCAGTCTGCAACCGAATCGGCGGGCCAAGGTGAGCGAAGCTGGGGCTCTTTGGTTCGGCCGTTTCGGCGCCTACCGAAAGGCGAGGCATTCACAACGCAGCGGTACCAACGCAGCGTGTGTCCAAAGTTAGAGACCTCCTTTTGTCATGTCCAAACAATCCATGTAGGCACATGTGCGAACATTTGGGTATGGGTCAAAATTAAACCACCAAAAAACCGCAGGTTTTAGTCTAAGTTTCCATTTACCAGGGTTCTATTTGGGTACCTATTTTGACCCATACCCATTTGACCCATGTTGAGGGTAAATGTAGGTTTTTACAACCTACATGGATTGTCTGGGATTGGACCCTAGTACCCTCTTTGGTTGATCTTTGCTGGATGCCACTAATGCTACTCCTTGGATTTGGGCAGTGACACTCAGCAAAGGCATTCCAACTCTTAACCTCAAAAAATCCCGCCACCGGAAACTACGGGAATCCAAACATGTATTGAACAAGTAGATCCACCTAAAGGCACCAAACCACAGGTCAAGAAGTCCCAAGACCGCAGCAACTAAAGCTGGCTTGATTCCTAACGCACTTTTATACCAGCCTTGTTGTATCTGGTAAGGGACGATGGAATGGAACGTCCCCCCAAATAACAGTTCCCAGCATCGGTTTGGTCAACAAACAGAGTGAAACACAGTGGCTTTTGTTTTGATCATTTTCCATCACACCCCACCAACACCCGCTCTCGGAAAAAGGGGGTGTGGAGGTACTCTAACACCATATTGAGTCATGATTAAAAGGTAAACATATGTAAACATGTCTCTAATACTCTAGCCCATTTTATTACACACGCAAGAAACAGTTATGTAAACACGCGTCAACACATTGTCCATTATCTTGACGGGCTTATCCTCAGACTCGGTTTATCTCGCCAACCAACGCACGTCAGACTGCCAAAGCACAGTTTTACCAGGGTGAAAGTTGATGGCACTCCCTTCACGGGAAGTAAAGGGGATGACTCAATTGGGGTCGATCAATCTTCCTGGCACCTTAATTGACCTTGGGTAACTTTTCCCATGTGGTTGAAATATAATCTGGGCGTCGATTCCCCCCAATGGTCATCCCATGTATTTGCAGGCCGTTTGCTTTTGATCAACCGGGGCCCCTTTAACCGGAGGTAACTGTACATACCTTTCTCACCCAGTCGTCCCGTCCTCCGCCTTATCCTCCATAAAGATGGCGCTGTCCGGATCGCTCTTCGACATCTTCGCCTGGCCCTTTTTCAGGCCGTAGAGCATGTGATGGGACAAGACGATGGGCTTCAGCTTGCGCCCTGCAGAGTGAGGTGCCGGGAAATACTTGGATTTACGATTCGCCAAGTGGCTGCGGGGATCGCCACTTGGGGGCAAAACCACTTTCACGGGGGACTTTTTCTTGGGTACTCGAAAGGTTACCATTACAACGCTACTAACTTGGCGAATCGAAGACCCAAGTACCTTTGTCTCCTCAAAATGTTCAGACCTGCCATCCTTCTCCATCACCCTTCAAAATCCAATGGGCCGTTTGCTTCACCCTCTAAGCACTACCGGCCAATCCCTTCTGGTTTCGAACATTGGATTAAGTCTAGAAATCATCTCTTCAATCAGCTTCTGGCCTCTCACATGCCTTGAGCCCCTGCCACACCCCCCAGGGGGGCCCCAAGCGGCCGACTTTGGAGCCATCGCAAAAAATGGAATCGGCTGAAGGCCTTAAGATATCTGGTTGACTCATCTTCTGCCCCAGACAAGCAGTCCGTTTGGTTGAGCTGAAGCAACTAGCTCCCCCCATGCAGTGCGCCGTTGACTTTTGGTTCTACTAACATGGTGCTCAAAGCCTGCAAAGGCTTTACCATAGCCCCGATTAACCGTAGAACCAATGGGCGCAGCCAGCTCATGCGTGTGTGCGCGCGTGCTTGACGAGGTACAGTCCACACAAACTACAGCGCAGCAAAGGGACATCCAACCCATGCATTGTACAAAGTACTGTACATGTATCTGACTGTTTGGGTAGAAAATAACCAATATTTTCGGTTCTCGCCACCCACATGCAGCAGGTTGGTGCTGCGTTAAAATAATGTCCATCGATCTACAAATACCACAAGTGATCTGAACCCTCTAAATAGTTGCTTGCGGGCGAGCAGGTCGCCCGTTACAGTGGGAATTGTCTGGCGACAGCCGCCGTTCTAGCAGGCGACTCATACGGCGCCGCCGAATCAAAATCAAGCAGGCGCTCCGCTGTCCTGGGTCAAGATGCATGATCGGGGCTGAATAATTAATCACCAACATGTTGTTTGGATTTGAAACAAGCAATGACAAACAACAGTATAAAAATCGTCTGTCATCCCATTGGAGAATGATAGACAGCAAGCAGGTTCGACCATGCTACACTGCTTTGAATAACACAATCAACGTGGAACCCCTTTTGGGGCAACCAACAGGAGACTCCTCCAACCATGCTCTTGTTGTTCCATGTCTGCAAACGCCACCCTGGAAAGCGGCCTGCGGCATCGCAGTAGTCCCGTGCCAGCATGTTCACCTCTGGAAAGCTCCGCTTTCCGGCGCTTTGCTTTGGTCAGGTGGTGGCAAGGGTGCCTGTAGCAACCCCTCCCCCTAGCCAACCCGTTACCTAGTGCTTCCAGTTCCCACAGTCGCCAACCTGAAGCCACCGCGTACAACCTAGACACTTGCCTGGAAGCTATATGGCAAGTGGAAGCATCGAACATGGCCCTTCAGCTTGGCATCAGAACACCGAACAAGCATACACTAGGCTGTTCACAGTGGATGCTTGGCCAATCCTTTTCCATCCGTATCGTGGGAACCCGCTAAATATTGCCTGTAATCCAAAGGATCCTGTGGATTGCCTTGTAACCGCCCAGAACTCCAAGTACCCCTGGCAAAACAAAAGAACTCTTCTTTGGTCATCTTGGGATTGAACTGTTTAAGTAGGGAAGCGGTTTGAAAGAAGGATTTGGGTGGAATGCAGGAACAACTGCGAGTGTCAACCCGCACGAAAGCAGCAAAGAACCTACATGGGTCTGTCCCCAAATGTAGGATACCCGAAAATGGGCAAGTCAACCAACACAACATACACAAGTAGAGAAGTGCTTTCAACCGGCAATAGAAGTGGTTCAAAACTGGCTATTTGGCTCTTCAAAGCTAAACTAGCTCATGATCATGGGGACTACATGCCAAGAATAATTAAGTCCCATACCAGGGGTTCAAGTGGGACGCCTAACAGGGTCTGAGGCATCACCACTCAAAACATACTGCCGCAGAACATAGACTGACTCACCCTTTCATTTGCTTAAGCCCACCAGGAAAAACTTGTTTGCCAGTAGTGATTGTTTCCCTGTAACACCAACAAAGGAAAATTACTCTTAAGCAAATGGAAGAGAGCTCAGGCTCATCACGTCCATGGGTGACAAAAGAGGGGGGAACGAAGACGAAACAAATCATAAGGGAACCCATGTGGCTTGCCTGTAAATACGGGGGAAGCCCCGAATGGGTGGCTTCCACTCAAAAGCAACCAAACAAAAAGTCCCCTGGGAGACAAACAAAACAACACTGAGATACCAAGGGGTAACCTGCACAAAAGCTCACCCTTTTCACCAGAAAAAAAAAAGAAAAAGAAAAAACACAAAAACAAAACAACAACCCATACAAGGGGTACCCTCAAACACCAGGACATCTCACCCATCTTCGCCGCCCTCAATTAGCCGCCCTCTGCCTTCCGTTGGTCCACGCCCAGTTGGCAAATGTCGGCCTGTGCGCTGCGCTGACTGATGCCGTCTCCCCCGCAAAAACAACAACAAAACACAACGATTTGGGCATGGCAAAATCGAGGACCTCTTGTCCTCCCCACCAAAAACAAATCAAAAAAGGCAGGTTTATGGTGGTTTGTTTTGCTTTTGGTGTCTCAAACCAAGCCCGAAAAAGGTAGCCCCCAAAAAATACACCCGAGAATCGCAATCACTCCCCAAAGGGTCCCTTGGTACTCTCATGGTAGAAGGCATCTGGACCCTTTTTCAATGCACGTGGCTGGGGATGCCAGTCGTTGAGTTGCGCGAGTCGATGCGGGATTCCTTGCCCTTCTCCAAATAGAGCAACACCAACCGAATGCAACCACAAACCCGTAAGGTGCCATCAACAGGATTTCCCTGTGCCCCTTGCAATGGGCAGGCACCACTAGCGCATCGCCATGAAAAACTTTTTTTTCCCTGGGAACTCAGTCGTAGCAGCACTATGACGGCCTTCGATCCCTGTGAAAGACTCGGTACTTGGATGATGAGTACACGGACTCAGACGAGTTCAGTGGCAGGTCAACCAGAACTGCAGTCCAACCGATAATCCGGATGTTCATCAGGTGGAGCAGCCAAGTAGAAACCAGAACATCTACATTCGGTGCCTCACAACATATGCTGGTTTGTCGCCTTCCCTCCAGCTGCTTAAGAACCTGGAGGAAACATAGTCCCAATAGTGATAGATTCCCTTTCAAACCAACAGGGCAAAATACACCATATTCTCAAGCAAATGAAAGCTTCCAGTGCTTCTCTCCATTCCCTGAGCTTGGGAGAAAGGTTTGCTCCATCATCCCCACCAGACCCTTGCAGCAAAGGAACCCCAGCCTCACACAAAAGCCACCCTAAAACCAACTCGCAAACCATCCCTGAACCAACCCTAAGCGGGACCAAACTTTGAAGTCACTCTAAGCCCAACCTAAACCGAACACTTCCTCCGCGGTCGCGTTTCATGTCCACGTAGGATTAGTAAATGCACGCGGAATAAAGACAAACGGGTGGCCCAAAAGTATTAATAAATGCACCTGCGCCCGCCACCGGGCACCTGCCACCCGCGCCAAAAAAAATCCCCCCCCCCCCCCGGAAAAAAAAAAAAAGAAAAAGAGAAAAACAAAAAGAAGAACCAAAAAAAAGCAAACACAGAGGAACGAGAGGAGAGATAGCCACACCTGGTCCTTGGATCTTTGGTACCTTGTTCCTTAAATCCAAAATTGTCAGCTTTACCAAACCCACGTTTTCTTACACGTCTCTTGTTGAAAACCTGCCCACACTCAAACCCACAAAGGGGAAGTACTTCAGCCCCCAACTTGACATTCAGGGGCCCCCGAAATAAAGTCTTGTTGGCTGGCCCACCCAAGAAAAACAAAAGGAAGCTCCAGCCATACTAAATCAAATAGGAACTCAAGTCTACCAATACTAAATCAAATGGAAACTCAATTCCAAATTTCAATAGGAAGCTCCAGCAATACTAATCAAATGGAAACTCAAGTTTACCAATACTAATCAAATGGAAACTCAGTTCCAAATCTCAAAAGCAAGCTCCAGCAATACTAAATCAGACGGAAACTCAGTTCCAAATTTCAAAAGGAAGCTCCAGCAATACTAAATCAAATGGAAACTCAAGTCTACCAATACTAAATCAGATGGAAACTCACTTGAACTGGATCTCAAGACAGTATTCCAGATGCCCCCATCGTTTGGGGGGGGGACCCCCGTTTACTAATCCCAGGTGGACATTACGGCAAACCGGCCAGCGCGAGCCTTGAGAAAGAAGATATCCGTGCACTGCATCAGCGGATACAAGATCTGCGCCTGGGTTACCCCTTCCAAACGCCAACGTGCCAACGTGGGGGGGGGGGGCAGGGTGATCACAAGGTCCGAAATACAACCATCAGGGAAACCTGACATTGCCCACATGGGAAAAGTTACACATGGTCATTTTGGTTCCATGCATATTGATCAATCCTCATGTATGTCAAAAGACGCCTGACACATGTGGAGAGATGCTCTTTAACTTGCTGCGAAAACTGCTTGATCAGAGAGCCTTGCACAGGAAAAACACCACATGTAAAATGCTGAATCCCGAAGAGGCAATAGGGTGAGAAGGTCAACAAAGCAAGGAAACATAGTAAGGAAACCAGTGACAGTAACGCAAAAGGAGCCCCACAAGTGGGTGCTTTCGAGCGCCATCCGTGAAAGATTGCCATGGCATCATGTCGTTTGAATTTCAAGATGCCCACAAAGCACAAAGCTACTGGACATGCAAACGGCGGGGAAGTAGAAAAAAGCCACAAGTTCTACCCCGAGATGCAAGAAAAGGTGTCTCAAGGTTCCATGTTGAGAGCAAATCCCAGGGACTTACACCCAGAACCCAGCGCTGGGTTGGGCCCGGTTTCAGTTCCTGATGCCCCGCTGTGCGTTGTCAGATCCCTTGCTAAAAGTCCAATTTATAGTGGGTACCATGGAAATCCAGCCACTAAAGCAATTAAAACTACTGACCTAAAAAACTACTAATTAAAACTACAGGCATGGCTGGGAACCGCCAAGGATGGCTGATGGAAACGTGAGCAGGCGCCACTCAGCTTTTTTAACGGGCACAACAATTCTGGACCGGTTGGTCAACAGTTTCTCCCAATATGTGTAGGATGTCCATGCCGGGTGTAGGATTTGTGCATCCACAGTATCAATTAGATAAGTAGCAAACTGAAAATGAGGAATCCTCAAGTACAGAGCCTTCATCACGCGTGAGCTCGTTAAATAACCTGATGACACCTGCCTTCCCGTGCATTGTTTTACTCGGCTTATTGCTCCTTAAATGGCAGCCAATAGGATTGCGCCCATTTAGAAGGGCCACGTTGACGTCACGCACACACCAACACAAACACACGCACAAACACAAATACATACGGGCTTGAATGGATCGCTGTTCAACTGTCAAAGCAACCCAGACATGTTGTGCTTGAACTCCCACTGGGCGCAGAGTTAGGTTCATGCTGCGGCCAGTTCAACTCAGCCCCACCTTGGCCCCCACGTCGTTCGCTTGCTTTCCAACGTCCGCCAATTGAGCAGTGTTGCCACATTTTTGTGGGTTGTGCGCCTCAACCCCCTCACTGTTCAAGCAGATACTTGCTTAGCGACTATTGTTTGTACAGCCTCTTTTTCCCTACAAAAGGTTGCCATTCAAACCACCTCCTTCGGATGTTCCTGGCCCCAAAATGCTGGCGTTCCTTTCGGTTTCCGTTCAAAACCTACCCTCCGAAAAACAAAGAACCAGGTGGACACACCTGGGGTTCTCGTTTCATCCGATGGGCCCCCCTGCGGCCGTCAGAGAGCCCTCGTCTCGGCCCATGATCTGGCAGCATTTCTTCACCTCAGCTCGCGGTTCGTTGATACCTTGCCTCATCTCCGGTCGAGTGGATTTGAGGCAACAAAAGTAAGTACCCTTTTTGTGCAAGCCACTAAAATGGTCCCACCCCAAACAGTGACCAAAGTCAGACACTTAACTCAGGGAGTGAGTTTCAGTGGGATATGGGCGTATCTCAAAATAGGGAACCTCCCAGATGGCTTGTGGTTTTATTCCCTTTGAACACAAGCCCTCGAGTACCCTTAAACAAGCCGAAAACCACCTGCAAGGTCTAGTCAATAAGCCAACCGCAAGGTCTCGCCATGGGGCCTACCCATTTTTTTTCAGGTATGTGTGTGGTGTCTTTTGTGGAGGACCTGGCTGCGTATGGGAAATGGTTGGTGGAAGACTTCTCCAGCCCTACAGGTACCGATTTATCTAAGGAGGTACTGGATCCGGGTGCGTCTCGTCTTTGTTTGAGGCTCTGTACCCTTTCAGTTCTGCTTTGGAAACCAAAAGCACACCATACTGTGGATGGACGAAAACCATTTCCCACCTAAAACCACCTGGTTTCCAATGATTCCCTGTAAATACCAACAAACGTTCTGGTTTCAACCATGGTTTCATTTCGTGGTGCGAAATGAATTTCATAATCCAAAGTATGGGCTCTTGTCAAACTGAACGCCTCCCGGGCGAGCTTCGGCTTCCCTGTCCAAACAAAGGAATTCGGGTTGATCAATATTCCGTTCAGCCCCCAAATGACCATGGGCAACTTGTCCCATGTGTGGACATATCTTTTCAAGTGGTCTTCCTCAATGGCAATCCCATGTGAAGGACCTTCTGATCAAGCCCTTCTGGGTGGGTAGGTGTTTTCTCAAGGCTCTTGGCTCGAATGGAAATCGAAAGGAAGTGGGTGGTTGTGGGTGTGGGTGTGGGTGTGGGTGTGGGTGTGGGGGTTGGTGTGGGGGTGGATGGGGGCAAGGGGGGGGAGGGGGCGGTGTGTGTGTGTGTGCCTTCGAGCGTGCGCGCACGCATGTGCGCGTCTAAGTGCGTGTGTGTAGGGTACTCTTTTCAGGTTGGCTTGATTAAGGGAAACCAAAGGGAAAACCACCCTCTTTTTCTTCATTTTGACACATACCTAAAAGAGGGCACTTGAGAAAAGTGCAGTAATTTTGTTTTCTGAATCCTGAAAGGTAGAGTCTCCTTCCGAACCTGAGTGGAAGTCTTTAAAAGCACCCAGAACAATAGTGATAATAAACATAGACACAGAAAGGCATAAACATATACGAGAACAAACAAAATACAAACTAAACTAAACATGAAATAAACACTAATTCTAAGAATATTATATGATTGATAACACGAATAATGCTACGAAACAGCCCTGCGAGCAATATTCTGAAAGCAATCGGCCCAACAAAAATACGTTACCCGGCAGTCTCTTTCAACCAGCCGATCTCTGAGGACCGGTAGCATAGGAAACCACTCCACCACTGCAATCCCTTTCCCGTTTAGGAGAACACTAAGGGCGTGTCTTCAAAAGCTGATTGAGACCCATAGCAAGTCCCATTGCAACCTAACAGCACGAAAACATCGCCTATGCTTGGAAGGATAACCTGAACAGCCTGGCCTGCTCGCTTCAACCAGCCCTTGCTCTCAACCACGCATCATCGTGGTTATACCTTAACTAAACATCCACTGAGCAGGTAGAGCATTCCAAAACAAGCTCTTTACTCCCCGCTCTTGCTTCTCGCTGCATTGTGGCTCTACCCTGCTAGTACTGTTCGGAGTCCCTACAAAATGGTATACTCCCCTATGAGTTCATCAATCCTGGAATCCCGTATCATCAGGGCTTAGATGGCACCACTCCGCAGGATCCGGAGGTGGCAGCGCGCATCGCAGCCAAGCTTCATCTTGACCAACGAGTCGGGCTACTGCAGCCTGCCGTGACTTCCCGAGTCAACTTCAGGCATTCCTTGGAAGTAAGGGTGAAGGAAATGACTAAACTAATGGAGTTCCGCGGATCCCAACATCCGGCATCCGGCCAGATCTCGGCCCGACAAAAGCCCGACCTTTTGGCGCCCGCGCCCGCGCCAGGGTGGTGCGGCAGGCAATGTCCAGCGCCTGGTGTATCAAATGGACTCCCGGGGTGCACCAAAAAAGGGTAAGCTCGAAAAAAGACACACCTGAATGGTGGCTTTCCGCTTGGCTTCCCCAGAAAGGGCACTACCCTCAACAATCTCGCGCCCAAATAGATGCTGGCAATTTTAAACAGCAAAACGAGGGGTGAAAAAAAGGGCGGGCGTTCAGGAAACGAATCCCTCCCCAAAGACAAAAACATGATGCTGAGCCACAAATGTTGGGTGTCATCGTCCCAAAACCAACAGAAAGAAGACAAGTGGGGCGCCGGCAATTGAGCCGTCTCATCTGTGTTCAGACACAAATCCCTTGATTGTTCTCAATTGAGAATTGCAGAACAAGTGCAACTTCTTTTTGGCACCCATGGCAACTTAGACTAAAGGAGCCCAACATAAAGACGCAATCTTGGCCACAAGCGATACGCAGAACCTAACATGTACAACTTACGATTCAAACTTAGCCAACCCTAAAACATAAAGCCACTGAGAAAAGTGACCCAGCCAAGGTAACCAAGCTCACGCTTTGGCTGCATGTGGCTATGACGCAGGTGGGCTTGGTTAGATTTGACAAACAGGCTGCGACCTAAGCAAGATCCTGGATGGTTGCCTTCTAGTTTCCTGTTGAAATCCCACATGTGCCTGAGGTTCACCACATATCCAACTGCGTCCTGCAAAAAGCAAACGAAACAAACCAAAACTATCAGAGTTTGACAGCGACTTTGACAAAGTAGAGGGACAAACACGCAAACCACAACAACACCACAAGAGAAACAAAAAACAACACGAAGATATGGTTTCAAAAGGAAAATAGAAGGAACACCACGTCCGACCCGATCTCGTCGCCTGGCCCCAGTACTCCTCCGCCCGGCTGCTGATCTCCTCCGAGGACCACAGGAACTTCACCTGGCCCCGAACTTCTGCAAGGGGGGCTTCGAACTTGGATCGGCCAAGATAGCAAGTTGCTGGAAACCTACGTTGCGGTTCCCACTTAAAAATCAGCCTAAATGGGGGCCCGGGGCCGGGGTGACCTTGTTGCTTCTTTTATGTGTTAATCAGCTGGCTGTGGGTCAAAAAATAGGGTAACCCCAAAATGGAACCCTGGTAAGTGGAAACATGGACTAAAGCCTGCGGGCCCCTAGTGGTTTAAATTTGACCCACACCCAGTGGTTGGTAACCTACGTTACAACTCACATCTATATCATTTGTTTTGTGTGGGGCATAACCCAAACAGCTAACCACTTGCTAATGTGGCCGAACATCCAAGAACAGACGATCATGGCATTCTAAGCATCACACTTTGTTGAGGCAAAAGGGTTAAGAGGTCAAACACCAGGTCTGGCGTTGGGCCGACCCTTTCTCCTAGGGAATAGCAGTTCCCCCTGAAACTAAGATACAAGAAAGAAGCAGAACAGTACTTTCCTTCGAGCGACCCCCACCGCACTGCAAGCGACGCTCCCATGGACGCACTCGAGGCATTGTGGATATTCTACATTTTGGACAATGGGCCAGTCGTGAAAATGTGTCGGCGGCCTTGGCTGCTTGGGCCAGTATACCTTTACAACCAACAGGGACAAATTACAAAACAAACAATCTCCAGCAAATGGAAGTTAAGGGGGCCCCAAAATGTGTCGCTTTCCGGAACCGGTCCTCTGTTAAAGCCACAACAAAAGCCACTTGGAATCCGTTCTGGCAACGAATGCCTCAGGTGGAGGGTTCTACTGCCTGTCTCAATACTGCGGATGCACAACATCTGCGGGAAGCCCTAGCTGGGATGCTTGATAATGAACCTAACGGGTGTAGGATTTTGTTCACGATCAGGATTATGGTGAGGTACGTATTATATGTAAGGGCTTCGTAATCAGGTTGGTCGAGCCACAAAAGAAGTACATGAAAGCGGTATGATACGATTGACAAATATAGTTCTACCAAGATGGAAACGACTTAGATATGCCCTACTACAATCCTCAAAGCCAGTAAAGCTTTCCAAACATGGCCAACTGGGGAGTTGGGTGCTCTGCAAACGAACATGGAAACCAAAAGGGGGGGGGACTATATATTGGCCATGTGAAAGCACAACCCGATATGAGTGTCATCAGCTTCATAAACTACATAGGTGACCTTTGGAAAAACAAGTTCGTTCAGTGTGCTAAAATACCTGATGAAACAAGAAACAAGACTCTCGCCCTGGCCCGCGAGACAATTTCCCACGTCTCACAGCCCCCAATAACCCGATTTCTGCTCGGCACCCCAGCTGCGAACAGCTTCATTAAGCACATGAAGATGTAGAGGCCAGCAAACAGGTTTGAATATGGCTGAACCAAATCTGAGCCCACACAATTGGGGGACATCGGGCGGGGCATCCTTGAGGCGAAGGGTGCGATTGGGTGCGACTTGCGAATGGCACATCTTGAGGTGACGGGCACGATTTCAATGCGACTTGTTTGTGCAACTTGCTTTCTTCCTTGCAATTTGGCTATCAACCTGCATGGTCGTGGCCGCCGGAGACCGACCCTCCCGCATGTCCCGCAATTGACTTATTTCAGGCCTCTTTTTGTTGCTAAGTGAGCAGTCGAAAGGGCAACAACACGGCTCAGCCCATTGAGCATGGATTCCCTCAAAGTCTACGCTGCAAAACCAAGACCCACATACAATTCACCACCAAGAGTCTCAGAAAAACCTGAGATGTCTTAACTCCACGGTAGAACTAAGAAAATTGCCAGACTCCCGGTACTGGATGATAGGTTTAACGGAATCAACTTCAGCGTCTGGCTTTGACATTTTGCGCTGGCTTTGAGCAGTGAATATGGGAATCAGCTCACCAACCGTTCCCCAGTATCCATTGATGGTTGAAGGGCGAGCCATTCCAAATCTCACTTCTTGAGTGGATTGGCCAAACAAAGTGACCAAACTTGGGAGTGAGAAATTCCTAACAGAGAACAAGCAAGCCAACAGTTCTCACAGTCAGAAACCGGGTCTGGTTCCAATTTTCACTTATGGGGGAACTACGATGTTGGGCAAGCAACGGCCCACAATCCAAGACCTGAAATAAGCAATCCCTAAGTAAAGGCCCTTCATGGTAAGCTCATTTCCTCCTGGTGAGTTTGCCATGAATTGGAAGGATCATTAAAACATAATGGCCCCCCTATGATGGACAGCGTCCATGTACGATAAGGGCCTACATGAATAGAAAACTTGGTGCTATATTGTACTATATAAAACCACCTCATACTCATAGGACAATATTGTTTGTAGCTCACTTACTCACTTTCTGATTGGGGTTGTATCAGTCATGAAAAAACAAAAATATAACTCAGGACATGATTCTGTAGCCGCCCACCCAAAAAAACAAAAAATCAAACAAAAACTGTTTCTGATATCATGGATCCCAAAGGAGGGCGGTGGGAGGGGTGGCGTAACTCGCTTATTACCCCCAGGCCATATTAGCGGCTTATCAACCTCACTTATCCTGAGATGCAGGGATAGGCCCATAGCCCTTTTTCATAGCCCCCTCTTTTCGCGCCTCCGAAACCCCCAAACTCCGAAAGCGAAGGCGCCTTGGACATGTCCATGCCTGTGGCCTTCCAAACCTCGATGAGGTACCTGAAACGGCATGAACGGCCCCGGGTTGAGTCAACGAGAACCCAATCTTTGTGCCGAGAAACATCCAGATTTCGTAACCTTCCAGGTGCAAGGCACACCGAAGTTTGAACTGAACCCCCCTGAGTTTTTTGCGAAGGAAAACCATTCCGCTCTGAAGCCAATGGAATGAACCGATTCGCCGAGCTCATGGAGTCCAACGGGGAATGTTCGCGGTGCCGATCTCCTCCGATTGTAAATCTCCATATTTGGGTGTGGTTTCTGTATTTGTTTTTGGGTTGGCACCCCACTTCGGGTTTTCTAGGGGTACCTTCCCCATTCTTTCCAGGGATCCTTCTTGCTAGAAAACCTCCGGAAACCCAGGGAAAACAGACGGTTTTGGGAAAGATAGTTGAAAATAATGGGGAATCAACCCCTCTTCAACCCTTAACAAACACTGATGGCCTCAAACCTGGCCGAATTCCCACGCCCTGTCGACCCGTTTGGTTTGGACCCAAAAGGTGATCACCAGAAAGGGGCCACCAAAAAAAAACAAAAAAAAACAAAATGTCATTTCAGGTAGATGCGCTGTGGTTGCCTTGATGAGCTGTTGGTTCATACGCGTAGACATTCAGCCGGGCAAAGTTGCATGGCGCCACGGATGTGGCTCGTCAAACAAGGGGGCTGGATCACCCGAGCCAATCCATTCAAAGAGGAGTCCGGAAATCTGGAAACGCCACCAATCTGAGTACCTGTACAGAACCTTCACACGTCGTGGGTCACAAACTAAAACTAGCGACAATGTGCTCACCTGGAGTAACAAATATGTCGTTATGACAAATCCGGGCGGACGTGACCATGTGCTTTTCTCCCGGCTAGATCTTTGATCTCCGTCGAGTCTGCCAGATTCCATCTTGGTCTGGGCTGTTGGGGTCTACCTTTGCCAAGGAATTCTTCAGCAAAGTGTTCCTCGGTGGGAAACTTGAGAAGAGGGTTGAACTGCCCGGGCGCTCAATCTAGAAACCACTTCTGGCCAAAAGAGTCAACCCAAGCAGCTGTGGACACCTTTTGCGACCCCCAATTTCTCCCAAAACACAGCCATTCAGAAGGGGCACTTCGCGTTTTCACGTACTCCCAAGTCTTCGACAAAGCACGACCTTCTTATTTGGTAACGCCTGTGGCTTGCTGGGAGAGCAGCCTGCAATTTGGTCCAATAGACATTGAGCTGCCGCCAACAGGAGCAACTTGTTCATCTCGCAAAAAATATTGCTTTTTGCAGACCCCCAGTAAAAAATAATAATAAAAAGAACCAAACAACTAAAAAACAAACATGCCAAGAACAGAAGTGTTGCTATGTGAGGTGCCGAAAGGCGCAGCGCAGGGGAGGGCGCCCAAACCTGAAACGTTTCTTTTGGGGTTTCTCTTGGCAAGTGGCGTGTAGCCTTCAGAACAGGGCACCTCATATCAAGAAAAAAAGCGATGCTATATGGGTGCGTCGCGTTTTTCTAGGGGACCCCCAAAAAGGAGACTTTCCTTTGGTTTCCCTTTGAATGCCACATAAGTGTTGAAAAGCCTCCAGTGTCCTGTTGCCAAATAATGATGCTGATCCCCTCTGCAAGTGTGCGGTTAACGAGTACAGCAACTCGTGGCATCCACAGGGCATCCAAAGAAATCGTCGTCTGAAAAGGTACATTCTGCTGAAACAACCAGGGAAAACCCATGCGACATCTGGAGGTTTAAAAAAACAGGACACCTGCTGATCCTGTATCTCAAACACGCAGTGTTGTCTCATGATACTGAGAAATCTGGTTTAATAGTACCCCACGACCTCATTCGAAGAGGTCACCTGATAGGGTCGGACCTGGATCCACTCAGGTACTCTTAAACAAACACAAATACATATGTATATTATATATAATATATGTACATTACATCTTATAGCTGACTGTTTCCTTTAAAGATATCCCATTGGTTCATTCCCTGAAGGCCCTCTTTCCAAGCAATCGACAACTCTCTGTATGGATTTCCAATCACGGCCACACGGGATTCCCGATGGGCCGGGTGCAAGCCAAAGAACAACCCTCTCGGAAAAGCATCTCGCAGCTTCCGGGATGCGGCTTCCGGCAGGCGTGGCGCTGGTTCCTGTTAGTTTCTCCCATCCAAAGATGTAGTGCTGTGTAAGCACCAGCGTAGTTTTCTTTCTGAGGACAAATTTTGTGGGCTGGCAGCATCACAAGCATCCCCCAAAAATGAAGACCTCCAAAAAGGACGAGAATGCCAATTTGGGGATGAACATGAAGTGGTTGGATCCTTTGAAGGACATCATTTGCATGGCCCCGACATAGTTACCCTCCCACCAATTAACATGGAACCTAACAGGGGGTCTCCCCCAAAAATGAGAATGGTCTTCCAGGACCCCCTGTCAGGTTCCATATTCATTGGTGGGAGGATACCAAGTGAAATTTTGAAGAAGCTTGTTTAGTCGCAAATTCAAGGCGCCAAATATGTGCGTTATGGCCACATCCCTGCGGGGAGAACCTCGAGCTGATAAAATGCCGTCTGACAGACTGAAAACTCATCTCAGGACCCAAGGCTTGTGATTCAACGCGACTAAAGCGGAAGAAGCGTTGCACAATCCGCATGGCTTCGACCAGGATAAAACCAACATCCAGACCAAGCCAACATGGCACAGAAGACAACCACGTTGATTAGAACAAAACACCCAGCAATACACAACAGGATGAATATGCTATTGAACATAAGAATTACAATGATGACGATTATTGGTGGTATTGGTGTTGTTGTTGGTGGTGGCGGTGGTGGTGGTATTCTTACCCTTAAAACTCCAAGCCCTGGGGAAGTTAATATTTTACAGACATATAGCCCATGTTACCCAAAAAGTTGAAAAGTTGTGTTTTTAAGAGGTAGGTATTGGTGGTGGTGGTGGTGGTGGTGGCGGCGGTGGCGGTGGTGGTGGTGGTATTGGTCGTGGTGTTGGTCGTGGTGTTGGTGTTGGTGGTGATATTGGGAAACAAGGGAACGCGGACAACACAAAGAAGAAGACAAATCCCGGTGTATTGGTAAACAAGTTGGGAACGGGCAGCACATAGAAGAAGGCTAAGGAAAAACAGGAACAAGGGAGGAGGAGGGAGGAGAAGAAAGAGAAGGAGGATAAGTGGGAGGAGTCTGAGCGACTGACCCCTCTGCAAACGTCATTCACTTTTTGCGGGTGCAAAATCCACAAAATCCACACTGTTTCAACCAAAAACGCATCCAAAGATCCGGTGACCAAATCGCCAAACAGGGACCCCAAAAGATCGGGGCCATGAAATTCTAAAGCCGGAAAAAGAGAAAAAGAACAACAACCCCAAAAGGAATCAGACCACTTGTGGAGCGGCCATAAACCACCCTATGATTGTTTTAATTTGTTTTTCAAATAATACTAATACAAACATGATAATAACATGGGGTCACCCTCTGCCGGAAAAGAAAGAAAGAAGAAACAACAGCAACAAAAAAGACATCGCCCGCCGATCCAAGCCGCTCCACTTGCCGCTCGGCCCTCAGACGCGCCGGAGCTGCACGCTGCTTTCTACCTCGTTGGAGAATCCCAGAAAACAAACCGACGGAAGGCAATAAGTATACTCGGTTGCTTTCTTCTCTCCTGCTAAAAGTTTTTCTTTTAGTGGTTTATATAATGGAAAACCCATTAGTTGGCAAAAAGTTAAAGTCCTAACATCCAAGCAACATGCACCCAAGTATAGTTATATATACCCGCCCACCTTTTTTACAATACCCTCCCACCGTCAAACAGCCGGATAAAATTATATATATATATATATGTAACATGTCGGGGTGGGGGAGGGTGGGGAAGGGTGATCAATACTTCATGTAGGGCGGACACAAAGAGTAAAAGTAAGGCGACAAGGAGCATGTCTCAAGTTACCCTCCCACCCTTTTCACAGCCGGAACCTGACAGGGAAATGGTCCCCCCCGAAAAGGACAATGGTCTACCAGAGCCCCCCTTTCAGGTTCCATACTTGGCGGGAGAGTATATACACCAACATTTCACAAAATTAGAGGGTAAATGTGCGTACATATTGCTTGCATGCGTGGAGTGTTAAGGGAATCAGTTCTGCTAGGCACAACTTTTGTGGGGCGCTGTCATCCCCTGTATCCCGAATCTCGTCAACCGCTTTCATTCAACTGTGGCCCATGTGGCTTTTTCGAGGCTTCTAGCTCCGAAGGGCTCCCTCAAGAGCAACTTTGATACCCCCAGCTCCGCAACGGCTCTCTTCCACCAGCTATCAACACATCACCCGGATCTAAGTAGTACCTGTCCTACCAAAGGGGGTGAATCCACCCTATCAACCAGATGTTTTTTGTTGGATCCGGGCTTCGCATTGAGGGCTTCCACCCTTCAGTTTCCCCCAAGGCCCGGCTCCAAGGAACCGAGAAAGGGCAGAGGCATGCCTCTGTTCCCTACAAAGCTTGAGGTTGGGGGTGGTTTGGCGAAGGAGAAACACCCTCCTCAAAGTCTGGATGGCCGAAACCACTTCGAACCGCCTTTTCTGTTTGTTTATTGTCTCTGATTATTATTATTTTTTGGGGGGTGGAAGGGAGCACCTTTCAATGAAAAACGCTGCGTGAAACCACACATTTGGCAGGGTCCAAGTGGCGTGTCCTTTGGCGAGAGGGGCTCAAAAGGCCCAGCGAGCCAGGGAATGGGAACATCTGGAGCGGAGCGAGAGCAACACGAGGCTTTCCCGGCCCCATTTCCCGGTGCCATCCGAGTCAGGATTTGTGTTGTCCCCATTTTGGAGGACGTATAGGGAACCCGTCTCCAGAAAACTGACTTCATTTTCCAACAGGAGTCAAACAGAAAGGGGAAATCCATCGGGGGGGGGGTCAAGGGATCAAACTATGAAACGGAAGTGTCAACAGCACGCCGTGCCAGGTACTGTTCGTGGGTCAACCAAACCTCCGAACCCTCCAACCGTTCAATTCCCGCAAACTAACCAAACCGGATTTCGACAAAACATACTGATCGCCGCAACACGCGAACCCCTCCCCACAAACTCCCCAAACCCCAAGTTTGACCCCGCCTTCAGGGCCTCGTCCTTGGGCTCCTGGCGAGTGCTGAGTTGTCGCAGACATTTGGGTCCGTCCGCGTTTTGAGGCGAAAGGTGGGGTTGGTTAAAACAGAAAACTGAAAAGGGTTTCGACCGTAGCGCCTTCTGTTCGTCTTTTTTTTTTGTTTTTTGTTTTTTTTTGGAGGGTCCGATTCCTAAAAAGTGTGACATATACCCAATTGTTGTCGGACCCGTTCCTGGTAACATGAAATGTTTGATCTTTTCCACTTTGAAAGGCTCCCAGAAAAGAAGCCTACAAGTCTTAACACAAACCAAAACGGGGCTCCCCAAACTCGCCGGTGCGCAGTAGGGAATGAGGGAATGAATCCAGTCCCCTTAAAGGAAACCACCAAGTTGGATGGTGTTTGTCGTGGTCATTCCATTTCCCATTCCCTGCATCTCTCGCACCAGCAGCATCAGCTAGTGGGTTGTGCTGAAACCGCAAAATGTGGCCTGGTCCAGAATGCATCCCAAAAGGCCTGAACGCATCTCAACAAGAAGCCAGGTGTGTCTTTCTTCTTCTTCTTTTTTTTTGGAGGAACGGGGAGGGGGGGGGGAAGGGAAACCAAAAATGCAGAAAAAAACAAAATCTCTTGGTAGCTCCTTAGCTCCCTCTTTGAAAGCAAAGTTGGAGACCCCCAGCTTGGCTCCCTTCCAACCACCATCTAGAACCCGGGAATTTGGGGCAAGGAGGTAAAGCAAACTCAGCCAGAAAGAAGCCAACAGCTTGCTGCGTGATGCTTCGCGCAATGCAAGCTGACCGTAGGCTTGTGGGACATAACAATTTCTGTGACATCAAAGCGCGGGATTCCACTTTAAAAGTTTAAAAGGAATATCGATAGGCCCAGGTAACAAGGAGTGGTTTGGAGCGGCGGGCAAAGGTTCCCGAAGGGTTCCGAGGGTGGCTGTTGGGGATACTTGGGCTTGGTGGCCTGGGCAATAAAACATTTCACTTTCATTGCGTCCTTGCGCCAACAGGTGACAACATAGTTGCGGGAAATAGGGTCTACAGCTACTTTCTGTGATACTGTGGATGGGCACAATCCGGCACCAGTTGGGATGCATGGCAACCCAACAACCATGGGATGAACCTCCTACCAAGTGGTGCAGGACCCCAAAGCTTTCAGCTGGCAGAAAAGCAACATTCGATGTTGCAAGTTGACGGAGCAGCGGAGGCCCCCTCGAATCCGCGTCAGCTTGACATGCTTGGAAGAGAAGGAACGCTCGCAACAAGCAAATTGTTCGCGGGACACGTGATAAACAAAACACAATGACCGACACGGAGGGTCCCCCCAGATCCAGTTGAAACTCCAGGTGGCTCAAAGGAAAGCGTACGTAGGTAAAGTCACCATCCACCTGGGTGAATTATAATTCCTAACCAGTCTGTGAAACAAAAGGGAAGGAACCTTCATCTTTGGAGACATGGGTCGAAAATCAAATTCCTCTCTGAGGACGGTTTACTTTGTCCAGATTTGCGGGGCAAAACCCTTATTTTAATCTAACCTCAAGTAGCTTAACATCTATAGTGTCGATGGAAGGGCTCCCCCCCTTAAAAGCAAATTTGGATACCCCAGCTCTGTAACGGCTCCCTTCCAACCACCAGCTAGCTGGAACCCAACTTGCATGCAACACGTCTCTCCGAAAAAGAAAAACAAACGCGCCTGCACCAAAGTGCCAGCGGCAACGGCGGCTGGACGCCCAGCCACCCAGAAGCCCTTGTAGCCTTCGGCCGGTTTGGCTGTGCTTGGGATGGCTATGGTTGTAAGGGAGCAGTTTTACGGAGCTGGGGGTAGCCAACTTCGAGCCTTCTTCGAGCCTTTCCCAGCCAGGAGTTCCTTATAAGGACATGAGAGCTAGGCTGTGGTCTCGGAAAATTTGCACGGGGAGGAGCTCTTGCAAAATTTCGTTTGACACACACCCAGTTTATAGCTTGAGTTTCTATCCGTTGTTTGATCTCCCTCCCAAGGCCATCTAAGAGGAGTGTGTGTGTGTGTGTGTGTCCGTTGGCTTGTGGATTTAGGGTGTGTTCAGCTTCCTTGAACTTTCCCTTGTTCCGGGCGTGCAAATGTGCCAGTTGCACTGGAACTTACAAATCCCAAAAAGGGGGTCGACGGCGCTACGGACTCAGAGCAAAGGACTCATTGGAATGCGCATCTTCTCCAGCATGGGTGATTTGGTCTGCCACAAACTTCTTGCTTCAGGGACTGGCCCAGGGTGTTGGGAATGAAGCGGACAGCATTCCCTTATAAGGAAACTTCCATTCCCTGCCAATCAAACCAGCGAGTCATGGAGTTGCAGGAATGGTCAGGTCCAAGGCGGGTACAAGATGGAGTCGCCTTACTCAAGGATTCCTGGGTTCTACAGTATGCCACAGGGGGTCTGGAAACAATTGAAAGTTACCTGTTCCCCTTGTGGCTTCCATAAGAAGCACTGCGAAGATACTCAGCTGCCCAAGGACCCAAAAACAAAAGGTTAACTATTTGGGCCATGACTAAACAAAGACCAAACATGGGAAACCAAAAGGACAAAAGGTCGTCTGTGGGCAATAAGAAAACATGGGCTATTGAGCACCCCGGCCTTCAAATTGCCTAAGCCGTTCCAGAACATCGGCTCCATCCATGCCATCTCGGAAATCACTTCCCCGATTTCACTCTAGCCACGTGAATAGGTCGCAAAACTGCAAATCGACATAAAACAAACACTGGGCTGCCCTCAGATCCCCCGCTAAAAGTTTAACTTTTGGTGGGTTAAATGGAAACTACCACTAAACACTAGAAGGCTAAAAAGCTAAGGAACCGGATGGCCGGGAGCAACCAAGAACATATTATGTTACCATTCACGTACCTGAACAACTCAATTCGCTGTCCCATCCCTCCTACCATTTCCTGGCAGAGCTCCTGGCAGCTCCAGCAGGCTCTCTCTTCATAAGCAAATTGGACCCCAGCCCCTTCCAACCACCAGCTAGCCTCTTCCTAAGATATAACTCGGTTGCTTTCTGCTCCCCTGCTAAAAGTTTAACTTTTAGTGGTTTAATGGAAAACCCACTAGTTTGCAAAAAGTGAAAGTCCTAAAATCCAACCTATGGAATCCTAGCCATACAGTAGGTGGCCTTTGGGACAAATCGATTCGTAACCTAAAAAGGACGCCTATGATCCCGGCGTTTTTATCAGTGCCGTCTATCATTCCCGAGGGCTAAGCAGGAACTCAGCCCAGAGTGCATGGGAACAAACACGGCGACCCATTGTTGGTACTTGTTTTTAAAGGGAAATCCCTCCAACGCAATCAATTTCGCACCGCGAAATGAATCCATGATTGAAACCATTGTTGTTGGTACTTACAGGGGAATCGAATCATTCCAGGGTTTTGCAGGCGGTGCAGGATTCTGGCCATCAACAGTATGTTCAAACGTGCAAACATAAACTACGAAACTAGATCAAGCAACTCACAACATGACCCATGTGTAGACATGTACCACGGAATTCCAAAAACAAAACTGAAGCAAACGTTGTCTGGGGCGGCCAGCTAACTCCGCCACTCCACTTGAAGATGCCGAATCCCTCCTGGGCGGGTGGGGGTTTGGGAGGGCCAGGCTCCTGGTCAAACATGTTCAGGCACCTGGTGTTTTTTCTTTTTGAGGGTACCCCTTTTTGGTGGGTTTTGAAGAGGAAAACCACATCCCCTTTTTTTGGGGGGGTCCAACCCCTTAACAGACCAAACCATTTGGGGACAATTGCCCCGGTTTTTCGGCAAGAATCCAGGGACTCCCTGAAAGGAAATCATAGGAAATGGTTTCTGGGGGTCATTCCATTTCTCATTCCCTGCTGAGGACCAGCAACTAAAAGGTTGGCTTTGGTTGCAACTAGGCCAACAATCAAAACATAGACCTCCTTTTGTTTCTGTTTCTAGGCCGGGCTGGCTTACACAATTTCGCCCAACCCCGGAGTGGGGTTGAAAGTCATAAATTAACGGCAACCCCCCAAGAATGTGTCCCAACCACATGTGTCTTGCCTGGCTTCCAAGATAAACTAAGAAACAATTGGCCCAGGCAATATGAAAACTACTCAAGGAACATATGAGGAAACGCAGGTAAAGAAGCAGGACATGGAAACAAAGCCTAGTAAACAAAAACAATCAATCTAGAAACACTCAGCTTCCCTTCAATCGGTGGTTTGGAGCCCGATGGTTTAGTTCTGGGTGATGTCCCATGTTCCCTCGACAAGAACCAAAGGTTCAAATCCTCAAACCACCAATTGAGGGATACCTGAAAAACCAAACTAAAAAGAGACACTATACCCACAAAGCATACGTGTCGCCCACAAGGTCTTTTTTTTGTACTGTATGATCGTGCTGGCAGGTTTAGGGTTTTTAGGGTTTGGGTTTAGGTTTAGGGTGTTTAGGGTTTAAGTTTAAGGTTTTTAGGGTTTGGGTTTTGGGTTGTTAGGGTTTGGGTTTAGGGGTTTTAGGGTTTAGTTTAGGGTTTTCAGGGTTTTCAGGGTTTCCAGGGTTTTTAGGGCTTAGGTTTAGGGTATTTAGGGCTTAGGTTTAGGGTTTTTAGGGTTTAGGTTTAGGGTTTTGGTTTAGGGTTTAGGGTTTAGGTTTAGGGTTTTTAGGGTTTAGGTTTAGTTATTATTTTGTTGCGGGTTTAGGTTTGCTTGGAGCTGGCTGTTCGGCGCATCCGAGGCTGGCTTGTCTGGTTTAGGTTTAGGATTGTGTTGATGATAGCACTATTTAACCAGGAAAAGTCGCCGCGCTCCATGAAGGGAGTATGGAGATTTTTGGAGGTCTCGGGGACCCGCTTCCGGGCGGTCGCGGGCAACACATACGTTTTGGCCGAAACTATACCATCACCATGAAAATCACAAACAAACAACGATTGATGGAGAAGTGCAAAATGTCAAATTCCCATGTCATCTTCTTAGTCCTTATGTGTCCAGTTTCTTGCGCCCTCATGCCTCCTTTCCTTTCCCTCATCCTCTCCGAGCCTCCAAATGTTGTTGAGTACTGACTGCCAACAATCCAAAGAAAGAACACCGCCTTACAACACATCAGGAGAAAAGTCAGCCCTGTGCAGGAAGATCATGTCAGAAAACAAGGCGCTGCGTCGTAAAAAAAAATAGCAACCGGGTAAAAGATGCTAACACCTGCAAGTACAGGTGTATTCAGCTTTCCTAGGCGATAGACAGATCCAGCAAAGAAAGGTAAAGCTGAGCAACTTTGACGGAATGTTTTTTGCTTGTCCTTCTGAATGTGCTGTGTGTTCCGACCTTGATTTGTGTTCTGTTGTTTTCCACAAGGCTCCTTTACACTACATTCCTCCTGCAAGAACCTGACGTGCGTCGGATTTTTTTTTGGTGCAAGCGCCCGGCCCGTTCGCCATCCACGTAATGCCCGCGATAGCCTTGCCCTGTGTCGCGTGAACAGAATGGTGGAAATGGGGGAATCTACCTGTCAACTTTGCGTGGGGAGGGGCTGTTTGACCTTCCGGGAGCGAGGAGTCCTACCAAACCAGGGAGTAGAACGCATTGGCCAAGTTTGGGTGCCGGTGTTGGGTGAGTTGGGACCTCTAGCGGCAACCTGGGGAAGGCAAGAGACCATGGGGCGAATTGTGCCTACCTTTACCCAACTGTATGGCAAACGAATCGTCCCTTTGGTGGTCCAATTTGTATATCCCACTTCTGGCTGCAACATGGAGCCCACCAAATCGAAGCCATCAACCAAAGCAGGGTTCCTCAATTGGGCCGGTTCTTTTCTTTCGGTAGACCTCCTTAGTATTTGAAGGGGTAAACCCCAGTTAGGCCATAAATGAACGGATCGAGTCCTCTTTCCAGGGACGCCCGCCCAAGTGATCGAGCCCATGCGAAAAACCAAATTGACCCAAGGGAAATCTGTGGGGTGCGGGTCCTCGGCTCCTTCAGCACCTTTTGGTAGGCATCATTTGTGGGGAGTTCTCTTGCTGCTCGGGGTGCTGGGAATGAACCTAGGGATCCCCTCTCAGGAAACCATGGGGGTCATTCCCTCATTCCCTGCTGCGAACCAGCAAGTTATGTCCGACCATTTGAGAGCATAGTCCACGCGAAGTTCACAGCCGTTGTGCCCAATTCAACAACTTCTCAAATGGGTATGGGTCAAATTAAGCCAAGGGACCACAGGGTTTAGGCCATGTTTCCATTTACCAGGGTTCCATTTGGGGTACCTATTGTTGACCCACAGCCGAATCACGAGAAACCCGACCGTGGCTCATCGCTAGTAGAGCCGGACCCGGGTCCACGTGTCTACCCCGAGTGTGATTGCCGGAGTTGACTGGCCAACAACGACCGTGCCTTGTTTGTGTCTTCTACTGGAAGAGGGAAACCCTCCAAAAACAGTTCAAACCAATTTGAAGTGCGCCAACTCAACTGGTAAGGCTCTTTGCGTCATCTTCAACTCATGTTAACTTGTTTTTGGGAAACAATTGAATTTGTCAAATGGACACCCCCTTTTCGGGCCCCATTGTTTGGAGTCTTGCCCCCGCTTTGCAACAACCCCCCCCTTGGCCCAACCTTGGCCGCCCGAGTTTGGTTAGATGCCCTTTTTGAAAACCTATTTAATCCCGACTGTGGGTGCACCAGCTGAAACAAATGAAAGCCCCTGAATGCCCGGATAAACCACTATCTGGTTGTTTCGGGGATTGTGTCCATCTGCAGTTGTTTCTCATGTGCAATCCGAGGCAGCCAGAAGGACGTCCCCCAAAAAACACAAACTCCCCCCAAACAGCTCTTTTTCGTCAACCCCCTCCCCCCCAAAACAACAAAACTCAAATTCCCTCCCCAAAAAAACGCCTCCAAACTCCCCACTTTTTTTTTGCCCCGCCCCCCCCCCCCCCGTAGCATGGACACTTGGGGTCTATTTTGCAACCTCCTTCATGTAGGGTACTTGGATGTTCGATTCGCCTGGTTAGTAAGTGGCTAGCCACCTGGGTTGTACCGTTCTACCCCACAAATAACCTGGTTCACCCCACTGACCAGAAGACTTATAAGAGAACTGGCAACCTGCAACCGAGGCCAACAAAACCAGTGACTCACTTGGCAAGACGAAGATCCAAGTACCCAGACCATCGCATCCGCCCATCGCATCCGCCCGTATCCGTCGCGCCGTCGTGGAGGTCGTAGGCGCCGAGGCCGTGCTTCTGAGAGGTGTGCCACTGGCCCTGATACCTCGATCCCGCACATTCCGCGGAGTCCGCGGAGTCCGCGTCGGTTGAAGAAAACCCACCAGTTCAGCAAAAGGTTAGCAGGGGAGCTGAGCCCAATTTATACGTGTTGGAAGTGGGATCATGGTTTTGAGTCCGTTTTGGGTCCCTTCCTTTGCCACTTAAAAAAGGGGACTTTGGTCATGGTAACACAATTGCGGCCAGCATTTGGTGGCTCCTCGTTTCTTGAGGCGAAGGGCACCTCAGGTCTTGGATTTGATGAGAGGTGTCGACTTTTGATCGGTACATATATATATATATATTATTGCGATATTCTATGTGGGTGTGGCTCAACATTAAAGACTTAGGGTTACGCGGGTTTTGCTTTTTTCCCATTTGCCACAATCTGAATACATGTTTTTGTGCCACAGCCATGTGTTGTTTTGTGGAGTTGGCACCCCTTGGTTAGGCGGTTTCAAGGAAAACCAAAGGGAGAACCACCAATTTGCTGCTTTTACTTTTCGCCCAAAGAAGACGCATCTGGGCCTGGGTCTGAGGCTGTCTCAAAACAGAGAACCTAGGTTGAGGGCCGCAAACCACGAAAAGAACAACGGCAACTTGCCCCTCATGGCTTTTGGCCTTGATGTTCGGACCCTGGTTGTAAAGAAAACAACAAACGGACTCTAAGAACCTGGACGGGGTCGCTAAGTTTCCGAATCGCCCAAATGAATCTAAGGAGTCCATGAATTGAACGTTCCGTTTCCATCTGGTTGGACTGCCTTCAGGATTCCTGAAATGACTCCTGGAGTGCTTCATGCCCACCCTCCTCACAAAGATTCATCACTGGAACTCATGGACTGTTTCCATTCCCCCAGTGACTAACCAAGGAAACCACCCTTGTCAGGAGCAAATTGGCAAATGGCTGGCTACAATGGGATCCACTGGGTGACTACGTAAAGCTTTGGGGATTCTATGCTTGGACAACTCCCGTTCGTAGGATTTCTTGGGTCCCATTCCATTTGGGAAGTTTCAAAGCAGCCCTGCAAGAAACACCAGGCAACCAATTCCCGGGAAACCATACCCTCCCACCAATTAACAACAAACCCTGACGTTTGGGGGACCCCGTAAGAACATGCTTCTTTTAAAGAGGCCCCGGTTCCATGTTGATTGGTGGAAGCAGGTTTTAAGAATAAACATTAAACCATGTCTACTAATTGCTATTTGGGTTTATCTCCCAATGGACAACGCAAATGGGTGGTGTCCTTTCCTTCAAACAACCCTTAAAAGTGAACCCTCAAGAAGGCACCGAAGCTCGTTATTTCTGCTTTGCCACTTTAAGCGTTGATTCAACCCCTGGCTATGACCCACTTGCCTTAGGCGACATTTTGGAAAAATGGCCCGCCCTGGCAATTCGGCCGCAAGACCAATCTAAACCAGCGGAATCCATCTATGCCTCACCAAACTTACCTAAAAAGGACACCTCTTGTACAAACCCTTGGGGCAGTTGAGAGCCACAAAACCAGGGCCCGACCAAATCCGGGAAACCAAATGGTTAAAAGGTCCATGTGGGTGACGGTTCGTTTGGCCTGCGAAATTTCCGCTTGAAACCTGCTGTCAGGATTCGATTCTGGCACCGCCTGGCCTACCAACTCATGCTTCCAGTGACCACACAACAAGCTATCCAGGGAAAACCATCCTCCAAAAAAACATATTACAGTATGCAACAACCCGGCAAACATACTTACTTGCCTAGGTTATCACCCGACAATCCCACGTGGGGGTAACAACTTGTTAGGATGTCAAAAACCCCAAGTGGCTAACCACTGCAAGCCAAACTCCGTCCTTCAAACAATCAATTGTGATTTCGGGAAATGGAACCAGGGTACCCGCAAAGCTCCCACCAATGAACATGGAACCTGACGTTCGGGACCCGGTCCCTTTAAAAGGAGCATGGTCTCTTCCTTGCCCCCTGGAAAAAACAAACAAACATATTTTCAGTATTGATGGATTCCCTTTAAAACCAACAAGGGAACATAAAACGCTTCTCCAGCTACCTGCCCAAACCCAACTACAAATCCTTGACTTTCCTTTAGTCCTTTGGTTGTCCTTTCATGTTTTGTTGGCTTTCCTGGCAAACCCCTGGCTTTCATTTGGTTGTCCTTTGGTTGTCCTGTTATTCCCGAAAAGTTGGGGAACCACCAAAGTTGCCCTCATGCTCCCAGAAAAGGTTGCTCATGATTCTTGTGTTTTTCCCCACTATGATTCTCAATGGGGAACAACCTTCCTGTTATCAGTGGGTACCCCACTAGCTCGGGTTGCTTGTGCCTCCCTCGCCCTCGCAGAAATTCGCAGCTCGCCTGTCGCCCTTCTGGGAGTTCCAAGTGCCGTTGCCGTGGATCCTCAGCGATCCGACGGCGAGCGAGGGGTTCGGCGGCCGCGGCCGTTTGAAACGCCGGGGGGAAAAGAGTTGCATCCTTCTGACTCCCATCGATAGGTGCAAGGGAAGAAGTAGGAAGCAAACTGTTGAGTTGCCACTATGGTCGATCTAAAGCGTGAAACCTCAGTCCTGGGGTAATGAGGAGCTGCAAGTCGAGTTTGTGTGGCTCACTTAGGACGCAGTCCCAGTGCCTGAATCCGGGTTGGCTCTTGCACTCACCAAGAGCGTTGTGGAGCTTGAACAACCCCTCACTTCCGAATGAATTCCAACCAGAGTTCAAAATGGCTGCTTGTGTTCAAATTCTGATTTGACGCGGCACCGGGGACTGGCAAACACTTTCTGTGAACTCAGCCGAGCTTGGCGTCAAAGAACCGGGGGTGTGAGTTGGTGCCCGCTTTGGAGTTGGTGTTAAGGGAAACCAAAAGGGAAACCGTTGCGCCATTGTGGGCCCTGGTCAGCATGCCCATTTTGACAATCTAGAACTGGATGTTTTTCAGGGGGACTTGAGTCGGTCAATGGCTCAACTGACTCCATGCCAATGGGATTACCTATCTGCAAGGCAATCAGATACCTCGATGCAGCCATGGCCTAATCTTGGCCTCAGTTTCGTTGTCAAGGGGGAGTATAACAATTTACCAGCCAGAGGTTCGTTGGTTTGTAAACTCACACTGAAAACCGAGGCACCCAAGTTATTGGCCCTTAAAGCAAACAGGGGGAGACACATCAATTATGCAAACGGATGCCAACTGGACGCCTTTAAAATGATCGGGTCGATGCCAAACGTGGGTTGCTTTGAAGGGACACCAACAGGAACATCATTCTTACGATGCTATTTTTTATATATTCTGAATCGACTTCTATAAACTAAAAAACATGTTTTGCTTGTTGATTAAAACAGAACATGCTGACATAATTGATTTATAAATGGTGTTAAACAAATGCTTTGTGACAACAAACATGTGAGTTTGTCTATTTCGACACATGCCCGTATGTTGTCACCCCGCTCAAGGCACGACTTTGAGCGTCCATGCAACCCCCAAAAGATGGCTCTTTGAACTGCGATGTGATCCACGAAGATGGCTTCGGCTTTTGGAGTTTCTTCAAAACACACAAGCAAGAACCAACAAAAAAACTTGTTGTTGACCCCTCCGTTAACTAACACATTTGACTTTGTGTGGGTCCCATTTGGAAAATCCGACCTGTTACAACCAACAAGTTGAAGTCCAAAGATCCGTAAATGGCCATACAGAGGTACCCTCCCACCAATTAACACGGAACTTGACAGGGGGTCCTTTAAACCGAAAACTGTCTTCCAGGACCACCCCCCTTTCAGGTTCCATGTTAATTGGTGGGAGGGTACCCTTGAAAAAAACCCACACCCATGTATGCGTTCCCCCCTCGCACGGAAGAGCTTCGGCACAAAAAAGTCAAGGAGACGATGCTAGCCACTGCTTCTTTGGTCGACCTGGTTGTCGGGCAAGCGATGACAAGTTGGGAGGCTTGGTTCCACCCAGGAGTGCTGTGTGAGAGTTTTTTCTTAACCAACCGGCTGAATTCTATCAAACAATACGGGCATGGTTACTTAGCAAACTATTGTTTGCACTGACATGACAGAAATAACCAACCGCGCCATGGGTTTCAAGCTCGCTCTAGCTTGCTCTCATGATTAGCTCTTTTTTGGTCCCTTCTGTACTTCAATTCAGGTATCCCTTCTGATTCCCCGAACACCTCCGGATCCCCAGCTTCCCTGTCCTGTACTTTTGGCTTCCCTTGCGAAAGACCCGACCTTTCCCTGCACACGGCAAAGCCTTCGCTTCGGCGCTTGAATGCCGCAAACTCCAGGCTGGGACCCAAAGGCGAGTCTGAATAAGGGACTGGTTTTTGTGTCATTTGGTCACCACAAGCGAGCCCTCTGCTGGAAAAGAAGCCAAGCCATCCGTCTAACGCTGCCCAAGGAGCTGGTTCTGCTGCCATTGCCCGCAATATACCGAGCCTGGCGAGCCGTTCCTTCCATGGTTTGCTGTGAGTGAGGGCAACGGGCATAAAGGGCATCCTTGCCAAGCCTTGGCATTTGACGCATTTGGAGGGTACCAGTACCTCTTACCTACATGGATTGTGTGGGAATTCACAAGTTTTGCCAAAGAAGCGCCTTTTGGGCTACCATCTTTGTCGGGCCCATGTTCCTTACAGTGGATCAAATTCCACCACCCCCCCCGTTTTTGAAGAAAGTTGGGAACTCCAAACACCCTGGCTTGCTTCACCCAATACTGGCAAAGCATCGCCTAAACCACACCCAGTGATTCCATTTCCAGCCTTTAAAACCCATGAAGAAAATCGCTGGCTACCTGCCATAGCGGCAACTGGGATTCACTCGGGGTTTGGGTTGCCAACGTCCCGACTCGTGGGGTCACAGGAACCAGCCGCTCAAGTTGAAGGCAAACACAAATGGGTCTGTTTGTTTCAGACTGCCCTTTTTAGGTCATAAAGGGAAACCGCCTGGAGGACCCTTTGATACACAAAATAGTGCTCCAGACAGTTTTTTGGCATTCGAGCGTTTTTCTCTGCTCAGATCCAATTCGAGCACTTTTTGAGGTTGCCTAGATGCTTGGTGAAGTGCTCGAGAGAAAACGAACACGCAACTCGAGCGCAATTTCCCGCTACTCGGGCGCAATTTTCCGCAACTCGGGCGCAATTCCAAAAAGTGTGCAAAGCCAAAGCTCCGCCCCGCAATCTGTGCATTTTGCATGTGTTTGATTTTACAATTTCTCGTGCACTTATTTGCCACGAAAGGTCGAGCAAACATTTGTGTATCAATGGGTCCTGCAGGGGGCCCACAAGGCAAACCCACCATTTTGGGTGCGCCCTAAAAACAAACACACAAACAAATCAGGGTCAACCGCCGAATCGCCGAATGACAGGAACAGTACGTCAGGGGAGGGCTTCTTGGAACGGCTTTCTCAAAGTTGGATGTTCTCAAGGCCTCAGATCCCCAGCTAATAGTTTAACTTGTAGTGGGTTCAATGGAAATCCCCACTAAACACTAAAGAGCTGAAAGGCTAAGGCGATGGCTGGGAGCCAACAAGCAAAGAGGCAAGCTCAATGCCTACAGCTTTGCAAGGCCCTGAACCCGTTGCCCTACTTCACTTGCTTGTCTTTGATGGGGCAAAAGGTGCCCTTTTGTGAAGAAAAGCGGACTTCTTGAAGTTGGTGGGCATTGGGTTTCCTTCAACCCAACCCCCAAAAAAGCTAGTTTTCCTTTGGCTTCGCTTGAAAGCCTCCCCTCCCCGAGACCCTCAAAAACAACGCCACAGTGGATCGAATGATGGACATCTGGCCAACAGGAGGACTGCTAGAACCCACCCCTACAGGGATTGTGCCGCGGGTTTGCCGCAAAACCATCCTTTGCGTTTGGACAAGACATATCTTCCATTAGGTCCCTTTCGACTGACACAATCTGGTCTTGATCTGCATCATGGGCAGGCCAGCAGCAGGAATGGGGCACGTCCAAGACCGGTGTGTTTCGGTGCTTCCAGAGTACCAAAAGCGAGGCACACATGATGCAACCGCAAACACTTGCCGCTTGCTTCTGCATGGACCTCCCTTTGGGATTTGTGTTGCAAGCAGGCTTCTCGGAGTTAAGTGTCCATTGCAAGGATTGTCTTTTTGAATTGTCCTTCTTTGATTGGCTTACGGAAAATAAAAGGTGCCTATGAAGTCCACATTCAGAAAGCGTGTCTTTGGGGGAAGCCGGGGCTCCGTACTGCATGAGGTCCCACTGAAGATGCTATAAGTTACCCAAACCAATGGATTTCCGTTAAGAATCGGATGCTTCGGAGAAGTGTTCTAGCCGCATGGCAAAGAAACATAGATAATATTAATATGGAAACATTTGCTCAGTGGATTTAGTTTCCACTGCAGGCAGCCTATATTTTCCATCGCCAGGGTCCGCCATGGGTTCCAGTGTTTAGAAAAAAAGCACAACTGAATTCTGCGAATTTATACAATAATTCCAAGACCCGAAATCGGAATCACCAGGCAAAGGACCCGCGTCATGATGCCAATCGCTCGCTTTCGCCCCCCAAATCGGGGCTAACTCACTCTAAAAGTGGCAGGCCCACCATCAGGCCACCGATATTCCTGGGCGAGAGGCCAGCAGCCAGGTAGTCTCAAGGTAGACGTAGAGGTTTCTATGTTCTATGCTCCCAGACAATCCATGTAGATACCATATACCAACATGGGTGAATGCGGGTACATATTCCATACATGGAGTGTTTGTATGTTTGCCGGCAAAGGAACCAAAGAGAAACCGCCCATCTTAGAGGGTCACCTATTTTGAGACAAACCCAATATGGTGGGAAAGTCTTCTTCGCGGATTCGTCACTGAGTTGCGGGAAGACCCCGCCAACCTTGACCTCCACTCCGCAAAGCCTCGAACGCCCAGCGGACCTCCCCGAGCAGAGGTCATTTCGTCCCTTCTTGTGGGTAAGAAAGAAAACAGCGCCTAGACGTCGTCAATCTCCTTCTCTTAAAAAAGGGCTAGGGATGGTTTCCCATTTGCCCTCCACAACGGGCTCAATTCACACCAATCCAAACCACCTAAGGGTTACCTGAGCTAAGGGTTGCCTGAGCTTTTTTGTTTTTTCAAACACACACAGCTCCTCAAAGGCCGAATGAATACGTTGCACTTATGAACCCCTGGGCCCTGAATGAACCCCTAATTTTCGGGTTGATCATCCGCTGGTTGGGGGAAATAACAGCCCCCCACAGCGGGTCCAACATGGCCATGGGATATATAGCCAAAGGGTCCAAAATGCTAAAAACATCTAACTGGTTTGTAACAAAACTATAAAGAATCTGGAACGCGTAATTCTAGCCCGCCGCACAAAGTTAGAGTTTTTTAGCGGCCATGGATTCCTTATATATATATATAGACACTGGACCATACCCTAGCCTTCCTTGACCAAGTCTTACTTGGTCGATCGATATGACCGAGTTTTACTTGATGTTGACCAGTTTACTTTTGCACGGAGATTGGCCCAAAGGTTGCGAGCCATGCACATAATTTTGCAATGTGATCATGGAGCTCAACACATGACCCTTATACATGCATTCATGCATCTAGGGTAAACGAGCTAAGAGATTGAACGCGTGGAATCGGAAAGGGGCACGCCGCGTCGCCTCATGATATGCCATGAAGCGGGCGCTTCGCAAGCGGTTTCTGGAGGAATCCGAAGGAGGTGCGCCCGCCTGCAGCCCTTGCATGCGAGTGCCTCTATTCCAGATTTCAAAGCGCATTATTGGCAGCCTTTTTGGCCAGAGTTGCTCAGCTTATAGGGGACTTAGTCGAGATGCCGACAACGCTGCCATGTCCTAAACGAGTCGCTCTTCTGAAGGCCGGCCTAGCATTGTATCTTCACTTAAAGTTGCGAAGCCATGTCCATGCCAAACCTGAAAGGCGTTCTACCAGATGCTGCTTGAGGAACAGTCAAGAGATGACCGCTGCATGGAGATTGCCAAGAGGCACATATTGGGTGAACAAACAATTTCGCAAGTTTATTGTATTGCAGGAAGGGTATACCGGAAGA